CCCCTTTCGGGTTTAACAGCCACCACAAATTTTTGTTGATTTTCGGAATTGAACCAACGACATTTCGTATCAGATGTTCGTGATTTAATATTTCTTATAAGAAAATAAAAATTCAAAAATGACAGTAATAATTAGATGAATGATAGAAGTGTTGCATAACGTGATGAAAACATAACCTATATTTAAAATTATGGGTGAAAAGTTAGCGGAGGTAAACAATGTTTTGGTTGTAAATGATGTGCAAAAGAATGACAATTTCCGTACGAAAGGTACGGTGTAACTTGGAGTCATTTTAAAATGATATGGTAATAATACAGATATTTTTTTAGCGGGTATCTTCTTGGCCGGGGTGGCTGGGATGTCCGTGATCTTCGGATTTGGAGCCACCGTTGCTTCCGCTAAAAAATCCGATCCAAGGTACTTTGATAAAGGACTAACTCGGAGTATTGAACTAGGCGAAAGTGGAGCCAATCTTGCAGCCAGAGCTCTGGGCTGGGGTACTCTGTATGCATTTACTGGCTGTGGTGTTTTGTTCTACACAATTTGGAAGTTCTCTGGAGCATCAAATGTAAAGGAAACTTTAATATTTTATTTTGTTGCATTTTTAGTTTAAAATTGTTTGCAGATGCAAGAGTTTAGACAGAAGATGGGTTCACTGCTGCCAGTTGTTCCGAAGAACAATCCTCCTCAAAGCCGAACAGAATTCTCTGGGATGAATGATTTGTTGGAATACCTCCAAACAATGAAGAGCAAGAAGGATAGTTGAATAATTTATGAAACAATATAAAAAAATTAAACAAAGATTAGATTAAAATTTAAAAGGAAAATCACTCTTTTTTCTTGCAAGTGATGTATGTAACAGGGCAAGTTAGGATCTTCCCACGGGGTCTGTAAAATTTCTTGTCAGTTTTGGGATCGACTGTATCATCGGTGAATCTAACGCCTTTCCTAACTGCTCCATGACCTCTCTCATTCGATGGCAAATCGTTCTCCTTGTTTTCCGGCTCGACCGTAGCATCAATGTCGCTGTTCTTCGTCACACTTGCCGATACATCCAGCTCAGCTTCATTCTGGACTGCAATATGTTTCACATTCGGTGGCGAATCGTCATCCCTTTTTATAAGCTCCGCTTCCTTGTTCTTTGTATTTTTGAGGAATGTATTGAGGTACACTTTATTCTGCTTAATTTCAGGTTGCTCCTTCTGTCTGCTGCTGCTCAATTTAGCCTGTGGTAATGCGAATCTGTACTTCCTTTTGGCGCACTCCTGGCAAGGTTTCCTCAGTTCTGGATCATTTAACCTCATTAGATCCATTTCGGTTCGGAGCTTCGTATTTTCATTGAGAGACTGCTGCACAGCCAATTTGCTAGTGCCCAGTTCCCTCTTGCACGTCTTCAGATTGTTGAAAAGGGTCATTTGTGACATCGATTCGATATCTAATTTCTTCATCAAACTTTCAATCTCCTCGCTAAAATTACAAATGATTAATGTGTAAAACGTGCGGTGGAATTTAATATAATATACTCACTCCTTGGATTTAACGATGCCGTTGAAGAAATCGTCCATTTGCTGGGCGGTCGTGATCTTAGCCAACTCCACTTGCTTCTTGTCAACCTTTTCTTTGTATTGTTCAATTAGCTCTTCCAGTGTTTTAATTCTTAGTTTTGTGATCCCAACCTCCAGACAGTACAGCTTTTCCATTTCAACAACATCCTGTTCCATACGATGCGCTAAAACCAAATTATCCTTTTGCAAAGTGTTAATCTGGTTCAACAAATTGGCGCGCTCCCTCTTCATCTCCACATAATGCTCCTTCATTATGGTCATATTCTGCTGCAATTGAACTCTCCTAACAAGTACAATAACAATAAAAAAATTAATAAAAGCAAAACGATAAAATATATAATAAACCTGTCATTCACTTCAGCAAACAAAGAATTTCCTTGAACAACATGATCCACAGACTTGTTTTTCAATAAATCTAATTCACTCTTCATGACTGCCATCTCTTCCTGCAAAGTCTCAACAATTTCATTGGTGCTTCTCAATTCCTGACTTTTTACTGCATAATTTTCGTTTAAATCTGCCACTTCCTCAATCTTGCTCTAAATTAAAAAAAGAAAATATATGAAAGACTAAAATAATATCTTGGCAATAGGTAAATACCTTCAGCTCCAATTCCATATAGTTGTTCTGAGAATGCAATTCTTCTAGTGTTTCCCTCAGATTTGCAGCATTCTTTTCCAAAAATTCAATTCTATCCCTGAGAATACCATTCTCAGCTATGACCTTTTCTGTCTCCTCTGTGACATTCCCATTATCTGCCAGCCTCTGTAAATTCTCAGTCTTCTCTATCAACAATCTGTTCTCCTCGCACTTTGTGTTAAACTCTGCTTCAAGCATTGCCAAGTCCTCTTTTCTGTTCTCCCTCAATGCATGACATGTCTCCTCCAACCCTTGGATCCTTTCCAACAGCTTCTTGCACTCTGTCTTGTCTGCATTTTGCAGTATCTCAATCTCCTGGATGTAATCCCTTTCCACGGCTGTGGCCCTTGATAATTCTCTCTGGAGTTCATGGATCTTCTGGTTGTTCTGTTCAAGCAGCTGCTCAAATCTATTCTTCAGCCTCGCTACGTATTGCTCACCGTATTTTTCGCCATCCAGATTATCCTCTTGCATTTTTGCTGTCGCAACCAGTTGCAACTTTATATTTTCGAAATCAGAAATGACTTAAACGACTAAAACCGTTACAAAAAGTTGCTAAAATACAAACTCAAAACTAAATAAAAACTTGAGGTAAACACCACCCTTGCGATAATTAACAAAGGCCGTTTTTGGTTCGATTCTTCAATGTTTATAACTGTTACCAACATTTAATTGCACAAAGCTCATATGCTGTTTGGGTTGCTTACTTCAGAATTTCAGAATATTTTCTTCTTTTTCTCTCCACAATTCATTCGGCTAACGGACCTTGCATAATTTTGCCAGCCACTGCTTTTATTAATTGGAGATTTATATAAACTGGCCTGAGTTACTGTGGTCAGGGGAAAAAAGCATGTGGGACGATTACACTAAATAACAGTTTTCAAATCGGGGTCTCTGCGATTCAGTACAAAGGTGTTAGGAAAGACTTCGGATGGATAATGTAGATTGATACATGTTTACGGACGCTACTTTTGTACTCCTAATAAATTTTAAAAGGCACGTATAAACTTTTACATTTTCGGCGCTAATCAGAGCCCGAACTGTTATCGGTAGATGGATAGTTGCTAATCAATTCACTATATAGAATTTCGGAGGCTGGTCGATATTGATTGCATACAAAAAGATGTGATTAAGAGAAGAATTGAAAATCAAGGACATCGTCTGGAGAATCTGATCATGACAGAAACATCGAAAAATTTGAAATGCGTCAGGACGATCGAATAAAATTACGTATCTTCGAGGGCCAGACTACCAATCGAAATGATTTTCGACGGCTAAATTTGGAAAAAGATGTAGAAGGAATCAAAAGACCAGAGCAAGAGAGAATCGAAACGATCGAACGATGCAATAAACGCGTCTTCAGAAGCATATACCAGCAAGAATGTCATGAATCCTTTACCAAATACAAGAAGGACGTGTACGTACCTTTCGATCTGTTATGGAAGCACCAGAGGATCGGTAGGAAGAATGTTAACATTGCGTTGAATACGGTGAGTGTGTTTTGCGCATTGTCGGTTTTTAATGTTGTACTTAATGTTAGGGAGAACCGAGGGATGACTTCAAAGAGGAGGCAATCAAGAGCAGACCGAGACTTTATATATCTCCGGCGTTCAGCGTCGACGATGTTCCTGACAAGAAGATGCGCGACCTGCTGATTGCCTTCATGTACACGACGGACTTCCGGAAAGCGGAAATGGAGGCGACGGGTCATAAGTGTAACGTGCGCGCCGGGTTGCCCATAGGTCAATTCCAAAGGGAGGTGCCCTTGACGTATCCCCCCGTTCCTCATGAGTGGACCAAAGGTTACTCTGAATGGGACAGGAAGCAGCGCAGGGCCTGTGTCGATCCTACCGAAAAATTCTGGGAGACCAAAGATCCTCCGGTCATGTACCATAACTCTCAAATGTGTTTCTCTTTTGTGTTAATTACAATCTTTTTTTTAAATTCAGTTGTGGTGCTTGCGTTGATCGCGTTAAGGGCATCGTACCGACGGAGGTTCGGGACGAGATTGCGTCGGCGATCAGCGATAACAAGCTGAGATTACCGCACGACAGGTTGATGCAAGGCTACACCGGATACAGGCCGGACACTGCGAAGGTGGTGCCGCTGCGCAAAACGGAACTTCCTGTCGTCCATCCTATGTTGACCACTAGTCAGGCAGTTACAAGGCGCTACGAGGAAGACTTTCAGTGTAGGCCGATTCGCGACGCAAATCGACGACAGAATTAAAATTATATAATGAGATACCATTATTGGAACTTTTTTAAATAAAGGAAACTGTCATCATGATATGGTTGAACTAAAATAATTATTAAATAATGATCTGAATATTGGATAGTATCTTTTATTGCATGAAATTACAAATGACATGCTACATGTACGAGTAAAATAATAATATAAAAGAAAATCATAATATAGTAAAAACAGTCAGTGTGGTTAGTTAATAATAATTTATATAAAATATATCCTATAATCATCATCATATGTATTTCTACAACTATAAATTTATAATATGTATTCTCCCTGTATGTCTTTGGTACGCTGTTTGGGCTTAAACTAAAAGAATAAATACATGCAAGGTGAATTGGTAGGATGGGTGATTCAGTGACAATGTATGGTAGGTATGTGTATATACCACCAAAGGATCTTTTCTTCAAGAATTATTCAATTTCATTATATGACTAAATTATATACATCGAAATGGCATCTGAATGTTGCCGATATCAACCGTACATCGAAACACACGAAATAAACTGGATATGAACGGACGGACAGTGGTCACACCGGATGTCCGCCAGGCGAAACGTTGCCGATGGCAATTGTGCATATTTTTCGTATCCTACTGTTCTCGTCCGGCGGCAATGTCAAACTCCTCCGTCAGCCGGGTAAAGTCTCAAGGTATTGCACGGGCTCCTTGATCTGGTTGGGCACGAGGTAGTCCTCGAAATCCAGATCGTCGTCCTCAGGATAAATCATCATGGAGATGAGAGGCGGTGGCCGGGGTAACCTTTTCAGACTGTCCCCGCACTCGTTCTCCACGCGGAAGATGTCCTCAGCGACTGTATCACCGGCTCCAACATCCCCGTTAAAGATGAAGTTATCGTAATCGTCACCCAAGTTTTCTAGTTTGTCATAAATTTCCGTGAAACGGATGCGGTCCCGCGGTTCCGCCTTCCAGCAGTACCCCATAAGGTCACTGATAACGGACGGACAGTCGTCGGGCGGCAAGAGTGTGACTGCGTCCAATATGAGTTTGACGACTTCCTCGTTGTTGTGGCCATAGTAGGGTTGCCTTCCGTAGCTGAAGATCTCCCACAGAACAATCCCGTACGACCATATATCAGATTCGAGGGTGAACCTGCCGTATAGAACACTCTCCGGCGACATCCAACGTACCGGCAGAAGACGCGAACCGCCAATCTGCGAAACCAAATCAAATGATGTTGCTGTTTGCAAAAGTTTTCAATATGCAATACCTTGTAATAGTCGCAGGTGTAAACGTCGCGGCTCATTCCGAAATCTGCGATCTTGACGACAGGACCGTCTGCAACTAAGCAATTTCTGCACGCCAGATCCCTGTGGACGAATCGTTGAGCGGCAAGATACTTCATTCCAGCGGCTACTTGCAGTGCCATCGACAGAAGATCTTTGGTCGTCAGAACTGGCACCGGTTGATCGTTTGGTCCTGGTCGAGACTTTTGCTTTCGAAGCACCTCAGCCAAATCGCCGTACGGCATATATTCGAACACCATTATCGGACTGGCTACGGCCTCTGTGGATAGAACGATCTTGATTACGTCAGTATTTGCAGAATCGCTCAATATATATAATGATGCTGATAATGTACTCACCGCCTCTCTGCACAACGCCTAAAAGCGATAGTATATTCTTGTGCTTGAAGGCACTCATTATGTCTACCTCTCGGAGAAAGTCCTCCTCCGCTTCCTGCGTAGCCGACTCCTTCAACACTTTTATCGCCACCACATCCACGTTGTTTGTATATTGATTAGTCAATTCACCTGAAACACAACACACGAATATTCAAAACTAAAGCAAAAATATATAACAGTCGTTACGTTGCCCATTTGTTCACATTTGTCAAGAGAAAAAGAAAGAACGAAAGAGATACCCTTTTTATATAATAAAAAAGTTCACTTGCACGAGTTGAATTTTACGCAGGAAGGAAGGACGGGACACAAACGTCAGCCCGGAGCGAAAAAAAACGGTTTAAATGGAATCCGTTTACTATTTAGTAGCTATACCAACCAACCATGTGATGTGTAATGTGAATATCATCAAAAGACTAGCGAAATGGAATCTAATGTGCCAGAAAATATAACAGAATGAACGCTTGTTTGTAATACACACACACCGTGTGTATCATCCTCATTCTTCTCTTCCTCATATTCTTCATCAAGTTCGCAGCACCAGAAAATAGCGATTGATTGATTTTCATTTGGTTATAATAGTTAATGCGCAATTCCGGTTTAACTTTGAAATATTTTCAAAAGCTCATACATAAAAATTAAATAGTTTAAATAAGAGGACATTGCAGATAATATATAAGAAGTTGAAATTTGGATTATATTCAAATATATGAAATATCTCTAGATCAGCGAAAATATTATTAGAACTTTTTATGTATTGATATCTTTACAAATCAAATTAGTTTCTGTAATTGTAGTTTTACGATTTGTAAACTATATCGAATATCGATTCCGAATGGACTCTTGCATGCGAATAACATTGAGTAACGCAATTGAAGTGCGAATAAACAAATTAGTGAATTGTATTCAACAACAGAAGTCTCATTAATTTGGCACATCGTAATTTTAAAATGAATATTGCCGGTTATATTAAATATTATTATTCTACATTTTGTTTTGGTATTTACTTTTTCATAATTATATCTTGTAGTTACATAAAACGACTATTTTAAAATAGTGGGCCGCGAATATATTTTAAGGGGTCCGCTACTAAAAAATGGTTAAGAACCAGTGCTCTAGATGATTAAATTTTAATATTTTGTTGATGTGTTTGTTTTATTCTGCTGATTGATAATAATAGGTCATAACTCTTATCGCGCAGCAAGCAAATATTGTTTGTTTGCATACTTGGGGGATGACCATGAAGATAATTATGATGATGTCGAAGGGATGGGAAGAAGAAGAAATAGCAAGGAAGACGGCAGCAATTTATATTATTATTAGCTTTCTTTTCCCGCATCTCTTCTTCACTTTTCTCCCATTCTCTCTCTACCACTCTCTCTCTTCGTTCCGCCTTCAGTCGGTAATCACCTTTCGCGCGGTCTCCATCGTTTTATTTTAAAAATATATGCATTTTTATATATACTTTTTATTCTTCCTCTTCTCGCTATGTGAGTGTTCGTATGATGTTTGTAAGTGGTAAAGTGTGTAAATTGACGCTATTCCATCAAATTGTGCAAGTTTTGCATTACGTAAACGAGCTGACTGAAAGAGTTTAGCGTACTTCTTTAATTTCTAATTTCGTTAGAAGAACAACAACGTTTTTCCGGTTAATATTGTTTATAGAAACGGTGTCGGAATCTTCATTTTTGCATTTAATAATGGTGGTGGTAAGTGCGTGAGTTGTCTGAATCTCGTGAACGCACACGTTCGCACTCTGCTGCTGTTGCCGCTCTTCTCGCAGACCGGCGGCGTTCTCGAATCCGTTACGGCGGCAGCCGAAAACAACAACAAACGGCATTTCATCGTTGGTAAAGAAAATCAAATAAAATACATAAAGAGAGAATAACTAGCATGTCCGGAGGAGGATTGACTCGGAAGTATTTATCACATTTTACAACGAAATCGGCGACGATACCTAGGTCGCGTGGATGGATGTTCGGAGGCACAAAGTGGTCTCTGATGGCTGCCGGAGGACCGGAACAGTTGCACAAGTACGTGGACAGGAGACACAAAAAGTACGGACCCATTTTCAGGGAGACACTCGGAGGTGGCGTCGACGGCGTCTTCATTTCCGACGTCAATTACATGCGACAGGTTTTTCAATTGGATGGTAAATATCCGGTGCATTTGGTGCCTGAGGCCTGGACGTTGTACAATAAGCGGTTCGGGACGTCGCGCGGTCTTTTCTTCATGAACGGTCAGGAGTGGCTCAATAATCGTCGAATCATGAACAATTTCCTGCTAAAGGGCGACATGAGTTACGTAAACGAAGCGTGCGACGTCGCCGCTCATAATTTCGCGCAGTTGATGACCCCAAAGGACCTGGAAATTTCACTCTACAAATGGTCCTTGAACACTTTAATAGCCGTTCTCCTAGGAGCACGCAACTATGAAGAGTACGTTCGTACCAATACCTACGATCTTCGAGAGCTAACCAAAAACGTTAAATTAATTTTCGACTCTTCGACGCGTTTGGAGCAGTTACCTGTGAAGTGGGCGTCACATAACAATTGGAAGCAGTGGACAAATTTCGTCCAATGTGTGGATATTGCGTTGGACGGCGCCACAGATTTAGTGATGAACCTAATGGACGTTAAATATGATGGTGGATTGCTCGAACGGATGATGTCGGCGATGCCCAAATCGGACGTTATCAAGGTGATCGTTGATCTGATCCTTGCTGCAGGTGACACCACCACATACACGATGCTGTGGTGCCTGTACAATTTGGCCAAACATCCGGAATTACAGAACAACCTACACATAAAGTCGAAATATTGTCCAGATACGAAGGTCACGTCGTATCGTAACTTTATTAAGGAGACGTTGCGATTGTATCCGGTGGCACCATTCGTAACGCGCGTTATAGTCGAAGAACCGGTAACCGTTGGACCTTATCGGATCGATATAGGGAACATCATCATACTGAGCCTGTATACGTCGGGGCGAAATGCTTCGTTGTTTCCGCGTCCGCATTCCTTCGATCCGGATCGTTGGTTCACCAGGTCGCCTGACATGCAGAAGGCGACATTGCATTTTGCGATGGGAGCAAGATCCTGCATCGGTCGGAAGATAGCCGAGCGACAGCTGGAGAGCACCCTGGAGATGATAGTCAAGAAGTACCACGTGCAGCTCGAAGTCGACGAGGACATCGAGATGATCATGAATATGGTTGTTGTTCCATCAAAAACGCTCAAACTTAAATTAACTCCCAGATAGTCTTTATATTGTGTTTTTTTTTTATTAATTTTAAGATATTTGCTCAATATATACTTGGTTTTATACGAAGACATTTGCTTGTCATCATCTTTATTTTTTTCCCCACTTATCTATCACCTTGACTATTGTCCCTCTCTCTCTCTTCAACTATATCGAGCAATTTCTTTTTGTAAAAACTACAAATGCAAAAAAGCGGCTAACGCGAATCGTGGTGCTCTCTCGTCTCGACTCGTGCTGCGGCGTGTAATTAGCAGCCGGATTTTAATTTAAAATTAGGAACCCGAAGAACAGATTAGAAGGAAGCGCGTCCACTCTGCATAATTAATAATAATTAAACTATGCGCTCCATTTTCACTTCTTAGACATGCGATACATTATCATCTTCTTTGATCTTCTTTTTTGTGTATTTACTAGTTACAACTTCGACCAGCTTCAACGCAATTTGGAGTTTATTCTAATTATTTGAGTTCAAAGATCATCCGTACGATGTTGCTTATCTTTCGCGTACGTTTGGCGGCTGCAGCTGTCATGTACAGTGGAATCTCGCATAACGAGTAAAATGAATTGTAAGAAAAATGACTCGCTTAACGAGCGACGATGAGAAGAGAAGTCCCGGAATGCTCGCTTTCTACAAAATTTTTATAACTTGTGTACACATATTACGTGTATTAAGCATCTTCGTTTTTATTTGTCAATAGTTTGCAAATATAACTAGTGTTTGCTGTAAATGCAGAACACAAATGTATTCTGTTCAACCATTATTATAATATATAAACACACTATGTACGTTTTTTTATATAAATAAATATTAAATGTATAAAGAGACCTCCACGAAGTCCCCAAATTGATACAAATTGGAAAACAGTTCCTAGTGTTAGTGGTCATTTTAGTTGTATCTTAGTGTTGTTTGTGTTCATAAAATTTCCAAATTTGTGTTTAGACATGTTATTTGTGTTTTTTTTTGTGCAAAATTTAATAAAACTTGCATGTCTCCGAATAAAAAGCCAAAAAATTAAAAGAACTATAGATACGAAAAACAAAATTTTTAAAAATCGAGACCAAGTTATATTTTTTTTTCGGCAAGGAATGCATTATCGTAATTTACATGAGTTTATATGGAAAAACGTGTTTCACTATACGAAAAAAAATCCGGAAATTTTGGAACGGATTAAACTCGTTAAGCGAGGTTCCACTGTATTTTTATGCGGCGACAAAAAAAAACATTAAGAGTTCAAAGCAAGAAAAGAGAAAAAAAGAGAGAAAGAGAATTTAAGCCGCGCGCCAAATGCGTCCATTTGGGTGTCGTAAAAATTAACGACGCAAACACTTGAAGAATCCTCCAAAACGGAATACATCCTCCTCATCAACAACAGAAGAATAAGTGATCCTTGTTCATCTGAGACAAGTGGCGATCTGCCGCCGTTCTGTACACTTCTTCTATTACGATGTAAATGAATGAATGTTAGCATGTGAGAGAGGAAAATAGCGGCTAATTTAAAACGCGGCTTTAATCAATTTTAAATGTGCCGTCGGGCATCGAGCAATTAAGAGACTAGAAGTAATTTATTCATCTCACAGAACGAGAGACGCTCACGCCTCATTTAAGTCACATGAAAAAGTAATATTCAGTTTGTTTGCTTTCCTAAGATTATCCAATGAATTCGAGAAGGAACGTACCTTGCAATCTGATCGTTGTACAGACGAGGAAGAAGGAAGGGGGTGAAAAATGAATGATTACTTAGCTTCTGCTTCTTATAGCAGCAATTCGATTAATACTGCAGAAAGTTAAGTTTACTATTACGCACTTATTTTCCGCTAACAATTTCATTCAGTAAATAGCATTAGGGTATCTCTTTAGAGTTGCGGCTTATAACGTCGTCACCTTAAATATTATACAAGCATTTTAAAGTAAAACTAAGAAACCAACAACAAAAAAACAGAGCGCCTCACCCCCACACTCGCGAAACAATGATTACGCAATGAAAAAAGAAAGAAACACTCACCTTTGTAGACTTTGCCGAAGCATCCCTCGCCGATTTCTTTGAGCAGTTCGAGATTTTCCTGTCGCAGTAGTAGCACGGGGCCGCTTGAACACGCCGAGTACTGGGGATTCGGGGCATATCTATCTGCTACCAGAAGATTCCTCTTCAAGACTATAGGCGAGGGCTGCAAATACAAGATTATTACGTTAATAATATTCAACACTTTTTAATAATGTTGTTATTAATCACTTACCGATTTTGAGCTTTTGTTTCTCATCGAGAGGTGTTTCAGGAGCTTGCAGATGATTACTATGATGACGAGACTGATGAATACTACGCCAACTGTTCCAGTTATGTATTGCACTCCTTGGGAGTCGGCTTCTGTCACTGGAGCTACTGTTGGTTCAACCTATCATCAAATAATATGTAATCACAGATCATCGATAAAATACAATAATTGTTCGGAAAGAGAATTTGAAAAAGAAAACTCACAACGTAGATCGTAGATTCGGTGGCGTTGGTTAAAAGTTTCGGTGTTTTGGCTGCTCCCTTCGTCGTATCGTTGTTCTGCGGTGGCAAAATATTTTCTATAGGCCTAGGATCAAGCGGCACTAGAAAGTAAAAAATAAAACAATTACGTCAAATTACCAAACAGAGTCGTAAAATAACTTGAACTTAAATTAAACAAGCAATGTGCAAGTTTCAGAATAAGAAAGAAGAAGTTGTAAACATCAAAACTTTGTTTTAGTACTTAATATTTCATGATTCGAACAACATTTTTTTTTTGTTTATATCATTAAATATAAGTCCCATTGGGTCTTTTGTTTGTTCGCATTGGCCCAGTGCAATCTTAAAGTGCACTTGTGATTTAGCTGAAGAGAGAAAGAAGAAAGATGATGATTGAATTATTGGTTTGGAGAAAGAGAGACAGAGTTAATGAGTGAAGGGGGGAAGAAGTGAGGTTGGCAGTTCAAGTGGATGTTCTTCGTCCCTTTTCGTCTCGCACCGAATAACGAAGCGCCACAGAGATCGTGACCCAAAACTCAACAACCACCTGTTGTCATTTTTTTAGAGGAGGAATGGGTGGAGGAGGAGGTGCGGCGAGGAGGATGAGAAAGCGACAACTTTTCACCCACTCCATACACCGTCGAATTCGGTCGACCATTGTTCAGCCACCTCCGGGTCCAAACACAATAATAAATCTCCATGGTAAGAAGATCCACGGATAAGGAAATGAAGTTATCCTCGACGGTTACTTGCTTTATTGCTGCACGACGGTGGTATGCATGTATGGGCAGTAGGTGCGATGATGATGATGAGATGGATCACCCACTACAGATTCCGGCGTGGGCAGTGGTTTCTTAAAGAACACAATGATCAGTTGATGATGATGTTGTTGTTTGTTGATGAGGATCAACTTCAAGGGCTGAATCGAAAACGAACCTGACCCATTATAGAAAAGAAAAAAAAAAATGTGGGCGACATGGATCGCTCTTAGCTTCTGTGGATAATCCGCCTCTTTCCATAATCGTAGAAACAAAAGGAAATATCTGTTCTCCATACTGTATGATTTCATATTAAAAGAAGAAGTTCATCCGTTCATGTAAAGTCATAGAGGAGTATATTATTATGCAAATTACGTAAATAATGCGATACGAAATGCTAAATCTTCTACCATAAACGAAAAGACTTAAATACATCCCGATTATCTATCACCATCTGGGATATGCACTCCATCATTATCATCACCTGCAACTATTTTAATATCGTTTATTGCAGTAATCAATTATTTGTACGAATCATTATGTCTATTAATTATAAAAAATTGCAGCAGAACAGACCTACTGCAGCAGAGATGGCAACAAACAAACTTTAATTGAGTTGAATTTTTTTATTTCATCCCGCAACCGTTTCGATTTGAATCGAAGTTAGCGGAAAATATCGGTTGTCATGGTTAACATCGCCAATTATCGAAGGTTACACGAATGGTGGGTTTTGTTGGATAGATAAAATCGCTAAAGGAGGGTGGTGTTTGCAGCAAATTGCAATATCAAATTGCGAGAATTTACATCTCCCAAATAAATTTCATGAACAGGAATTGTATGCAATTATATACATTTACTCAAGCGAATAATGTTATATCAGTGTTCGAACAGTACCAATTAATGTCCGACAACTTGAGAAATATCTTAATTAGGAATTTTTTTTTATAAGTAATAATTGGGATGAGCTATGAATGAAAGTGGAAGGAGGTGTATTGAGTGAATCCAAACATACGAAGTAGTATTTTACCTGTGATCCTATTAGGGCATCTCTGGTCTTTGGTAGGTGGAAGTGAATCGTGCGGACAGAGGCACGTGTACGTGTTATTCGTGAAGGGTTTGCAGGCGGCGTCCGCCCCGCACACCCCCATCGTGCATTCGCCATCCCTGATGATATGTACCCTCTCTGCAACAATAGAACAATGAAATATTAATTTAATGTGTCAGATGCAGTGGAATATTGAAAATGCGAATAAATACGTTCATACTAAAAGTCAATGTCTCCCAAGAAGAGTATCCTTAATAAAATATCGCTAAGACAACCACCTTATCGGGTCGCTCCCGGAAGATGAGAAGAAGCAGGTAAAAAAAAGCGGACAACATTCTCTACAATTAAGCTAACAGGATGATGTCTCTCTCTCTCTCTCTCTCATTCTCTGAACGGGATAAATTTTTTCTCGTATCTTAATAACGCGTTGGCCTTGTTTTGTTTCCACCGACGAAAACCTCGAGGGTAGGAAGCACCCTTTGATCCGGATGCAAATATTTGATCCCCTCCCAAAAATTCGTTCAATCCCACCCCTTCCTTTTTCTTATATCCGGAAAACTTGTAAAATCATCCACTGGGTTTTGACTTCTTAAAAACTTTACCAATTATTTGCTTTCATCAATTGAAATTTTAAATATTTACTCTGCGCGTTTCAACGCCGTTTATTGGTAAACCAACCGGAGTTTTCAACCTGTAATCCAATTGAAAGTGAATTATAAAAATATGCCTGCACGTGCTTACAACTGTTTGATTCGTATTGGAAACTAATGTGAATTTAATAATAGCAGTTAGTCACATGCTATGCGAACGAAAATAAACAACATTTAGAGCGGAGGCATCACTCCATACTTTGCATTAGTTTTTATTTTATATTTTTTTCATTTCATTTTTACGAGGTAAGTGGATGCGGCAATTTTATCTTCTTTCCGCATTCAAACGACAAATCGTCGCAAACCAAATAGGGAAATTTACGATTGGTTTCGATTAATCTATCGAACAAAATTGGCGAAAAGCTAAATAATCTGTGCGCCAAAAAAAAAGGAAAAACGAGAGATCGGGAAGAAGGAGAAGAGTGAGCTAAAAAGAGAGAGAGAGAGTTGATCATCCGATTTTAGATTTTTGTTGTAAATATTTAAATGCCGACACCCCATTGTTTCTTTGCTGCGAATCGAAAATAGACCGCAATTGTGTACATGCCAGCGGGCCCATCACGTCTTCGCTGTTTATCATTTACACTATACTTTTCGCAACTTCGTTATTTCTGTATTTATACGCGGAAACGGTTCGCGTTTCTATCTCCTATAAACAAAATCCAATCGTTGACATCTCACAAAACAAAAACAACAACAGCCTATCGCATATTATTTCTAACGTTACCCGGCAGCCTCCATCTTGAATACCTCCATATTGTAAATAACAACTGTAAGCGCCAAAGCTCAGCTAATATGCTTCTTCCATTAGATGCTATCTATTAGGGTTTTAAAATCCGTTTTTTTGAAGAAATTAAAACCCGATATTTGAGCCTGGATGTAAAATATACACATGTATTAATTATTTGATACAAAACATAAATATTTCGACACAAAATCGTCTGTTTACTGAAACAAACAGAAAATTGGGAAGGAATTAAGTCTTATTCTTAATTTTTAAACGAGATGGAATAAAGGTCATAATAGAAAAATCAATTCATCAAATATTTTCAAGAACCTGTGACCTTTTCAAGTCCTGCCTAAAAAAGATTTTTTTTTATATTTTAAGGTACAAACACAAAATAGATTCATTATTTAATTCTCTAAAGCAGCATATCTAAAACTTTTTGCTCTTAAAAAAATTTCTGCGACCCCATGAGGAATGTGTATGTATAGAAAAACATTCCGGATTGATCTGTCATCTATTTTTCTACTACCCCCCAAATATTTTTCTCGACCAAGGGGATCGCGAGCACCCTTTGGAAATCACTGCTCTAAAGTTAAAAAAAAAAAAACATTTAGAAATAAGAAATAATATTTTATAGTAATTTTTTGTTATTCGCTTTTTTATATTGAATGAATTTTATTTTGATATATTTTTTAATTTTATATATGTCACAGTAAAAGTAAATAATAATTTTTTTTTGTTACACAACTCTAAATATGCAACTTTATAAACCTAAATGAACATTTACCGACGTCATTAGGTAAATGTATACATTTACCGATTTTGAACTTTTGCCGTAATATTAAATAAATAGAAAATAAGTTGTAAAAATCCTTTCTATTTTTTGTGAATATTCGAAAATCGGTTTAATTAAAGTCGGTTTTTGTATAGTAAATCCTAATAGCATTACTTATATCATCATGAAATAACAAGTTTTATATATGATTGTATATCTTCATATTATAAAATGATCATATTTGATATTCAAGGTGGATTCTTGTTGTTTGCAATTAATTGGGAAATGAAAATATAAAATATTTGCATTATACAACCTATATATAATATTTTGGAACGGTTGCGCTTTGATGGTTCAACAGTATAGTTAATTAAGCCGGTCAAGCGGGTGAGTCCAAAAGTATTTTCGAACAGGTAATTGAGTTTAGCAACGACAGCAAATTTAAATTGAATCGACAGCCCGATTGAAATATCTGTACGTGTATATGGCTATATATATATTTGTGAGTATTTAGAAATGCAGTGGTAGTACGATGAAAGGCTTCCCCCCACAAACATTGCAAATGGTAATCAAAACCAAATAAATTGCATTGCCACTTTTTTTTTAGTTTTTCTATTCATGTTTTAAAGCCTTTCACAATCAAATCCCTTATTATAGACTCTTCCTAGTTTATCACTTACAATAATTAAAACAAAAAGTTTTCCGAATGCTCATCGATTAACTTTAATAAGCGATGCAATTAACGCTCGCCATTTATGCAACCAAACTTGCCGTTGCATTTCAAACGAATAACAAAAATAACAAGCAAACAACAACGTTTTGAAAATAAATAATAAGGATAACGATGAACCGAAGTTTACTAAACATTATTCGAATTGGAAACCGGAAAATGATGAATTGCCTGTTAAGTAGTTGGAAATTTCTATTCGGTTCAATAGATTCATTGACATATTCCAGATTCCATACGATACGCACACTTTCGTTGGCACAAATCACGAAATGTTTACACTGTTTCACCGATTTTCCAATAAAGTATCTTCTCTTTTCAAAAATAATATCTTAGAAAATTACAATATTATGAGAAATCAATGATTTAATATGTTTATAAAATAATGGAATCAAACTTAAAGGTACGTGGAATTATATGCCAATACACATGGAATAAATTATTTATAATACGAAGGAATGAATAAAATAATAATAAATGGAATAAATCAATTTTATCTTAGAATGTTCCCGGAAGAGCTTCTAATCTAGGGTTATCACGCTCCATGCAAGAAGTCAAGCAGATCGGTATTTTCTACAGTATATCGAAACAACAACGCAGCAGCAGCAGAAGAAGAAGAATTATGAGAAAAGGGCAGACCGTGGATGCAGTTGTTGTTGATTTTATTCGTATTGTTTGCATTCCGAGTTTGTGCGTGACTTTCGCACGGGCTCTCCTTTTTTCCCTTGAGGTGTCGCACCCGGTGGCGGCGGCACGTCGAAATGTCGTACATCCCGAAGAACCCTTCCGCACGCGCTCCCCCTTAATGCCCCTCTTCCCCCAAGCATCATCCACCTCGCCCGCAAGATAAACAAGCTTGTACCGTTTCAAGATGAGCAGACGGACGGACGGCTGTATCTGCGGCCGGTGGCAGCTGGAAAACGCACAAAAATAGTCGAATTCTTCTTCAGACAAACACCAAATGGATCGGATGTTGTTATCCTCTGCTCCACTTCACGATGAAGCGACACTCACGTTCCTACTTTCAGCCCCATCAAAAATTGTTGTTCTTTCTAATCGATTTTCGAATGCGGAACGCAATGTGGGAGGCCGAAAAAGTCGAAACAAGAGTGAGAAAACAAAAATACAAACAACAACAATAACACCAACACAGATTTTCCGTTGGAAAATTTGAAAGGCAACATGCATCGTTGACTTCAAATTTTTGGCATTGAATAAAATTTACCAACTGGTCCATAATAACATTTTACACTTAAATTCATTTTTGAACACAAAAAAAAAACAAGAGTGCAGTTCCTTGCATCCTGAAAATGTACCAAGTATTCTGCATTCTGTTATTTAAATAACAAAATTTAATCGTAAATCATATTACTTATATTTATGTTTTAATAAATTATAAAATTTGTAATAATTTCGATACAAAACACCTGAGTTTGTTTTATTTTCTTAATACAAATAAATTCAATTGTTTATTTACGTCTCAGTTTTATCATTGTTACACAAACCATTCGTTTTCTGTCTTCGATTTTTGTCTTCGACTCCGTAACAAAAAAAAGAAGAAGTTTTCTTTCATCCGCTTATTATTATATTTGTATTTTTAATTGCGGCGATAAAACCGCCGGACGCGCATTGAAACGCGCCTCGGCATTAGAAAAGTTTCTAAATTTAGATTTGTGGTAATATTAAACAACTTTTGATTTACGTGTGCGAACAAACAAATTTGTGCAATGATTTTTTCTTTAAAATATCTTAATTGTTGATTTAGTGTAGGTTCAAATAACGAAGAATTTAACTTGAACGGGGTACGCTTACTGCTTCTTCGATTTTCTTTAGTTTCCGATGTGATGCAATAAATAGCTAGAATGATTTAATATTGTCGACGCGATGTATAGCAGTGTTAATGTCAGCGGGAATCGATTTAAATAACAAGTTGCGCTTAGTATTCGCGTGTTTCGGTTTCTTCGTACTCGTATAAATCGGGATGTGGAACATGTTGATGATGATGATTAGATGAAGGGAGAAGAGCATGGTGATTTAGATGCGATGAATGTGCGGACAGTTGGCGTGCAACAGACCATGCGACCGCACTGAACGGGCCCCTTGTTTTCTGCAAGACGACGACAACGGCGACTCGCACATTGTTGCTACCGCTTCTGACGTTTGTTGTTGTTGCAGTTGATGAAGATGTTGGGCTTCTGCTGTTCGCCGACCAGTACAGATTAAGTTTATAATTTGTTCAACATGAAATCTCTTTCTACTCTCTATCTCTCTCTTTATCTTACTCAAGGATGAGAACAAAGCGGCACATTGATGAATCGGACGCACTTTGTATCCTGCAGATAACGTCGACACCGACAATTGTTCGATTCACAAGGAATTCCGCTTTAACTTGTTATTATTTTTTTCGGTGATTCTGTTTTCACAGTTTTCTTTTTAAATTATATTACTTAAGTTCTTTTTATTGCATTTACGCAACAGCTCAATCGCACATAACAACTATGTTTCTGCTTCGAGGATCAAACAAAAGTCAATCATAATAATCGATTGCCACAGAAAAAAATAAACACATCATAGATGTCAATTAAAAGTAATATTTTGTAAAATTATTTTGAAATAATACATTTGCAATAGATATAAATTATCGCTACTTGACACAAACTAATAAATTTCACTATTAATAACATATAGAAATAAAGACATATATCTAATCTAATATATTAAAACTATATTCAATTGCGGAACGAAACAAACGAGTTTGGACAGCGACGCGCATCGCAATATTCAAATAAATCTGGCTAAAAATCAAATAAAAACTTGTTTGTTAACAACAATTGGGTTGCATAAATGCGACCGATGTGGCAGCGTCAGTTGCATATTCGAAATTGTTGTTGTTATCGAACAACCGGCAAGAACAGTATTGGTATCGGAAATAAATTGATATTTATAATGCGGCAATTTTATACCAGAGTCCATAAATAAAACATATTAACATTTTATCGAATGGAATAATAAAGAGCGAAACGTTGCAAAAGAGCGACACGCCGCACTCTCCTGAATTATGCCCCGCAATAATCGAAAACGATAGGGAAAATGGAGAATATTTCTAACTAATTATTTTTCGATTATGTTCATGTTTATATTTTCGAGAGATACATGAAGTTCCAACACGCGTTTTCGTCTCGATCAGTTTTGTAAGATGCAGTTTTGCGCGGTTCTGATCGTTTGTGTGTGTGTGTCGTAATCCGTTCACCCACAATGGTCCATTTACTGGGTCACTTACATAATGGCATTTTCCGACGTCGCTCTAACAACTTCTTCGCCGCGCACTCAATTTATTCCACCTCTGGCGAGCGTTGGGTGTGTTCCTTTTGACAAAAACCCAGCAGAGTCCTCTTTTTATCTCTTCATCCTTCTCCACATACTTCACCATTCGACGGAGTAGAAAGAAGAAAGTTCGGCCGAACGAAGTTTGCGAAATGCACGCACAAAGATGGATAAAAAAAGGACATCAGGTTTGATAAATTCCGTTGCCGCATACACATGTCCCCTCAATTTCGACTTAAATCCCATTTCGATCAAAGCTCTATAGTTTTGCCTATTGGAATTCAACGCGTACGTTTCAACTCTATATAGAGCCAAGTGTATATAAAAGAATGTTCATTGTCACGAAATGGAATCGATTGATGATTTCTTTGTTTTAATTAAATCGTGAGAACAAAACCTACAACCTAATAATATAAATTACATGTATATTCAACAAAAAACATGAATTGTTTCATTCAATTCGAGAATAAATATATAAAAACTGAGAGAAAACTTCGTATTTTTTATTTTAAATTAAATAACACACATCTGGTTTCTGCTTTGCTTTTCTTTTATTTGAAAAGTTATAATTTTCGCTCAATTTCCTACCGAACGTACAAACTTTTCGCTCCCTACAAATTTCGATTGATTTTAAATAAGGTACACAAAGATGATTTCATTCACTGCGAACTTTTCTTGAAAGAACAACAACGCCATTCGATAACTCAAATTTTGAATTTTCATTTTCAGCAAAATGCTGTTATATTATTTATTTCAACTACAGATATACTGTATTATTATTACTTTATTATGAATATACCTTTAAATTTGATTATTGTTAATTATTTTTGTTGTTTCTTTTCATTAAAAATTAATTTAGTAATTTTAACAACTCAAACATTTAGTTAATCTTTTCATTTTCCTAAAATGTATTGTTATTATTATAAATTAGTTTAATGATTTTATACTTGTAATGAATATTGCATTACATTTAACGTTAAACTACAGTAACTAACTTTTATCTCGTTCAATCGTCATTATCTCGACCGCGTCTGTAGACCATACACATTCAGATAAAGCACACGGACACTTGTTGTCTTATTCTGTAGAACAAAAATTACCTTAACGAAAAAAAATTGAAGTTGTTGTTCGAGATTTGAAGATAATGCAATTAATATGGAAAGTAAATCTGAATTTAAAGAGCGAACATATTTGTGTGACTCTTTAATTGCGAATTGGATGGATGAACTTACTTCATATATATATATAGAGACTCAAAAGTTTATAAAAGTTGTTACTTCCTCGATTGTTTGAAAAAGTTGCGGAAGCAATTAAACGTTACCATTAAGCAGTTAAGAGTTTGCGAATCGCGGGCAAAGATTTAAATGATATAAACTTTCAAAAGTTGATTACATAAGAATACATGTTTACAATTAATACGAACCGTTTACGTCGCTGTAATGCTGATGATCCATTGTCAATAACTTCCCCCGAATTCGAACGTGGATGTAGCAGCAGTAGCAAATCTACTATTTCTTGTTCCTCCGCTATTGGTAAAGAAATGTATCCATTCACAGGAGATAACACATTGAAGGATCGTCGCGCACGTCCATCGCGATGTACTACATTCGAATAACTAACGCAAAACAAGCAAAGTATTTTCCGCGCGCACTTTTCCGGTGCGATATTCAAATTACCCTATGCAAAGCGAGACTGTCTGACCGACTGACGAAGGAGGTGCCCGCTCGGTATTTGGTGATTACGCTGTTGCTGCTGCTGCTGCTGTTGCCGTTACCGCTGCTGGTGCTGCTGCTGTTACGCTCCCACCACCACCATCACCACCAACCAAAGTCGCACTCCACCACCGACGACCCGACCCGACCCCGATCCGCCTTTCCCTGTGCGAATGGATCCGATGAACAGAACAAACCAATACCAACAATATGAGCAAAAGAGTTAAATAAAAGGAAGAAACTCTGAAGGATCTAATCGCTCTCTCTTTCTCTATGTCTTTCGTTCTTTCCCGATGATGATAATAAGGCCAATAATTGATCTCCGAACCCCATTTCATTATCGTTATTTATTTTCCAAACGAAAATCTCAGATAGTGAAGACTAACGACTTAAGAGTGTTACAAGATTCGAGTATGAAATGTCCTTTCAGAGAATTCTACATCACCTAGTTTTTCCTCACAATTTGTGACAAAAATCTACTAAAATACTCACATATAATATACAATAATAAAAGTTTTTCTAACCATACCACTTCTTTGACACAACAAATACTATCTTTTAAGAAATTCAATAACTTCTCGACCTTAAAAAAAACATAAAAAAAATATAAAAATTTAATAAAACTGCTTTCATCAAATATAAAATCAATTAAATATCATAAATATTATCAATTTGGATGTACATTTAAATGTATATGTTCAGATTGTATTGTATTGATACTAATTAAGTCTATTATTCATTCATCTAGAGGTGATTTGCGTAACAATAAAAAGGAAAACAGTTGTAAAAGAATCCAAGCAACCCTAAACGTCTCTTGCATGTAAAACAAATAAAATGTACATAATCGTAAATGACAATTTAATAATTTAATTATGAAAATATAGTTAAAACATGAAAACAACAAGCTGTACTTTTATCGTTTCATTCAAGAGCTTTTAGCTGTTAAAGCGTATGGAATGGAAACCTACGAATTGAAATAAAGCAAAGTGCCAACTCAAACAAGTGTGTTAAATGGTTGAACGCGAGAAATTCGAAGATGTTCGCAGTATCTGCGCTCGTCATTCTATTAATATTGAACATCGAAGAATTGGGCAAACTCGTATTTTCATATTTGTTTTGGCTAAATATATTTCTTTCTCTCTGTCTCTCTCTCTTTTTTGGTCGACCACCCTGCTTAATCATCATCAGCTTGCGGTCTATTTATTGTTTAATTTCTGTGCTCAGGCTCGTTCAAATATTGACGAATCATAAGTTCATGTAGTATTTGGGTCATTTCCTACAAAAAGCAAACGTATCTATCAAGTGTACTATCCCTCAGATTTCAGCAAAACAAATTGTTTGTTATTTGTTTTCTTGTTTGTTTCGGATGTAGGAAGAGGGCTGTAATCACAACACTCTGATCAATGTTTATTTTTCTTTGTTGTTGCGATTAGTCCATTCAAAGGAGCTTTATGTCTGAGCGCGAGGAAATTACAATAAGAAGGAGGATCGTTGCTTCGTACTGCATTTACACGATTGCGTAATTTTGATGATTATTAACGTATTTATTTGTATGCTCGCATCAAAATTATACTCAAAAAATTATCTTATCGCGGTGCGCGCTTGGCTTTTAAACGCGGCCCCGGGGCTATCCGATCATTTTACAAACATATCACTCCACTACTAATTGGAACTCAACAAATTTTGCTTCAATTTGAAGGTGTGAGAGAGATATATGTATATAGGAGCGGTCTCAACGTGTACGTGCGATAGGGATGAAACATGAAAACGTTATATTACTTTTTTATCAGCTGCTAAGAGAAATTGACAGCGCACTATGATTATACAATCACGAACGTGCGTAGCTGTTAACAATTCCGTAATATTTTTGTGTGTGCAACGAAAACAATGAATTTGCTACGTTAGAAAATTTATAAATTGATTTACAGATTCACCGAGTGATTATTTTATCTGACGTTGTAATTGTTTTGCAACTGTCATTATGCATATTCATCACTAAGACAAATTATTAACGTTTGGTAATTTGTTGCTGCTTGTTGAAATTGAATACGAGTCGTTGTTAAAATCGTGCCCCGAAGGAAATCGAATTAAGTATAAGATTTTAGGACCATATCGGGTGGTATTTATCTCCAGTATTTGATCGTAAAAAAAAAGCCGCGCGGCGTATGGAAATGTGCGGGCGCCCCACGAGGCTCCATCTGAAGAGATAGAAAATAAAGCGGTGCGAGTGTGAGAGAGAGAAACAAAAAAGATAAATAGGGTTTGCTGCTGCTGCTGTGGATGCTGCGAGCCTTCGATATATCATCATTGTTGTACTCTTTGTGGGGAGAAACCGAGTTCCAGAAGTCGTGACCGTGTAGGTCCGACAATAGAATAATGGGCGTCGAATTTCGTTCGTAGGACAGTAACTTAAACTCTCTCTCTCCTCGAAGAAGAAGCATAAGTACAAAAAAAAAATAACACAAGAAATTTCCACATCCCGATGTCCACATATTGTACATGGTTTCTTATATGGACAAATCGAAAAGAGATATATTCAAATTAAGAAACTTATTAAATTATGTTTATATACGACGTGCTTCGTCGGCAAATTAACGCACAGGCGTAGGAGTTGCGAGCCTCTTAAAATGGGCCCTTCAAAAAACGATACTTCCGTCATTATTTTTAACTAAAAACATATTTGAATTGGAAATATTCAGAGGAGGGCCTGGGGCCTCTCAGGTGCTTAAACCAATAAATGCACCTTCGTTTACTAGATGACACATGTTTCTTCAAAATTTTACAACCAATATGAATATTTCAATCGCTCAAACATAATGATCTGGTATAATTTAATTTTTCTCATTTTAATATTCCAATTGTCATAATAATACGTTTATTATTTACAAACATTCTCGTGTCTAATATTATTACATAAGTCAAATATTTGAAACACATTAATTCAAATTCGATTGCATACATATCTCATACAATTCCAATAGTCTTCTTGCTGCGACCATTTAAAAGTTTAATGTTTATAAACAATTATGTGTGTACTTTGCTATTTGGAATAGTGGCACACATGGAGAATAGAAGTACTTTGTGTACTTTGTATTGTGTTTACCAGGAAGTCGCGCGAAATATCGGTTTTATCGCGATTCTCTTTTTTAATTTTGTGCGATGAGCGGCGTTTATCGGGATTATCTTTTACTTTTCTATGCATTCCGTGAGTTTTCATAACGACGAGGCTGATTAGAATTGTGTCACGTGAGATAGGTTTGTTTGTGGTACAGCTGCATTTGCAATGAAACTAGTATAATAAATTTTGTTTATGCTTATTATATTATTTAATAAATTTACAAATATTTACATTTACTTTCATTGAATTAACAAATCTATTAATAATGATAATATAATGAAGTTTTTAAAAACAAAACAAAAAAACTTTGTAATGAATACGACTTATATATAATACAAATTTATTATTAGCTGTGGTATTTGTATTTGTTATGTAGTATTCATAGGATCACATTATTCTACAGTCATGTATGTAGTTTTATAAACTATAGTGACTGTAGTTACTCTAGTCACGAAACACAAATTAAATAATTTGGAAAGGACGAAAATAACCAATGAAAGAAGAGTATGAATCACATTTTGCAAATTGGTATATATATATACGTATAACGATTAATGTTTAATTTTCAAGGATCGGACGGAAACATTTGAGAGGAGCGCGTGCCACTCGTCAACGATCACTGGTGTTTATTTGGTGAGACCACATTGTTCCTAAAATTAAACGTTTCCATTGCGTAAATACGAAGCGTTTTCCGGTTTTTCGGCGTCCGGAATGGTTTGGGTATTGTTGCGCAGTTCAGCAGCTGCGGACCTCGGAGATAACTTCCTTGCCGACAATTACTTTGTCGGGTCGATTAACACAAGTGTAGAGCATCATCGTGGTAAAACTGAGGAAGGAGCAAATCAAGGTCATGTTGAATGAGAACTTGAACCACCAGACGTTATAGATGTCCTCCAGCTCGGAGTACCACCAAACCAGACACATGGTGAGGTTCTCGATGAAAACGAGTAGAAAGTATCCTGTGTAGATTAAGCGCGCTTTTTTGAACTTCTTCTTGAACTCGATGATGCAGAATATGTAGACGAGTCCGATGAAGATGAAGAAGACGGCCTTGGTGCGACGCACCACGTATGCCCGAACATCGTAAAGCAGGATGGCGACGCACAATATAAAGTGCGAGACAAGAAGCCAGATGACGTCGCGCGGATAGAAATAAGCGAATGTGGAGATGGCGAAGAAGCGAGCGAGCAAGAAGCACATCCACCAGAGGAAGGACACCACCTTTCCGACGAGGTCGTCCTCGGGGAGCGCCCGGATGTACCTGATCGGTTGGATGGCGATGTCCACCTCATCAATGCCGCCCTCTACTGGCTGCATGTAGTAATCGCTGCTGGTGGTGCTTTCCACGTCCACCGTGAGGCTCTTCCTGATGGCCTGGGCCGTCTCTCTGGTTCTGTAGATGATGCCCACCTTCCGAGATCTCGTTCCATCCACGTAATCCACGGATGGATCGTAAAGACACTTGTACGGTTTGAACCAAGGATAATCCTTTCCACCCACCTTCTGAGTCTTGAACCTTTGGTACAGCACCGTCGTTCCGGCCAGTATGCAGATATTCACGAGAATGCTAGCTGCTTGAATATCGACTGTAAAAAAAACGATTATTTAGTAAAATTTAATTCTTCAAATTTCAAATATAAATGGAATTACTTGTCTCTTTGTTGCGGTTGACAATGTTCCGCGTGAGGATGTGCAGCTGAAGCAGGATCTGCGGAATCGTGTGCAAAAATCCCTGCAGGAAAAAGTAGAACTCGACGGTCCTCGGAGCCGAGCAATTTTGTAAGGCTTCCTCGTCCGCACCTCTCACCCCCTCGATAGACCAAAATATTTTCTCGGCGTACCTAAGTAATTACACAAACAAAGATTTGAACATACTTTGTACATGATTTATGAAAAAAAAAGCTTTAGTTATGTTTTCCATGCAACTCGAGTGCTTTTCCATTAGCACTAGAAAACGATATAAGAAAAAGAAATTACTCAAATTCTAATCTTATTTAATTTTTTCATGTGAATTTTCACACAATTTCATTCATAACGTACGACGGTTATATTTGGACCACACAAAATCCACTATTGAATGAGGATCGCATTCATCACATTTGATGAATACGTCTTCAATATTTACCGTTTTTCTTTCTCTCTCTCTCTCTCTCTCTCTCTTTCCCTTAGAAATACGTCCATGCATGGCATACTGATTACATATGAACAGAATACATATTAGTATAAGAACTATATGATTAATGTACTTCGTTTCATTGGAAATTTGAAATACGTGATTTCGAATTCAACACAAAAAATAACTACATTTTTTCCCATGAGATTTATTTATTTCTTAGAAAATTCAAGTTTTTTGTAATTGTAAGTAATAATTGCCCTATTAAAATGTGTTTATATGTGTGTATTGTTATATTACCTCCACATGCTCCAAATGGGAAAGAATGCGTGCTCGATGATCTTCGTTACGATCCATTTGAAGCTCTTGCAACCGAATCGCTCATACTCGGGCCACATGTCGCACGATGAGACGGTGAGCGTGAAACATGCGAGGGCCGGTAGGTACATGAAAAAGATGCTGAGTCCAGCCCAGATGGCCTCATCTTCCTTGTACAACCTGTAAACAAGCCCCAGGTCGACGGCGAAGTGCACCACGTACATAGCGCATCCAAATACCGAGGGAAGCAGGTAATTCAGATAAGCGTTCTGCTTAGCCGTCAGCTCGTAGCCCAGAACGGTCAGCTTTACGACAGCCGGAATTGGTTCCATCATTGCCATTTTCAAAGTCTGTCTCAAAAGGGCACAGGGTAACGCTTTCTCGCTGCCTCCATAAACTTCGCAAACTTCGAATAACAAAATAAAGCAATGAAAAGGTGATCGGATCCAATTGTATCATCCTCCGCACATTTTCCACACTTCACTGGTCTGCACCGAGAAGCGACACACATAGCATACGATGATGCCGATGGGATAGGTTCATATCTCAAACGGTTAAATCGATGGAACCGAACGCAATGTTAGATTAGATAAAAACGCGAAAAACACAACACAGAACACACACATTCAATCAAATAATATAATGCATTTCACAACTCATTAGCACACATACTACGCACACGCACCGCCATTTCAAGGGCTCCAGATTAGAGAAACTACTAACTGTTGTTTAGAACCATCGCTTGCAATCATCTTGCAACAATAAAAAAATTGCAAACAACAACATTTTACAAAAGCCACAGACCTTGAGCCGCATATAAACACACAGATAGAATGAGAGCACAATATATGTAGAAAGAGATATAACATTATAATTATTCATGCTCGTTCGTCTGTATTTTATTTTTGTTGTTTTCTTCGTCAGGTTTTCCCCCTCAAAAAACACTTGTTATATAATGGTAAAACGAAACAAGTAAAGAGCTTTTTTTGTATCCCTTAAACGCAAGTTCAGTGAACAGAGAGAAGGCTGCGTCTGATTTTGCGGAAAATTCAATTTCCTCTGTGCCCACTTTGATTTTTGACTTACACATGTGTAAAATTAATCATTACTTCTCACCTTGACCATATTCATATGCTTCAATTAGTTGTTAATCTGCGTGTTTTCCGATTGATATGATTATAAAAATGTAATTACGTATGAAATAAAAATAAGCATGCATCGATCTGTAATATTGCTCACTGATTATATGGAAGAACATCTATTGTTACACATTACTTTAATTAATAGGAAAACTAGATAAAGTTGCGTTTTGTTTCTGTATTTCATATTTTTTTTTAATCTCTACGACCCTCTTTCTGACCCTTATCAAAAACACAATTTTATTGTTTGTGAAATTCAAATCAGATTTTATGTACAAACGACCATAGCGATTAAAATTTTTTGAATTGTCTTTATTATGTGTTAGTATGTTACAGTGAGTTGGCAATGAGTTGACTTTTAGCGTTAGCCATTACACTATGAGCCAACCAATTTCATATTTATTTTTTTTTTTAATAAGAGATTTATATCAATTTACAATTTCATATTTGAAAAGTTTCATTTTTTTTAAATGTCTATGTGTATGTCATCTATCATACTTCAATGGAACTAATTCGATATACCCACAAATGCACAAGTCTTTGCCATAGTTCGCCATCTGTTGGTGCTAACCGTGTGGCAGCGGTCTTCGAGCCGTTTGACATTTGCTGAATGTGTCATCGTCTCCGCACGTCACTTTCGATTTTGATAACAAACTGAGTTGATAAAATATATTACTGCAAACATCCGAGTGGGCGTAATTGTGAATAACAATTAATTAAAGTTAAATTTATTTGTGCCCCAAAGAAACGCGATGGCTAAGAATACGTCGAGTTCGGCGTTTAGGAAGATCGACGTCGATCAGTACTGTGAGGATAACTTCAAAGAGGACGACTCCGATGTAGGAGGCCCCACCGGACCGGATGAAACCGAAGTACTTGGACTTCTCAACAAATATCCTTTTTAATATAACATTAGTAACAATAATTTCTATTTAGATTGTAGTATATACATCCAAATGTTTAATTATAAATAACATACATTATTATTCCTTAACATAATTGCACAGGTCAACACATAGAAGCTTTAAGGACAGTATTAATGAATGCTCCGCTAGGCTCCAAGAATCAATTGGTTAAGGTATAAATCCAATTATTTTTAATACACACATGTAATAATATCTCTTTTGTAGGAGAATGCATTGAATTTGACACTGAAGGTGTTGCTCTCCATTAAAACATCCCAGATTGATGAAGCAATCAAAGCACTGGGCAAAGATTATATTGATGTGCTCATGAAGTATGTCTACAAGGGCTTTGAAATGCCCTCAGAGGGAAGCAGCGGACATCTCCTGGTGTGGCATGAGAAGGCATACAATGTGGGTGGGGTGGGATCCATCATTAGAGTGCTTGCAGACAGTAAACGAGCGTAGCTTATGTTTTAATTTAATTTACAGTCAGAATATATAAAAAAAAGAAACGACCTTGTTTATATATATATAAAAAATAAAAATAATTGATAACTTTAAGCGTTTAAAGTTTGGATTTTTGAACACGGACGAGTATGTCATGCATGTCGAGAAGGCTATGCTCCAGAGCTTCCCTAAACTGCGAGGATCTGGTGTCCGGGTTGGAATGCATAGAGGAGACAGCAAAGTTGATGTTGTTGCTTCGCGGATTGTAGCAGCATCCGTAACCGTCCATGACCAACGGACCATAGCACATGAAGGCGTCGCACTTGGTGGCCACCTGGCTCGTGGAAAGTCTGAAACTATTGCTCTTGGTAAAAGCAACGTCTTTGAAGAACGGGTTCAGCGAAATATTTTGCTCGAGCGATGTCAGCTTCAATCCGAGGAGGTGCCTATCCACGCCAAAACCGTTTAGTGCGTCGACGGTATATTTTTTGTGGCTGTCCACCGCCTCCCTCAAACTTTTAACCTTGTCCTCGGGAGTTTTAGCATCGTCCATCATGGCCCTGGCGAAGGCCACCGATTGCGTTGAGCAGGATCTGATTGTTTCCGTGCGACCGTGCAAGTACTTCCTGGTGGCGGCAGACTCGTAGTGCGCTCCGGGATAGTTGTACATCCTGTAGAAAGCGTACTGCATCGCCATCTGTATATATGAGTCTGGACTGATTTTGTGCTTCTTCACAAACTCCTTGCCGTAAACATCGAAGGAGAAGGAATCCATGTCCAGGTCAGCGGCCAATGCGTCCAGATTCTTGCAAGACTTTATGATCTCCTTCTCCACGTCCGCATTCACGTTGAACTCCAGATGGATGGGCAACTCTACTCCGTCCGCGTCCGGTATTCCCTTGGAGCCATCTCTCTTCATGTATTCTACCAAGAAGTCTACCATTACCGCGATCGGTACACCTTCTGCTGGCGAATGCTCGTAGCATAAGCCGTTGACACCGTTCTCCCCGATTATGAACTGAACGGTTTTATCGAACCAGCGATTTCCACCGTTCACCTTGCTGCCGCCTCCATGGATCAGCTGATGGCTCGCCTCTGTGTGCCTATTCTGTCCCTCGATTTTGGGCATCGCTTGATCTATGCTCATCACGTACAGAGACTTCTGTATAGCATCCACCGAGTTCCTATTGGTCTCGTCTTGCATCAATACCTGATAGGCAATAGACCAATTATCTCTGTGATCGGAGGTCAAAATACCAACAGCCGGTGCGCTCGTCTTGGATAATTCTATACAGTACTTCAGTTGCGAGACAAGCTGATTGACACTCAACTTATTTCCATCCTTGCCACAGAGATTGACTTTGAAAAACTAACAAACAATAAGAAAAACATAAAATATTGACGATTACAATTAACTTTTCTTATTTACATGATTTCTGTGTGCAACTATGATGTGATTGGATTGCGGATTAAATTCTTGAACATCCCGCGGCAATGCAGGATTCCGGCACGTGCCAAACACCTTCTTGTATTGCTGCATATCTAATGGCTCCTTTCCCATCATATCAACTGGAATCTTATCACTTCAAAAATAATATAAACAGAATGTCAATATTCTGATGAACTTATCATCTTACTCATCAATTAATTTCTTGTATTCGATGGTGGCTTCGATAACGTTGGCAATATACAGGAGTCTATCATGGATGTCTTTGAAATGGGTGAAGGGCATGAGCTGTCCAGGACTGGACCACACCACCAACGGAGATCTGAAGTCCAGGTAGGCAGCGTTCAGCCACCAATCAGCGAGCCAGTTCTCAGCTTCATGTGCCTTCTCGAGGAGCAGAGCTTGCAATTTCGCTCCATCCGTATTTGCGAACTTTTCGGTCAGCTCCAAAGTCTTCGCAAACTCTTCATTACTCAGCAAAGGTCGAACAGACTCCAAATATTTATAAAGCGTCTGATCGAGGGTTGGTACAGGCAACCTGGGAAGCGCCTTTGTTGCCATATTCTTAACGGTCATGGTGTTGCTTTTCACCATACTTGCGCCTTTCAAGTAGATGCTCAAGTTCTGCTTAATTCTCTTCAAAACAAATATAAAAATCTATATAAGTATCAACTTTATGAAATGAATTTGTTACTATATTTTATTTCTTATCTCTAACGAGAAATGATTAGAAAAGTAGAAAGTTACAATCAGGTTTTCGTAGGTCCGTGTGCAATGTATTTATTTATTCGACGAAATTCTGGTTCCATTAAAAAATACAATGAAAAGGAACTCAATACAAATTTAAAAATAAATTGCACTTTGCGCCCTGACCTTATATTTCATTACTACAAACAACAATAATTAATATTTAAAAAATGTAAACAAAACTAATTATCACTGAATGATTTGAAATATTAAAATACAATAGGTAATGTTTATGTTAATTTGTTAAATATAAGGGATTGAAAAGTAATAAATGAAAATTATTACCTGCCCAGTGACTGCTCTCAGTGTGCTCTGATACATTACTACCTAATTATCCTGGAAAACAAATGAGAACATCTGATGATGATTCAATCAAATTGTTTCCTACAGCAAATATGTGAAGCACAAAACACACAATATGTTACCAATATTCTGATGATATGGCACACTACAACTACAGGTAGGTAGGTATTTGATGTTACAAGCATTCCACTTTCACACAACAAACCAAAGTGAAAGGTTTTCATCTCAAGGTATGCAGGAAGGAGTGGGGAAACATTACTTTATAACCAAAGGTGTACAAAAGAACTTACCTTTGCAATAACTAACAAATAATTAAAAGTGCGCTTGTAAACACAGAGCACCTGAGATACCTTCAATAAAAATAACCTCCGATAAAGAGGACTTTGACACGTACATCTAGGCAACCATCGGAACACCTGTTTGTATCGAACAATACAATTAAACGAGGACATGGGGTTGCATGCATTATAAAATGAGAAAATTCGATTGTTTATTTTTAATATTTTTATTTTAAATAGTCAAAAATGTTTTCAAGCCATAACGGCGTATTTCCTAACTGGATAGATAGCCATTTTCTTCAACTCCTTGGCCGTCCTGATGTTGAGCTCACTCTTGGAGAGAGCGCGACGGATGGCGCGGGTCTTCTTTGGCCTAAGGTCCAAAGGCTTGAACTTCTTGTTCTTGTATAGCTTGCGCAAGTTCTCCTTTTGCTTTTGGTGCAACACGATGAACACACGTGCGATGGCTTTACGGACAACACGGCTAAAAACAAACAGAAGAAACATTAATAACGTCAATTAATCATATAAGTTAGTAATAGACTAAGCAATATTTTTATAACATCAATTAATCATATAAATTTGTAATACACCAAACCAACCAATAATTCATTTGAGACAATATATATCTATATCTTATTTTTAGTATTTTGCAAACATTTATATACTTTAAATAAGCGTACAATATTATAAAAATTCAATTAGACTGGACCAATGCTTTGACTAATCTTCTAATAACATGGTTAATATAATTAAAATGTACTTCAGAGGTTCTACAAAATAAGATCTCTGTATAATTATTAGAAATATTAATATAACATGTAGTAAAATGAATTAAAACAAGAAAAATTGATATAGATATGACAAATGTTAGAATGAACTTATTTTGTGTTTAAATTGTTTGTAATTGATTGAGGTTATAACCACTGTTTACAATCATGTTGTGAAAGTTAATTACATGAATATTTTTAATATATAGAGTGTATGGGTTTTGTTCAATATTATAGTTTGATGATGAATGGTATGCTTACATTTTGGAGAGTTTGGATGGAGCACCTCCAGTAACTTTGGCGACCCTCAAGTTGGTCAACTCAGTCTTGAGATCGACGAGTTGTTTCTCCAACTCCTTCCTGTCCTTGGTGCGCAGCTCTGAGCACTTTACTTTACCCTACGGAAAAGACAAGCCCCGCGAGTGGGGAACAAAAAATTAGCAACATACAAGTAAACACAACCTCAAAAACAACTAATTCTGAGATTTTCTTATAAATCTACAATAATTTGGGGGCCAAAATATAACCGGATTCAAATGGAACGAACACGTGTGATGCCTTTTCCATAGAATTTCGTTCGCGATGGCACTTATTTATTGTAGATTTTCAAAGATTCTCCCTTGCAAACATACCATTTCGTCTCCTTCAAGTGTCACTGATCGAAAAGAAAGAGTCCGTTGTTTTGTTGGTAGCGGCAGCTCGCTTTCAGTCTTACCAACCTAAATACAGACAAAAACAAACAAACAAAATGTTACTGAAAATATATTCAGTAACTATTAAGTAGTAGAACAATTTATCTATGATCATTGTATTACATGGTCCTTTTACGTATTAAAATTAATAGAATTTATCTTCTTTTTATAGAATTAATATACATATCTATATATTGATACCAACCTAATATGTATGCAACACATAAACCACTTTTAAAGCATAGTCGTAATAACATTATTTTTATGCTTTAATAATTTATTAATTAGGGTGGCCGTGGCCATTTGGTTATAGTCGCCTTTATCAACAACAAAAAATTGTGTGGGCCAATAAACCCGAAAAAGGATGAAAATAGGGCCAGAGATTTTTATCAATAATAATTGATTTGTAACTATATTGATTATCATCGTAAATTGGGATTTTGTATAATGATCTATTAATGATTTCATTCACAATTTGTATTTACGTATTTTGTTCAATCAATCAAGTTCAATTTTTACATGAAGCATGCATATATCAACTACACAATTATTCTAGAATACAATAAATAGATGATGATGAGATCTCCAGGAACAACACAAATAAAATATGTACATATGTAATTAAAAGTTAAACATCGAGTGAAGTAGTTTAGTAGATCAGCGTCCAGTTAATCAGTTAATTCTCTGACTAAGGTAGAAACAAATGAGACAAATAAGGAGTGTGCATGTGAAGATGGTTAGCCCCTCGATTAACTTGTCCCATCACAATTCGTCCTGGAACTGATGGATGTTGTGTATATGCTCCCCGTAGTCGGTAGCCTCACTGCCTACAAATATATCGTGGTGCTCAATCACCTCGTCAAAGCTTAGCAGATCATCGTGATCATCGTCGCTGGACGCAAACAAATGGTCTACCTCCTCTTGAGCGATCTCTCTAACATAATAAATAATTCAATAATGATGCGCAAAAACGTAAATGTTTTCAGAAAAAACTTACTCATTGCTAGGTACAACCCATGACAATATCTCGCTACCGTCCAACTTTCCGTCCTTATCTTTGTCAAAATCGTGATCGAACTTTTGCTTCTCCACGAGTAACCAATCGGTGTCCCGGTGAACACCTCTGTCCCCAATAAACTCCTGGAAACTGATCGATCCATCTCTGTCAGTGTCTTTTTCCTTCAACGTTTGATTGAGTATGACGGGAAGCATCGCGGGATGCTCTTCCGGATGCGAAAACGCGATCCATTCGTCGCCTTCCAAAATATTATCCATATTGGCATCTGCTGCCATCCACATAATCCTATCAGACTCCATCAACTACAAACCAAATTAAAATACATTTTATTTGGTAATAGTCATTTTCTAAACCTACATGAGCATTATCCAGGTTTTCTCCAGTCTCGTCGCTGCCAAATGCATCAGATATGTATTCCTTCCAGGTAACCTTTCCATCCTCATTCTCATCTGCATCCTCCATTCTCTCCTGGGCTTCCTCTTCTGACAGCATCCTAACAAAATTAGATTCTCATCTCCATAACCATCTCAAATGTAGTTATCATAATATTTACCTAAAAGATCTCATAATCCATGATTTGAGCTCTCTCCTATCAATGTTCTGATCCTTATTCAGATCCATGTTCTTCAACAAAATCCTCAGTCGTCTGATGCTCTCGTCTTTAGTAAGATGCTCAAACTCTTCAGCAACCTTGGAGCTACCAAGGATCGCCTCATGGTCGAAATCGGAGTCGTGTTCGCCACTGTCGGAGAGATGACCGCGGTCTCTCGGACTGTAAGCCCCATCTTCTAACCTCTCCTTGTGCATATTAGCGGAATGCTGATGGACGACCGCTGCGTTCATGCAGTACGATAAGCTGGACACAAACGCAAACACCACCAAGAGCGTCCGCATCTTAAAGCTCGAGCCTTTCAGGAGCAGCTTTAATATTCAAGACAGTTTCCAATACTTTCTGTTGGTTAGGTTTATTTATACACTAAACGTCAAATTGTTGACAGATAGGCGGAGTCGAAACAGAATAAATACATTTACGAAATTTTAATAAAAACATCAACCAATAATTATTGATATGAGGATTTCATTGTCGACCGTCGACGGTGACAATTGGTTTCTAAAATAATATTTTCAGCGAGCCGGATCGGCAATTTTAGTTTAAGTTAGTTTTAGTGAAATAGTATAATTTTTTAGTTCAGTTCTTTAAGAGTAAGGTTTTTTTCTTTTTTGTTGGGGGAACTCGTTAGGCCACCCCCAAGACGGGGGTAGACTCAGAAGGGGATCCGACAATGGTCGTGTGGCAGAAGGAATTACGTCCCTCTTAGACATTATTCACAAGTATAGTATAATCGAAAAAAATGAAGATGTGTCTTTCATACAGAACATCAAATATAAAAAGGAACTTCAAACAGAACTAATAGCATTGGTGCGAGAAGGATCATATTTAGATTCAAACAATAATAGTGATACGTTCCTTTCCAATTACCAATAAGCTAGTTTGGAAGATTGAAGTGCGCAAGCGCAGAAGTGAATCAGCAAATATTTTAAGATTTCTCAAAAAGATGGCACTAGAGTGGACCTGAAAATTCTCATTAATTGTCGGGATTATGGTAGTCGGGATTTCAATACACTCAGGATTTCGAACGTCGGTACTTCGATACACTCGGGATTTCGATTGTCGGGCTTGTGATATAGACCCGAAAATTTAATGCGCAAGTTTATTTATTTGTTTGATATAAAAGTCATTATGTATATATTTACACCGTATAATTGTGATAATTGTTAACGATTATAATAAGAATTTAATTTCTGCTGTTCCGCCTTTTCCTGTCCCTCTTTCTACCGTCCCTAGCGTCGGGTGATTTCGATCTTGACCTTTGCTCCCTTCGATCATTTCGCCATCTACGATCGCCCGAATTCATTCCTCTTCTCTCCGTAGGAGGTTCAAAGCCGGCCCTTCTGTCCTTACTGTGGGAGTCATCATTATCTGATTTAATTTTTCTCTGCTTCCTCCGTCTATCAGCCGATCCATCTCTCTGTCGTCGTTCCACAGAAGATTCCTTACGTCTTCTATCAGAATCCTTCTTTTTGCCGTCATCAACAGAGATGGTTGGTGGTACCTTGATACCGCGTACCTTTTCATTCTGCCTATCTTTCGCATCTTTGCCTTTTCCCTTGCTGCTGCTCTTACTTTTCATTTTCTTCTTCTTCTTCTGTTTGGACTTTTTTTTATCCTCGTCACTTGACGACGATGTACTAGAACCTGAGAAAGTATTATTATATAGAATAATCCATATATATATATTATATCATACAAAGTGTGGAATATATTTACCTGAACTAGAACTGCTTGAGTCACTTGAATCACTTTCACTGCTACTAGAGCTGCTGCTACTGCTACTACTAGAACTGCTGCTACTGGAAGATTCTTTGTTGTCTTGGACTGTGGTTTTTGGCAAGTTAGTTAGATGCCCCCTGAGCTCATCTGTCAGACCGCCCAAACCGATTGTTGTAAAAAAATTGATTGCAAATCTCGTATTTTCTGGATTATCCCTTGGAAACAATCCAGCGAAAGATCCTTGCATAGTTCTATTAACATACAAGCATTGTATTTTACGCATGGCGAAGCTATACGATATAATGTAACTTACGGATCTTTTAGTTTAACGTTTAGTTTTTCCATTCCCATCCATTCCGACAATTCTTGGAAAAGAATTTTGATAAACACTCGACTGGAGCTCGTCGTGTCATGTTGGTTCATCTTCATGACGTCCATCACCTCCCAGCCGATAGCATCGGTGAATAAGAGGTGACCAAAGAATTTGCTGGCATTTCTCAACTGGTTCGTACCGAGTCTGTGGACGGTGGCGTGCGTATCTTTGAAGATTTGCTCGAAGGCATCCACATAGACTTTGTTGATCTGGCAGAATCTTTGTCCCAAAAGACCGTAGAACTTCTCGTATGTCCTCTGTTCGGCACAGCAATCTAAATTATTTAGTATTAATAATAACTGATCAAATTACAAGCATTGTGAATTGACTGACCTAAAAACATGTGGCACAATTCTATTTCCTGTCCTGGTTTCAGCTTCATTTTCATCAGCTTGTGTGCGCACTCCTCGAAGTTTAGACTGGACTGTATGGTCAAGTAGATGGTTCGCCTTAGCGCCGTCAAATTGGTTTCGGTCATGTCTATAATCTTGGTACCACCCTCGGCCACTCCTTTTGCACCTTCACCTTCTTCATCATTTGATCCGTCCTCGTCGTCATCATCATCTTCGTCGTCGTCATCATCTTCATCATCTCCCGATTCGTCGCTAGACGAATGATCCAGGATATATTTGCTTAGTGCTTTATATTTGTCCTCGTTTTCTTCATAGTCATCTTCGAACTTAAACACATCTGTAAAGTAGAATTAATTGGTTAAACATTTGAATATAAATGAATAAATACGACTTATATATATCTTACTTAGAACATCGTTAGATTCGTTGCGTTCAACGCTATCAAAAGATATGAGATGTGTGAACTGATCGCTTTCGTCTATCAAGTCGAGTTCTTCGTCAACAGCGACGTGATCTTTGAATCCGTCTTTCCTCACTTGGAACATCACCTCAATCATGTACTGGATGCGACGCTCTAGTTTCCCTTCGTGCAGGATGTTCCTCAGCATCTCGAAGATGGCGTTGATAGATCTCCGAGAAACTTCCGACAACTTTTGACCGCACTCCTTGAGAAATCCTATCGCCACTTCCACCGAATCGTCAGTGGTGTTTTCCACAAGCAAAGTGAGTATCTCCAAAGCTAAAATTTCATGAGCCACTCTTTGGTTTATCAGGTGAGCAATGAAAGTGGTAGACGAGATACAAGTCACTTTATTGTTCTGAGTGTAACCACGCTTGAAACTCAATACCAGTCTCTTGAGAAGCAATTCTCCTATGTTCGGAAACTTGGAGTTGATGATGGCTACCAGAGCGGCGTACACGTTCGTGAACGTGGGGGAGGCTGCCTGAGCCTGTATTATTGATTTACACAAAAGGCCTCTACCTCTCACAATGTTCTCGCGCATCAGCTCCATCGATATGATCTTAATGTTGGATGTATTAACCTTATTAATATGTCCATGAATGGATTTTTTCAGAGCTTCCCAAGCAATTCTCTGATATGCCACAGACGTTTTATCTGTGATTTGTGCTTGCATCAATCTGAGCTTGGCAGGGGGAATATAAGCACCTCCAGTCTTTGAGGTGAGCAAATCTACATTCTTTCTTTGCCTTGCGACAACTGGAGCAGATTGCTTCTCATCTATTTGATCAATATCATGATCCTCTTTTCCATTACTTTCTTTTTCCTCCACATCATAGTATCTGGTTCCAATTACAGGTTCCTCCTCTCTCTTTGGATATTTACTCCAGTACCGATCATTGTTCCTCCTTTTATCGTCTCCATAATACCTTGGATATTCTTCCTCATCCTCCTCTGCTGGTCTATCCAAGTCTCTATATCTTTCTCTTCTTGATCTGCTATTTGAGTCCCTCGACGAAGACCTTTGTCGTTTTCTACCTCCATATCGCTTCTTTCTTTCTCCTTCAGGAGACCGCGAAGACTTTTTTGACTTCTTCACATGCTTCGTTTCAACAACCCCATCAGAGTCGCTCTGTCCCATCGCTTAAATCTACAATGAAAAACAAATAAAATCTCTACTTTTCCTACAATCCATCTAAATATATCTTTATTAATTAAATAATGAAAAAGCACTGACCTCGATTGAATAGCGAGTCCCAACAAACAAATATCAAAAAATAAATATGAAAACAAACTTTTATAGGTTATGATCTTTTTAAATTGACGTACCACTAACGCATCTGAATGCATCGCAATTCCAATACCACCAACAAAAAGCAACAAAATAATGTTAATGTTATTTTTATCGAAATTTTAGAGGAATTCAATAATATCCAGTGGCAATCGAAAGCCCGGGCTTGCGATATAGACCAAAAAAAACACATCTTAATTCTTTTAATTCCTGGAGATACCAAAAATTACTAATAAATAACTTAACTTAAATTTTAAAGTGATGTGTGTTGCCTAAAACTAAAAGTTAAACCTCAAAATATTTTTGATTTTCGGCTGTGTTGGAGCATGTTAGAGGCTGAGGTTGTGGTTATGAAATGTTGATGAAAATATTAAGGACAGCTGTGAATGTACCACTGTTAAGATCAAGACACACTTACAATTCATCAAAAATGGACAAAGTCTATCTCCGATTGATACCAGAAACTGAGCAGTTTGATATTACATTCCAGTACAGAAATGCTGATAAGAGAGTGGATAGACAATTCAATTTCTGCAGAAAACTGAGTGAAAGTGTTGGCACCTTTTTAGGCAGAGTCACCACCAATTTGGAAAAAGCTTTGAACAAAAAGAAAAGCAACAAGAAGAAAGATGATGCTGCTGTTGAAAGCAATATTCCCATTGTTGTATCTTTGATGTTGAATGGGAATGAAGTGTGCCAGGAGGTAGAATGCAGATCAGTGTTCCAGGAAGATAACAGAGTTGTTTTCAAACTGTTTGATGTCAACTATGATGTGATCATAAATTCTCCATTTGTCAATAGGTTGGCTTTGCCACAATCAACCCTTGCTAATTTCATAGTATACCCATCAGCATTTGAAACAACTTACACAGATAAAGCATTAACTTCCTTTGAGTGGTACAAATCATCAGATAAGAAAGAGTGGATTAAAGTTGGAGAAGGTTTTACATATGAACCAACAAATAATGAAATAGACCACTTTTTGAAATTGAAATGCACACCAAGAAATGAAAAACATGAAGGGCTTACTGTTGAAGCACTCATGGGTTCAACAGTTAGTGCAAGTCCTGGCACATGTCCATTTGAAACCAGACATATGTTCACCAAGGAAAGAACAATAAACAATGAGTAAGTTGCTGTTGAAAAGTAATTTAATATGTTTAATATTTTCGTTTAAGATTTCGCGTGGTATCCTATAATATATTGGCAGATCTCTATTGTGATTCAGATTTCACGCGGACTGTGCTGCATCCTTACTGCCCGGCATACGCCTTGACCTTGGATTATCGTAAGCAACTGGTTATGAAGGAGTTGATTGGCTACAACGCGGATATTATATGTCTTCAGGAAGTTGACACGAAAGTGTGCAATTACGATTTGAGACCATTATTTGGTTCTTTGGGTTATACAGTCCATTTTACACGTAAAGGCGGTGATGTAAATGAGGGGCTTGCATGCATTTACAATGAGCGGAAGTTCAGGTTTATATAGTTTACGTATTGTATAGATAAAATACTTCAATTTTACCATGTTTATGTATAGATTAGTTAAGGAGAATGGTGTTATATTGAGCAAAGTTCTTAAGGTTAGTGCTGTTCTATCGGATATTTTGGCATGCGCTTCGAGCAAGTCAAATTTGTTGGAGCGCCTCTCCGAGCGACAAAATGCATTTCAGGTGACGGTATTGGAAAGTGTAGAGACCGGTAATTTACTGGTAGTCGGAAACACGCACCTCTACTTTCATCCAGATGCTGATCATATAAGGCTTTTACAAGCAGGAATGTGCATACGATTACTGGAGGAGACTATGAAGGAATTATCGGATAAAGTAATACAGATCGTATAAAGTGTATTTCTGTTGTAAATATTTTGTTTTGTTTTTAGTACAGTGACAAATTGATAAGCACTATTTTCTGCGGTGATTTCAACAGCGTGCCAGAATGTGGTATATTCAAGTTGTATACGACCGGTTCAGTTGGGTCCGATTGCGTGGATTGGCGCAGCAGTGAGTATACTTGGTTCGGTCCGTAATCTCCTGGGAATTTATACTTTTCTTAAATGGTGCAGATGAGAATGAGGCGATTTCCGGTTTTTCGTTAGAGCAACCGATGAAGTTCGGGAGTGCTTGCGGTACGCCCAAGTACACGAACTATACTTCCGGTTTTGCAGACTGCCTCGACTACATCTTCTACGATACCGATAAGTTGGACGTTACGCAGGTGGTGCCGTTACCAAGTAACGAAGAGCTGATGGCTAACACTGCTTTGCCGAGCATCGTTTTCCCGTCTGACCACCTAGCTCAAGTTGCAGATTTGAAGTGGATTGCTTGCAATTAAATGAAGTTCTACCTAATATCTATATTTTAAGTTTTCTTTTTGGATTGGTTGTTAAATTTTAAGGCTGCGGAGCGAGACGCATATAGGTTTTTCCGGATGGAAGATTCACGGTTTTAGTTTCGGGGAACATCTCGCGAGTTTTGTCTTCAGGTAAACCTGGGTGAATCATGATTGAATCTCCGGATTTCCAATCAACCGGCGTTGCCACCGGAAGTTTTTCAGCCAATTGGATTGCATCGATCGAACGGATAATTTCGCTGTAAATGAAAAAAATTAACAGAAAAAATCATTCAATTGATTAATTTCTCCAACTCACTTGAAGTTACGTCCTGTCGTAGCCGGATATATCAAGCTCAAGCGCAGAATTCTTTCGGGGCTGATGAGAAAAACTGCTCTACCCATCAAAGGCGAACCATCTGGCATGCTGTGCTTCTTGTCCAGCATGTTGAGATGCTTGGCGATACTCAGATCCTCATCGGTCATTATCGGGTATGGGAAATGATCTGTGTCGGCGACCTTCGCGTACTCCAAGATGTCTTTGGACCATGCCCGATGTGTTGCTACGCTGTTTGGAGATATTCCCAGAACCTTGACGTCGCGCTTTACGAACTCTTGCAGAATTTTGACGACGCGCGCCAACTCCGACGTGCAGACTGGTGTGAAATCCGCAGGATAAGAAATTAAAAGTCCCCAACTGCAATGATGTTGTTAAATGCATAGACAAGATGAGTGATAAAATGTTCTTACTCTTTTCCCAAATATTCGTGTAAATGGATTGGTCCATTGGTGGAGTCTGCAGAGATGTCCGGGAACGCCTCACCAAGTTGCGGAGCGCATGTTTCCGTGAAAGCAGCACCCAGTATCGCGAAATAAATCAAACTCGAAAAGAGCGAAACGCTGTTGATGATCTTCATCATTACTTTTTCTCAACTTTAATAAACCGTAACGCCACACTCTTCACACTTTTATAGGTCATTTAATCGAATGGTACAATTATTATTAATCGTCGACAAATAAGTTATACTTTTTGCAATTACCGATCCATAACAATGCCGTTATTATTTCGAATCTTGATAAGAATCTGCGGTATCAATTAAATAATTACATATATACATAATTGCTTTGTTTTTTTCAGAAATATCACTTTATTTTATATCTCTATAACTATATTCGTGTTGGCAGTGGCGGATTAAGGACAGTTGGGCAAATTATTTTTGGGTCACCCCAAAAATGCTAAAAACAAAGCCTTGTGCTCATCGACACGTTTCTCATTACCTGTCATTGCCTTAATGGATAATTCGCCAGTGCATGTTGCTAATATCACTAAATTATGTTTAAATTAAGATGTTGCTGCATTCACCAAGAACTAGAAAAACTCAAAATTTATAATTATATTTGTTAAAATTGATATTATTATTTACAATAATAACTAATAATATCAATTTTAATACTATACTGAAAAACATTAATTATAACTTAATACAAAGTAGCTAAAATAATTGTATTCAATTCGATAATAACTGATTTCTTTTTAATTTAAAAGTTAGATCAAGTTGGTCAATTTAACACCAGCGCTACCAACCCAAATGACAAGTGACAGCCTCCGATTACACGTTGACACACACATACATACGCATACGCCAAGTACATTAAATATAGACTGATATAGACACATACAAAGGTACAGAAGAGCCGGGCTGTAGTGTGTACATATTGGTTGAATTCCAATTGATTTCAATATGAAAGGGACATTATTGTTCTGTTTAATAGTTATAAGCTCAATATTCTTCTACCATGCTGATGGACAGGCAAGAAAAGGGGTAATTACAGATATAATATATTAAATATATATACAGTGGTCAGTGCAAGAATTGATCTGTTTGACTGACATGTTTGTTTGTCTTTCTTCAGGGTATGACAATGGCCGAAAGGGTGCAACAGTTGAGTGACATGGCTGCCAAGAAGGCTCTGCTCAAGTTCAATGGAAACAAGTTCAGAGATTATGTGAAATCTACCCCAAGGAATTATTCTGTGATTGTCATGTTCACTGCAATGGCTCCACAGAGGCAATGCATGGTCTGCAAACATGCCCATGATGAGTTTACAATTGTCGCCAATTCCTTCAAATATTCACAGTCCTACTCTAATAAGCTGTTCTTTGCAGTTGTTGATTTTGATGAGGGCTCTGAAGTGTTCCAAATGGTATTTTTTATTTTCTGTTAATTAATGGAATAAGTTATTATTCTTTGGGATTACAGATGAGATTGAATACAGCACCAGTTTTCATACATTTCCCAGCTAAGGGTAAACCAAAGAATACTGACACTATGGACATTCAAAGGATAGGCTTCTCTGCAGAGTCAATTGCAAAGTGGATTGGTGAAAGAACTGACATTCAGGTTAGTTATACAGAGGAACACAGTGAATGCATTCACAAAGATTTTTTAATTTTTGCAGATAAGAGTATTTCGTCCACCAAACTATTCTAGCACTTTGGCTTTGGTTTTCTTGTTTATCTTCCTAGCTGGTCTTCTGTATATGAGAAGAAATAATTTGGAGTTTTTGTACAACAAGAATCTCTGGGCAGTTGGTGCTCTTTTCTTTTGTTTCATGATGGTTTCAGGACAGATGTGGAACCATATAAGAGGACCTCCGTTTTTCCACAAGGGACAGAATGGTCAAATTTCTTATATTCACGGCTCATCGCAAGGACAACTGGTCATCGAAACCTATATAGTCATGGTACTTAGTATCCTTTTTACACACCGCTATTATCAGTATTATGTACTCGAGATCAAGATTGGAAGTGAAAGTCAAGTTTCCTTAACTCAAATTCTTTAGATGCCGCCGTTGTGTTAGGTATGATCCTGTTGACAGAGTCTGCCAATAAGAATACAGATCCCAAGAAAAAGAAGGTGTTCGCAATTGCCGGTTTGGTGTTGCTCACCGTATTCTTCTCACTGATTCTATCCGTTTTCAGATCAAAAACTCAAGGATATCCGTACAGGTAAAAATATAGTGATGAGGGTGCACGAAAACATGATTATAACTTATTTTTTTACGTTTTATTTTAGCTTTTTATTCAAGTAATTCGGTGTACAGAGTTATGCAACATTTGTATGATTGAGTGAAAGTGTGTGCAATTTAGAGCGTTTGTTATCATTCTCTTAATAAAAAAAATAAATAAATAAAATCTATTTGAGAATACTAAATATCAACGTCTTATCCGTTGTGTTACCACCTAATATGTGTATGCTCATTGATAAATTATTAAGAGTTGTTATATAATAATAATTAAAGTTACAGTGCGTAACAGTTAAATAAATACACGTTAGTTCTTGCGAAAGAAAGAATAGTGGAAGTGAAAACGACCATATGTTTTATTGATAAAAATAAGGATCGACAAAATCGTGAATTTCAATAGCTCGTGTAAATCTAATTATTAAATATTTATATTTTTGTTTGTTATGTATACATAGTGATTCTTAAGCGCTGTGTTTCGAATATTTTGTATTGTAAAGCTTGTGAATTTTTCAGTGTCTATTGGGTTGCATACGTAGTAATATTCTTAACGGAATTTTCGAATACGGAATCACCTTGTATACAGAGAATTCAATTTAGTTTTCTAATTGGACGCCAAAACCTAAAAGCTCGTATTACAGGAGGTTCATGTGAACCAGGATAGAAAATGATGGAATAACGTGTCGTTCTTTATTATTATTACAATTATTGTAGTGTTATTAGGAGACATTCAGTGGTTGTATGCGTTCCGTTCGCGAGAGATATGAATACCAGTAGAAGAGGTTTATAGTTAGGAACAGTAAAGGAAAGACAACGCGACTCGCCCGATCTATCTTTGACACGGAGTTGAACCGTGGTGTGCGTTTCTTCCTACGTCTTCGGTGAATCCTGGGACCTTGTTGAATGGACATCCTTGGTCCGCTAATTGAGCTCACCGAAGATGGTCCCAGCCCAAGGGCCATCGTGGGAACTACAGGTACATGTTCATCATCGTTTCCGGCTGTTCGACGTCCGAGACATTGCAGTGGACTCCAAGGTTGCGATGACCTACGGCTTCCGCCACCAGAGGAAGTCGCCATCGGAATGGAACACGCTGATAGTGGAATTACTTCGATCAACTGAGATTCGCCGCAGCTGTAGTTTTGATACCGCCTAGTTACGTCCCCTTGACCCTGCAACGCGTCAAGTGTTTTGAGTGTAGGAGAGACGCACGAGAAAAATTGCATACATTGGTAGCTTCGGTGATGATCCTCCTTCCTTCCTGATTCCAATCCTCCTCATCACTGCTGGAATCCGAACTCAGATCGGAACTGAAGTAGCATTCGCCCGATCCGTATTTGGTGAAGTAATGGACTACGGCAAACTGAAAAATACATGGTTTAATGATTCAACTTCAAATTAAAAAAAAATAAAATGTCTTTACTTGAATGATTGTGGCGAATATGAAGGCGAACGAGAGAAACACGAAGAAATCTAGGGCCGTTGGGTATGGAACTTTAGGAAGATCGGTTCTCGCTTCTAGCCCCAAGAAGGTCATGGTCAGCACGGTTGTGATTCCTGCTGACAGAAATGGATTTAAGATCTAATTTGTTGAATTTCTTTTTATTATAAGCAGGGAGTCGAACCGAAAACCGTATACCGAAATTAACCGGATTTTTTAACTGAACTGTAACCGGAACGAAAAATTGCTTAATTGGAAAACCTCAACGAAATTTTTTTTACGGTTAATTTCTTTAAATTATTTCTTTTTCATTAAATTAATTCATAATCGCTTTATTTCATGTATGCTCTTTGATGGTTTTGCGCTGGTGCTAGTCTTTTGGTTTATTTATACAGACATTCCAAAAACAATTTATAATAGACATCCACGAAGTCTCTTTGAATACTCCGAATTATTTTTTCAAATAACATTACAAATACATTATAAACAAAACCATCAAGGCCGAATTCCGCGGGAACGCTTAATCATAAATATAAATAAAACCTCAATCATCACCAATCAACCACCGACTAAAAAGAGAAAATTTGAAGAAGAAAGGGCAAGCACAAGTCTTGCGCAACTAACATTATGCAACTCAAATGAAAGTAATTAAAAAGGATATTACTGTACACATACTGTAGAAACATTACAAAGTGCATGTGTTGAACTAGTCACTAATTAATTTTTATTTCTTTTGTATTTTTAATTTTATAATTGAAAACAATAGGAATGGAATTTGGTAAATACACTTTAACCAATTTAAACTGCTTTTTTTTTCGATTTTTAATTTTAATTTCAACCGAATCTGGAACGATAAACATTTACTTGGAACGTAACCGTAAACCGGAACGAAATTAATTTCGGTTCGACTCTGATTTTAAGGGATTCATTGACCTAGGGAAACCCGATCAGCAGTCGCCTCGCGATTCAACCAAAACGATACCCAAGACAGAACAACCAGAAGTACGCATGGCCCGTACACCTGTATCAGGAAGTTTCCCATATGCCTCTGCAGATGGAAACTGACAAGCAGCATCGAATATTCGGCTGAAACATGCATTGTAATTTATATACGTCAGATGGCGCCGATAGTTACAGCGGTGTTGTGTATGCAACCTATTTCGCCATGATACTGAACCTGTTTTCTTGTCGCTGTTGATTATTGTGTCCGTGTGGTTGCCGGCAGGTGTTGCGATCAGATCGAACTGGGACAGCTTCATATCTTCTGCAATGGCGACCTGCCTAGCCGAATTCCATCTGTAGAGGACGTCGCGCGACGTGTAACCGACTGCAAATAATTAGTTATTCAATAATATACGAACTGTATATGTATCAGTATAGGTATAGTCACGTACATGATCCAAATTTAAGTGGACATCTCTGTATGTCCATGGGAAAGTCCTCCAGGTTCATCGGACAACCAGCCTTAATAGTTAGTCTGAAAAGTACCAGACTAATTACTTTTCGCAAGTTTAACGAGGGATCTGGGAAGTTTATAGAAGTGTAATAAAAAGAGGATTCAAGAACACGTATCTGCTAATACCAGAATATAGAACCAATTCGAAACGGCGTATTAAACGCGAATTGCCATTTGCAGTCGAATGAATCAAATTTCATCCATTATTTGTGGACGCAAACAGTTCGCAGCTTGCTAGAATTAAGTGCAGATACTGTTATTTCGCGTGGGCTTTTCTCCATATATTGTTGCGATTAATTATGCGAAGCGAATAATCTTAATGAGAAACACACCGGAATAAACTTGATTAAAACTACAATTGCGTTGAGACCGGCAAACGCAATACGCTGTATTCGAGCGTGAGCGTGTGTTTGTGAAACAGGAAGAGATGCGCAACGAATTCTCTTTTCCTCGCTCAATTGGATCGAGTTCGCAAATGAAATTAATTTTCGTCCGATGTGCAAAAGCTAAACACACGTATTAGTTTCACTGCAATGCATTGCATCCATTTAATTCACACTCTCAACTTATAAAACTGAAGTAAAAACTTTTTGAAAAAAAAAAAAGAATCAATCGCGTGGTAGAGACAGGAAAAGCGAAAGAGAAGCGAAGCATAATGAATTTAATCTTCAGAAATTTATCTGTTTTTTTTGTGTGGATGCGCCAGGTCAAAAAGCGTTTGTCACTTGTAAATTATGCAATTTCATGCCAAATTATAATGAGATTTAATACTAGAACGTATTCTCCATATAATAGTAATTTATACATGCAATTTCTGGTGCACACTCTTAATGAGCAAATTGTGAATTTTGATGATTTGTGTACAAATGCAGTGAGCGTGTTTGTTGTGATGAAATAATCCGCATTTGTTCGAGTCGTTTTTTGATTATTATTTTTTAATTAAAAAGGAAGAGAAAAGCGTTGGTGACAAATAGGGATTATTTACTCGAATGCAATGCGAGCTGTCCGGATGCGTCGTGGTAACCTCATTAAAAGGGATACGAGGATAATCCGAAGAGCATTCATTCAAATGTGTCTGGTTGAATATTAGCACGGATTCCGTATTTGCTTAGAACCAATGCATTAAGTGCGATCACTACTGATGTCCGTTCTGTTACACTAAAATAGAACTATCTCAAAATCTTTAACATACCTGGAAGAGTAGAGGACGCGTCCATTCTTATAGAGCCTCACGAATTTGTTGGGTGTGGTGATCGTGTGCAGATAAGACTGTTTCCCATTGTAAAAGTATGTGTCCGGCTTCCAAATTCTCGCTAGCATCGAAATGCTCAATGCAAGCGTATCCTTATCGTCTCCGGGGAACGCTAACCTCTTGTCCACCCACGACTGTCGGAAATAGCAGTCCATTGAGTAAGTCTGAGAATGCAATTAAAACCTTCAAACAACATTCCGCAATCATCCATAAAACTTCTCGAGAAACGAGATACGTCCTCTGCGGTTTAATAAGCGTGGTCATTGCATTGCAAATTTTTTTCCCTCGGAAAATAAACAGTTTAGCAATGCAAATTCCGAATTGGTACGAAGAAGAAAGAAAGAGAGAGAAAAAAAGACCGGACATAAAGCGGATCCAAATTTTCCTCTCGAAATTGACTAAAAATCTCTCGTGATCATCCTCCACTGCTGTATAAACGAAGCGATTATGCAATGCGCTGCGCATATTCCTGTGAACAGCAGCGTGTATCTTCTTCATCCGCTTAATGATACGCATTGAGTTTCATACGAAAGCCCTCAATCAAAAAAAAAACAGACAAATTACATCCATAGATGAATATAGACTTGAAATATTCCTGCAAATCAAAGATCCTTTCATTTAACTATTTAACATACTTCTATTAACACAATAATACTATATATAGTAATTGTTTATTTCCGATAGATGGCTTCAATAAAGATTATTTGACATATATGTAACTCTTTAAACAAAAAAATGTATTATATATTCTCACCATATCGACTTCCGATATTGGACCCATACTCCTCACCATTATGTCGACTTCCACCACGGCCGGAGCACCTAGAATAATAAAAAAATAATTGATTATAATAGATTGATTCTCTAATATTGGTAATTCTGATGTATTTATCGATCGTCAATTCGGTAACTTAATTGGGTAATTTAAATATATGTTTTTACCACCAAAATCGGGCCGGATGCTATTATCGTATCCCCTGAGCAGATTATCCAGCAGATTCGAGATGTTCTTGTGGTTGTTTTTCTGAGGTTGCGAGACGATCTTGGTGAGCGAAATCGTTAGGCTGGCATCCATGTGAGCGAATACGAAGAGGACGACGCCGGCCGCAAATAGATGTAGCAACATCGTGCACCAAATGCTGAATGCTAATTTATAGAAAATAAGACTGATTTGATCAAACGCACAGATAATTCGATGTAATAAATAATATGATCGTGGAGAAGAATGATGAAAATCTTAAATGCGTTCTAGTTTTGGTGGCGTAAAACCCTTTAGTGCTGATTTCTATTTGAATTCAATTTGCGTGACGCGAAACGGGAGGTGCAGGATTCGGGAGCACGTTTAAGTCATCAAACATAAGACAGGGAGAAGGAGGAGACGATAGAAGTGGAGAGGTTTCTGAAATGTTGGGGTTTCGGACGGAATTGGGGGGATTTCGGGAGAGCGCGCTATGTGATTTAGGATGATTAGGGATGATTGGTGTGTGTGTGTGTGTGCCTGTGTATCACGGATGTCGCCTCGCCTAGCCTTGCCACTCGACTTCCGGACGATGTAATCTGCGGAAGCAGAAGTCAATCGCCGTGCAGATACACCTACTTACTATCTATCTGCAGATATACGTTGGCAAGTGTTAAGTACACACTCCTGTACTAATGACTCTCTTTCTCATTGCATTATCACTTATCTGGTGATGTTTACTACCACCACCCATGACGATGTATCAACCAGGAGTATAATCTCTTTTCAAGATGCGATGTTAAAAAAAATATAACAGTGTGAAAATTTATTTATAATCTAATCACATTAGTGTAATTAACAAAAGAGATTCTCAAAATCTGACAGGACGAAATGTCCGTTTGAAACGGTCTTGCCTTTGTTTCCTCGTCGTATGCCGGTAGAAAATTATAAGTTAGCAGTGAGTGTTGTTGAATACAATATATATTCTGTTCGCAGGTGTTCCCGTGGTGGTGTTCTCATTCACCATAGGCGGAAGTCAAAGGAAATTCGCACCGGAACTAGAGAGGTGGGACACGATGCCGCGGAACCGTAAGAACTTCCCTCGTCTTCTGACGCACGTCTTGCAGGCCGTGGCTGATCTAAGGGAACCACAGGGTTCTACCGTCAGAAAGATCCTCGATCAGGTGCAGACAGCTATCAACATTTCGAACATCAGGCCGAAACCGAGGAACGTTGTGATGCAAGTGCGAAGAGCCATAAAGCACGGCATCGATAATGGAGTGCTAAAACAGCGAGCCGGCAAGATTCAACTTACCTTGGGTTCGATGGACAGTGGAGGAGGAGGTGTTAAGAAGACGAAAGCTAATGCCATCTCGAAGCCGAGCAGAAGGAGTCGCAGGTTGAACAACAGCCGCAAGAACAGAGTTCCGTTCTCAGAGGCGACGTCCGGATACAGCTTCACCAGTTTAAGCGATTACAGTTTGCCGAGGCTTAGGAAACGGAATGCAGCGGGCAGGTTTGACATCAGCGAGAAGATCTTAGAATCGCGCAGGAGACGCCGTCGGAAGGGCACGAGGAGGAGAGGCAAGTCACGACGAAGGGTGAGGAAAAGACGCAGGGACGTGACGCCGATGCCAGAGCTCGTCGACGAGGACGTCGAGCACAGCGGTTCCGAGCAGCACGTCGAGCCGAGGTCTCGCCACCAATTCGATTACAATCAGGATAAAGGTTATTGACTATAATCGCGGTCATCGCATTGGGTTTGAAATGATTTTGGGCGAACAGAGAGCGTGTGCTTTGATACAAATTGAGCTAATCCGTTTATCCGTTTTTAGTCGAGTCGAATCATTCGGAACATGAGCAGCACGAGGAGAGACGCGACTGCAGCAATCCCTGTCACGAATGCGATAATCCCGATTGCCTGTGCAACTTGAAGCAGGAACCGGATGATATCGAAGAACCACCCTTCAACAGCGACTATTTGTAATTGAAATGTCTCAGCTGACCTGATCCGACTCTACCTGATCTGATCTGGCCACCCATCAAATTATACAAAACATACGTTTATCTCTCTTTCTACCAAACATCAACCATATACGAGCGTAATGTTTCGTTTTATGTATACGCAATATATATTTTCTCTCTTGATATACTACTCGCCTTTTTCCGTTTTACTGAACCGCGACCGTCGTATCCGGAATACATTCAAATAATGGTGCCGATCATCAATTCATCCGTACATTGTATATATTCGCCCTTCGTACTCTTTTTTTTCTATACCATCATCAATTCCCAAAACTTTCGCCAAACTTTTATATGGCCGATTCCATAAAATATCGGCAGCACGTTCGATACGCAACTAGTGTTCCTGTTTACGAGTCGTCGATAACACGAAACTGCGGCAGTTCACACCGAATGCATGTTTTCGTCTCATTTCCCTTATAGAAATTAAATAAATAAAAAATGCTCATCGCAACAGAATTCAAGATGGAATTGTGCTATACGTAATTTGATCACAATTAAATTAATTAGGGTTTGTCAGTTTTTAAAACTTTTTTTTTATGAAGAAATATATATAATTAGAAAACATTTTTACAAATTTTGACACAAAATCGTCTCTGGCATAAAACGATAGTATTATTAAATTCTAAGTTTTATAAAACAAATAGAAAATCGGGAAGGAATTATTAGGAAAATTTATTCATGACTGCCAAACGAGATGGAATTGTTTGGTACTTAATAGAAATATTTGTATATTTAAAAGAATGTGTTGTTTTAACATTAGTGATTCTCACATATGATTTACACGTTTTTCACAGGAACCTATTTACCGTGTAAATCCGGTGATATATGTAATTGTAGAGCTCCTTAAAGTTTGAGGATCAATACATTAAGGCTATAGTTGACAAGTTGCGTATTTATTAACAAGTTAAAACATATTTGAATATCTGTTACGTGAATAGAAAACATATACTGAAATTATTTCAAATCTATTACTTATTGTAGATACATGAATTTATGAGAGAAGACAAACGGGATTAGTAACACTTCTCTTTAATTTACAAAATCCACAAAACGTTGTGACACTAATGTCTAGCATATTTCTTCCACTATTTTCAAAAAATGATATCATTATGTTCTGTGACAAATATTATCAAGATTCTATCCAAATTATTCCATAAAAGATAACTGCGACGATTAAAGCCAACTCGGTAGTAAATGAGAATTTTCAATTTATGGAAATTTTGTAAAGTTTTGTTTTTTAAGATTTTTTAATTTTGCATAAGAAAATGAATTACAAAAATCCATTTTTGTTTGTGAAAATTCTAAAAACGATTTAAACCGGTTTTGTAGAAAACCTGAGATTCGAAAACCTGTTTTTTAAAGTTGTTTTTTTGTACAAATCCTAGTATTAATAATCAATCAAATTAGATCATCTCCATCTAGGAACTATATGATGAATTGCACAATATGTCCTAATTAAAATTCTCAATTGTAATGTCTATTGGGACAATAGATCCGAGATAGGATGTCTGTTGGGACATAATTTCAAGATAAAAAATAATTGTCACACAATAAATAAAAACAAAATACTTAGTTATTTTTTTAATTTTGGACATTAAGTCATTTAATCAGACTTGAAAGAGTTAAAAAAATACAATACGTAATTTAATGATTGCAGTTAAAGAGATAGTTTTGGTATACCGGTTAAGAAATGTAATAGAGCTGCTACCGAGGAATGTAATAGAACAGAATGATTGCTGTATTTTGTGATCTCTATTTTTTTGTTGCCGTTGATGGGGGTGTTATTGTGGAAGGCAGAGGTGGTGAAATAAATCATCTTCTCGTCGGAGGGCCTGGAACCATTTTGCTGTTTGATTTATACGTCTTTGGGCGTTCGTAATAGGAAATGTCCGCGATTCTCATAATGTCTTAGTCACGTAGTATAAATAAAAGGCCTGTTCGAAGTTCGGTTCTCCTACGTTCCTTATTTATTTATTTATTTCTTTCTTTCTCTGTTTGATGGGCTTCGGGGCCAAAACAGCACACACTATTACATCCCTACCAAATATAGTGGTGGTGTTTCGCAGGACGAATGAATCCTGAGCAGACCGAATATTGTCATCGAAATATCTTTTCAGAGTAGTAGAGTCGCTTTGCATTGGTCCATTGAAACAGACGTAATTCGCATGAAGAACAAATAAACGCAATTGCTGCGAAAACGAAGGAATTGTGGAATAATCAAGGCGTAATTTATGTTTGCAGCAATGTCGTTGCTAGCAGCGCGTAAAAAGAAGCAGGTTTAATTAGCGACACCCAACTCACCCTCATCGACTCGCCACTCTTCCTCCTCCCTGTTACCCTATTGCCTGCAACATAACACCAAACCCCCAACACCCTTTCCAGATTCGAATTTAATTATAAACTGATCGTCGCTTGTCTTCTCGTCTTTCAGATTTCGTTTAAAAAGAAATATAAACGATTGAGATTCTGCAAACATATATTTCATAATTTTGATATAATATTGATTTCAATTTTATTCCTTCTATAAGTCTTACTTTGATAAGACTTGTAAAATTTCCAACAGACTTTAAAATTAGGATAAATATTTGAAATATAATAAACAATACAAGTTATGATTAGTTCAACATTAATTGTTGTTGATCACGTGATTTGAGAGAAAAAAGATATATAAATTTTTCCTTCCTGCGCAATTTTGATCGACGTCGTAAAAGTATTGTCCATGTGCATATGCTTAGATGGACATGCATGTGGCAATGTATGTATGCATATTGGAGCAATTAAATTTGAGAGGGATTCACTCGATGGATCTGCCGCCACCGCTGCTGCATTGTTGCAGTCGGATGCCTATCAGATAATTATAATGGACAGTCGGATGTGTGTGCGGGCGTTGGATTCGTGCACTTCTTGTTGTTTAACCAATCTGCATTTGGAAATTGTTACCGGCAAGTGAGTGGTTTGCTTGCAAATCGATTGAATCATCTCTAAACTCTGCGAAACACCTTCTTCGAATACATTAATATGTACCCAGACGCTCATCCACTTTTAATTGATAAGAATAATCCTCTCTTTATTCTGGGAAATTTCCAATTGCTGCAAACTGTTTCAATGTCAATTGCGGACTATCGATTTGTTAAGCTTCTTTTTTTCTATATATATATATATAAATTTGCATCATTGATTGGACACTTGAGACAGTGATAATCATGAAGAAGCAGGTTCCGATCGATTCAAATTTTTCGCGCGGAAAACGCAAGTAGATGCTGCACTTGGGTTGCATGACGTTCCTCTCAGAATGACGACATTAACTGAGTATAGTGGCAGTTTTTAAAATACGTTCACAATGGGTCTCTTGGATAGAAGAAGAAGAGGAAAGAATTTTTGCAAGATTTCCCACAAGGCATAGACCATTGTTATCGTCGGTTCACAAAGCTTTGCCGCATCTTCATTCAACTGGCCTCTCCAACAATATCGATATTACTTTGATGTAAGAAGACGTACGCCAAGATGATGAACAGTGCATCACCAAAAGTAGCGAGAGCTTGATTAAAAATACGTTCTAAATAACTTTATTAATAAGGACCTTTCGCTTCTCGGTACAAAAATTAATGATATATTGATATTTACGTGTAATTGTAGCAATATAAAACATTATAATTGATCTAGTGTTCCATCAATTTATAAATAACAAAAAAATGTTTGTTTTAATTAAATTATAATTACATATAAAACAAACTAGTTTTAATAATTGGATTAATGCGAAGGGTCGGCAGCTGTCCATCAGGATACAATCATAAAATGCAAAGCCAAAAGAAGCAGTTTTGAAAGTGTGATGAGAGCAGGTGGGTTTAGCGTTCGAATAATCTGTAAAAGTGAAGTGACGAAAGGGGAGGGATGACGAACGTTGGGTTGGAGGATTTGCGCGCGCTTTTCTGGAGCGGAAAAATCTAAATTTGCATACATTTTCGCGTCCAAGAAAAAGCCGCAAGGTAATGAAAGTTTCCGGGAATTAAAATAGATGAACGCGTCGCGCGAATTATCAAAACTCCCAGCAGTCGGCGACGTGACTAAAATGCGAAAAACGGCAGGAAAACAGAAATGTTCTGAGTCGTACTCGAAAAGTGTACACTGTAATATGATGTTGTTGTTAATGATGGTAGTAAACGGGAAAATTCGAAGACTACGAAGAAGATAACAAACCTAGTTTCTTTTAAGCGACAGTTAATTGATGCAATGGAGGAGTCAGTGAGTATCGTGCGCTTTGCGTAATACTGTAATCTAGGGTCCTAGCCTAACTATGTATGCGCATACAAATGTCGGATTGCAAATTGGAAAAGACGAGTGACCAACCGTATCTGGTCTCTCTTTCTCTCTCTCTCTGTCTCTCTTCGCATACACACACTATTCACATACGCCATAAATCTCGTATCATCAAAACCCTTTTGATCAAAGGGAAATCCACGTTTAATAACTTGACCCGGCGCCTCCACCCATGACCCACTAATTTTCTTTCAATAATAATAAAATTTTACACAATAACTGACCGTTAACATTCAAACTTAATGGAACATAATAATAAAACTAATTATATAATCGTGTTTTCATAAATAAAATAAAAAATAGAGAGCGGTGAAAAAAAAAGAAAGAAATAAAGCATTATGGGACCTATCGAATTTGTTCCACCATACTTTAATACTCTTTCGCTCGTCGCATACTGCGTAAGTACGGCACTTAAAATTGCGAAGCGAGACGTAAATCTAATCCCTGCGACGATTCGATTTATATATATATACGCGTATTATGTGCGGCGCCCTTCGGAAAAGCTGCCCTCGCTATATAAGATAAACCTTTCACTGTTTAGCTTTTTCTATGGCCGCACTTTATCGCGACGCGATGCCCGTTGAAAATAAAATAAGCTAAGCGAAGAAAAATAGAAGAAGAGTGTAAAAAGGTAGGGAAAGGAAACATCGACTATTGAATGTGGAAGGAGCGCGCATACGATTTGCATTCGACGTAACAACAAAGAACAGGTTTGTACCGCTTAATGCAATTGCTTTCTTGCGTAAAACCACCGAATCCAATTCCATTCAGGAATCGTAAATCGTCGTACTCTCCTCAATATTCAATTGCTCTATATTTTGTTTTGTTTGTTAAATGATTCATAAATTCGAATGACAAGCTGCAATAAATTAAAGATCAAGTATCAAATGGCACGATTCGGATTTTGGAACAATTTTTGAAACAAATGAATTCACGCATCGTTTACACATACGATGCGGAATAGATGGCCGCTGTACAATGGCGACCAACTCGAGGAACTAAAAATAACTAAAATGAGTATTGCTTGGGTAACGAGTGTCACTCGAGATGTAAACAAAGGACTTCAATGGTCCCAACCTAAATCCGAGGTGTAGAAGAAAAAAAAAGAAACGTAATTCCCTGCGCCGTTCAAGTATAGCCACTCCTGATGCACATACTGGCACACACTCGTGAACGGAGCCACCAATCTAATCGTCACTTCATTAATTTCTTCAAGTTTTTGAAACCAATTTAAATATAAATTAGATTCATTCACATTTTGTTAAATGAATCTTGTTTATATTTAAACACAACCAAAAAATCAAATGTTTGAATTCATTTGATTTTTTTGGAATAGGTAAACTGTTAATTACTAGATTCAAGCAACCAATCAAAATGATACTGATTGATTGATTAATAGAATTCATTTTCAAAGAATAACACAATAGGAAAGATTAAGGATTGTTTGAGCTCCAATGCAAATTATTTTTGAATGTAGGTTTATAGTCACTTGGTGTTTCCAATATAAAAGCAAATCATATTGTATACAATATAAAGATTACTTTAAAGTACTAACAAGTATTTTTATAATTTAAATAGTGAAATAAATATGCAGTATCCCCCGACTTACGAACTCCCGGACTTAGGAACAAAATTTTAAGAGTTCTAAGTTGTTACAAAGAGATATATAGTGATAAAACATATTAACTTTCCAAACAAATGATAATTTCTTTAATAATATAATATAATATGTTTGGAAGATCTGCTTTGTTGCATTTGTTTCTTTTGTCGTTTTTTATTAAATAATTGTAATATCTACATTAAAAAGTATTTGTAAAACCATGATAAAGTGTGGTAAGATAAGTATATTTTGAAATTTTTAAAATTCCCTCGACTTACGAATAAATTCGACTTACGAACAACCTTTTGAAATGGAACTAGTTCGTAAGTCGGCCGATATCTGTACTTATAAGTACTACAAAGGGTTAAATACTAAAGGAAATGTCTTAATGGATAATCCGCCGCTGGGAAGGTTACCTCGTAAAATTTACAAATTGCTAATTTGATTATTAATGTAGAGTCTTACATTAAATGTTAATTAATTAACTATAATTGATAATACGTAATAATAATATTTAATAAAAATAAATGTAAAAAAGATACTCCCATGCAAGTATGTGTGTACACGTCCAAAACCGTGTTGTCGCATTAATTGCTGCAAGAAATACCAATAATAAATTCAACCTAAACTCATTGAAAAATAAAAAAAAGGATTTACTTTTCGATTTTTTATTGATCAAAAAAATTATGAATTGCTCGAAACAACTTGTTCAGAGTGCATCAACAATGCTTCGATGTAAAAAAATAATATAACAAATTTAATTTGGAAAATATAGTAATATTGCTATTAAATTAAATTTCATCCTGCAGAATGCAAGACATTAAATGCATAATATTTAATATCCTTTAGTGACTGTTGGGCGCCGTTCAAGATTATTCAATGGATTTAATTTCACATCGGAATTGATTCGTTCACAATTCCGTTGGACGTCTTCCAGCTGCATGGAGGAAATTCTCCAAGAAAATAAATCCATCGTCCACAACCGACCGAATGGCTAATCTAAATGAAAATATGGTTTTTCTACTTAGGGAAATACGCTTTTTTGTTGCTGCTGCCCCACTCGTACCCAATTGATCGTTAAATTAACTCTTACTTTTCGGAAAAGTTTATTTAATTCCACTTCCATTTTTTATCATAATCCAATTTATATTTGTATATGGTGTATACACCTATCTCCCGATTTACAAAGTACCGTGTAAAACGAGAGATAGGTGTACTTACAAAAAATATACAATGTTAAATAAAAGTTTAAGAAATAATCTAATATTTGTGTATTTGTGAGGGAAATTTAGATCGTGCAACTTTTTAACAATCCAATTTATCTTGAAATTTATTGAACTTTTCAAAGTAGTATTCAGGTGGAAAATGTGTATAAGTTATTTTCTTTTTTTTATCCTCTCGAGCTTCACAATCTAATTGCTAATGAGATCAGAATATAAGCGACAAATTGATGTAATTTTCATTAGATATATATTTTTTAAAGCAGTGTTCACTAATTGAATAAAGTAATGAAAATGAATGAGATCGATAGAAAAACAATATTTCAACTATTCAAATAAAATTAAAAAACGTGATACTGAGAGTTGGATTATCGTATTTATTTGAATATTTATTGTGAATTTAAATTAAATTGAAAAGAAAAAGTTTAATGATTTAGAATTATCAACTTAAAAATTTATAACTTAGAAAGTCTACTTTGAAACTATCTTAAATATTTGTTGGTGGTATACACTTACCTATGTTTTTACTTTTTAAATTTTTGTTGCTAGATTAGTTTGAACTTGTAACAGCAAAAGTTTCTCGTCGGTGTAGGAGCATTGTTCTTTGGTCAACGATGGTTGTTATTTCTGAGAATGGTAACACGAAATCCTCTTTGGATGCTGATGTTATTATTTTTGGGTCCGAAATCGCCGCGTGACTGACGTGCCGTGCCGCCTGCAAACCATGCGACGGACAGATTTATCGTTTGTACCGTTTCGAGCGGAGCGCATCTTCGGAATGCGCAAATGTGACTGACGACAACCGAAGAGATTTCCCTCCTCCGCAACGGAACCAGTAGCAGCAGTAGCACTCGACACCACCGTGTCGCAATGATTTTCAAAAGCGGAAATCTTAGTTATCTCTCGATAGATATTTAGGATGGTGGTCGGGTTAATACTTTGTTTCTCATTCACTCATTCTGATTCAGTTTGCGTCTATTCTCTCCCTTCTCTTACATATGTATATATATGTATATATACATATGGGTGGATGGTAAGGAGTTATAAGTATGCCTACGATATCTCATCCCTCTCCCCCAACCTAGGGCTGTAGAAAGACGAGACTCCTCTCTCGCATAGAACAGAACTGTTTGAAATCCACTAGAATATTTGCGATGGAATACGTGCGACCTTTCTCTCGTTACTACCCTCGAACAATCTGATCCGAACGATAAACGATCCAGCGCGTGCTGCACTATTTCCCAAAAAAAAATCCTTATTCTTCCATTCTTACATACTCTCATTCTATTCACATTTCTTATTCCAGTGTTTATTGCATTCGATCCAAGGATGTTAAACGATTTTGCTGCCATATTAATGACAAAAACTATACGAAGATTGGTAATAATTATGTCATGTTAATAACATCAACTGTCAAATAACTGAATATGACGATTATTGATTTCAACTTTATATAGTTGTTTTGATTTTTTAATCGTGAACAGGAATTACATTACAGAGAAACTTTATAATTCTTACAGTTTAAACAAAATAAACTGATGTACATGCTTATAAAATAATACTGAATGGTATTGTGTGCAACCACAAGAAGTGCAATTCTTATAGGAGCAGTGACCTATTTATAACACAGTCGATTTCGCTTAATTGGAACACCGGTTAATCGGGACAGACGCTTATTAGAGACAAATCTTAAAGAACGGAAACAGAACAGAACAAATGGAACTACGGATAATTGGGCCAGCCACTTAATACACGTCCCGATGTATCCCGATTAAGCGGAATCGGCTGTATATTTTAATACGAGTTATCAGTATAAGACGCGGAGTGGACAAATGAATCAAATCTTACCCAATCACAAATCGCACCCTATATCTATTGTTAACTTCGAATGTAAATTATATATTTTAGAAGTAGTCTTAATTATAGTTTTTTTTTATTATTATTAAAGCAATCTATCATCTGACATTGATATCTAGCCTTATGAATGTGGTAAAGTAAGTTAAAAAAGGACACTATAATAATAATTAATGAAGTGAAGATCCAGCAACCCCACTTCACATATATGTTAATTTTTTATGCACTTGCACACATTAATAGTCAATATTTAAAATCGGTTTGGTAAATCTTGTGGTTTAATCTCTTCAATCTTCGACGATGCTCTGCAGTATGCATCAGCTCCATAGCCAGTTGGTTTGGGTGATTCTCTAGCCGATTATGGTATCTTGTGCTAGCCTTTCCTATTTCTTCCTTGACGAAACTGATGTTAGCTTGCTTATGGATGTCCTCGTTTGTGATGAACCATGGAGCATTGGTGATTTTCCTCAGCGTTTTCGACTGGAATCTCTGTATTATATCGATACTGGTGTTACAGGCAGATCCCCAGAGCTGGATGCCGTAGGTCCATATCCACTTTGCTTTCTGTTGATATACAACGGTGTTACAGGCAGATCCCGTCATAATGCCTGAATGCTCAGCCAGTCCTAGCCGTAGTCCATATCCTTTGCTTTTGTTATATACAACAGTGTCTTCCTATTAGCCACTCCAGCTTCCTAGCCCTCAGATTCAGATATTTTCTCTTGGTTGCTATGTGTGTTTTCCAAGTAAGGCGTCGATCTAGGTGCATGCCAAGGTACTTGGCCTCATTTGCCTGAGGCAGAGTGGATCCGTTTAATAGAACTATTGACTCAGTAAAGTGGACCCGTTTGGAGGACAGGTCTGTCGACGCATAGTAAACGTCACATGCACCGACTTAGCCTCGTTGGCTATAATTCTCCACTTTTTTAGCCAGTTTTCGATGTCAATAAGGCTATTGTGAAGCAGTTGTTGGGTCAGTGTGCGATGCCAGGATTGCAGTGTCATCAGCAAACGTGGCCACAGTGACTTGTTGAGGTGTAGGCAAGTCCGCCGTGAAAAGGAGATATAGCAAGGGGCCCGAAACGCTTCCCTGAGGGACTCCAGAGCTGATCGGTCGTAGAGTGGTCATTTCGTCATTGTGTTTGACCTGAAAGAACTCTCCCGTTAGGTATGATTTAAAGATGGAGTAGTATACGTGGGGTAGGCACTTCTTAATTTTGTATAGCAGTCTTTAATTATAGTAAGGAAGAATAATCGTGAAATTAAGAATATATATAAAAACAAATAGATTTAATTCAAATTCTCCAACATTCAGACTCCACATCAGACAACATTCGATAGTGACCCGATTTTTCATCCCTGGGACAAGGGATTAAAATGTAATTCGGATAGACTGGGTGGATTATTAATTCAAAAACTCCCCCTCAATTGGTTTGTAACCATTAAAACAGTAAACCGCGATTCGAAACCCAATCAAATTACAAAATATGCAATTAGACCAACTGGAAAACGATAGCGATACTTCTGCCACGCATGTACATCTACTATATGTGAATTCATATGTACAATATTTTTACTTTTAATTCTATTTCCCTCCGTGTTTCTATTTTTTCATATCGTTTCGCAATTTTGCACGCTGTTTTGGCCAATTTGCAAAAGCGGTTAAAACGGAATCAATCGAAATTCAATTTTCGATCTGCTGCTGCTTAGCCGTCGCTTCTTCGTACGGTTTGTTCCACGACGACGTTGATGCGTGTTACATCGTGTGACCGGAAAAAAAAAACGAGGAAGAGAAAAAGAGAGAGACAGAGAAAAGGGGACAGATAGATGAGCAAACTGGACCAGAAGAAAGAGTGTGCGAGAGAGAGAAAGCTACAACAAAATTGCACATCCTGATTTGTGCGCAAACAAAAATATATTTACATTGATGAATCGGCGAGTAAATATATTTTTGCATCGACGAACCGTAAATAAGCCGACGAACTCGAATCGCTATGATTTTTCGCTTGCAAATAGTGTATCCTCGTTTTTTTCTCTCTCTTTCTCTATTTGCTTCAATTGAGTTTATGGATTTGAATAAATTCAGTAATATTTTTTGTTGTCGTTATTGACAATGCGTTGATATGGTTGCATAGTTAATTGATTACAAGCGGCATCTACTTTATAAATGAATTATGTTGTAACTATTGCTCAATAATTACTTGCATCTACAGTTTCGAGTATCAACTAATTTACCTCATTATTTAAAAGCCCAACCTGTTTTCCATCGATTGATAAATTATATCGTCGCAGTGGCGGAACTTCAAATTAGTGTACACAAATATAATTTGGGCATGTACTACAGTAAGCAAACAATCATTTATAAATAAATAAATTTCTATTTTCACAAATGATCTTTTCAACATCGTTGCAGAGTGACGGGTAGAGTGAAGAATAATATACAAAAAAAATACATTAAAAGTCACTACCAATACAGTGATCAAAATGTATTTTTACAGTTCTCTTTACGTTTCGATACAATTACAATTGAACTCTTATTGTAAAATATTTTCTAATTTCGGAGTTATTGTAGATTTTTTTGGACGTCGGTATTATAGTTGCGCCACTGTCTCGCCGTTGCTAATTACTAATTTCTCGATCAAATACCGATGAATTGTTTATTCGTGTTTCAATAATTCCCATGCAACTACTAATCTGATCATATCTTCATCGAGGAAATATATAGAAATGCAATATTTTAAGAAAAAAAATGTAAATATAGTGTTAGTTATAAAGTTCTTTAATAACCAAAACTTTAATATTCATGATAGAGACTGTCAGGAATATGACGTTTGTTGATAATTGTGTCATTTTAATGTCAAACAGATTAATAACCAGAACATGTAATGCCTGTCAACTATATTTATAACCAGAACATTGAATCGGCGAGTAATTCGAACAGTGGAACCTGGCTTAAAGAGCAAAATAAATTGTAAGAAAAATTACTTCAAAATGGAACGCATTATCGTATATTACATTAGCTTATATGTGGAAAATTGTTTCACTATACGAGTAAAAATCCGGAAATTTTGGAACGGATTATGCTCATTAACCGAGGTTCCACTGTACTTTGCTTCACATCTCAAAATAAAAATTGTTTATTTCATGTACACACATTTTCACCCTTTTAAAGACTTTACTAATAAATAAATGATGCTAGTAATAGATGTTGGTTGATGCGCGTTTTCTGGAGTTCTACGGATTGCGTAATAAATAGCGATCGCGTTATGAGCTTCTCCGCCTTTTGTGCGAAAGTTTCATCTTTCCCCGAATTGAGGATGGATGTGTATGCCAGTTCGTTTCTCCTTTCAGCGGACGCGAAAGTTTCTCCACCGAAGAATGGAAATCTGAATGCGATATTCAATCGCCATATTTCTCCTCTTGCAACCGCACCACAAAAAGCAAAACTTTGCGCATTATCCGATATATGTGCGTGTTGTTTCAGTTTTCTTTTTCATTCCACATTCGATTCACATCAAAACTCCCAGCAAAGCGAACCACCAAAACGGCCCATTTTTATTTTCAATTAAACAATATTTTTTTACCCATACTCCAACCAAGTTTTCAAATGACCAACATCTTTTTTTCTCCCAGTAAATCAGTTTTGCTGTGAATTTAATTGCTGCGCTCTGTGCACCGTTGCTCGATGATGCATCAAAACTGCACTTTATGCGACCGGCTGTTATAAACATTTTTTCGTTGTCGTTTATTCGAGTTTTCGAGTCCTTTCTCCGCATATTTTGCCGCCGTTCGCTTCGGAATTAAATTATCGCCGCTTGAAGTTTGACAATGACATAACGAGAGTAGTCGCTTTATGCAAATACCGAGCACTCGTAGCATCCCGGTTGCCTGTATTGTTGTCATCCGGTCCGTTTCCGGTCCGGTCCGTTGCATTCCGTTCCCCTTCTTCGCACACCCCCGTATTCTATCAAATGTACATGAATAATCAATTGATATCTATTTTCGCGCAATTTAGACAACACATTTTTTTTTTGAACATTTCCGAGGAAAATCTGCGACATTGAAATCGGGAACGCCTTCGAGCGATAAGCGAGACGTCCCCGAGAGAAGAGTGTCTCTTAAGTGCGATGGTAAAATAGCTGACGTAGCTGCAATTCAAATTCCCCGTGTCTTTTATAAGGAATTTCGCACGGCGCACTCCACTCTCCACCGTCGGTCGCGACAATCAAAAGAAAAAGAGGAGTATGCAAAGGGGGTGGAGGTTTAAAGAAGCGAAAAAAGAGGCAAAGGAAACAACATCATCATCAATTAGGCTTGCGACATATTTGCATATTTTGTCGAAACGGATTTGTTTTATTTAATTGCGAAGAAGAAAACAAAAAGAATAAAATCTAACAAATATTTTATTTGGATAATAATGATAATATTAATAAATATATCCTGAATTACTAAGAAACTAAAAATGCTCTGCAAATTAATTAATGAGAGCCACAATAAATATTATTGAATCGTCGTTTGTTTTTCTTTTCTGTTTGCACGTGTACTAGGGGCGGCTGGGTGTTTGGTTTTTATAGTTAGAGAAGAAGACAGGAGACGTGGAGAAAGGACGGAAGGATTGAGATTTAAATAAATATTCAATTAAGCTGCTGCACAGGTCGAGTCGGAGCAATCGAGCCACGGGTTCCAGGCGAATTGGAAAAGTTTGGGGTCGTCCTTTTCAATGTCGACCTTCCCGCTGATCTGCGGCGTTAGACCTGACCTATAGTCGACGAGGGCGCGCTTCATCCTTCGCACCACGCTCGGCAGGAAACTGGCAAGATTGTTCTCCTCGCAGGGATCACTCGGCACATCGTACAGACATACCTCACCATCTGCTCATCATCAACATAATTAGCGAACATGGAAAGAGAAAGCATAATTAAAGACAAGTCGGGGATATTTCAACCCTCTTCAAACATTCGTTTGTTCATCGCGCTGACCGCACTTCAAACCAGCAGAGATATTTTAATTAAATTAACAGAAAACAACAGCGAAGTGCGGATGCGCCGGGCCTATGAATCAAGAAGAATTGTATTAATGAATGACCAATTTAAATCGAAGCGATATTACTTCTCGTTCCACTGTGACATCGTTTTATATATTACAAGATATACTTATAATTTAGGCAGCGGTTTCCAACCTTTATGCTACTACGCCTCCCCAATTTTTTTTTCCGCGCCTCCCTTACCTTTTATTGTTTTAATAGATTAAATAATATAGACACGTTTTATTTATTTACAGATATTATGGTATAAAAATTAATTTATTAAAAAAATTTGGCGCTTCCCCTGGCAATAGTCCCCGGTTGGAAACCGCTGCTCTTATGCATAACGTAATTGATCTCATTTCGTGAACAGAAAATTCACTCCCCTGCTTAAGATAACATACATCATGTTATCTTCTCAATCAAGAAAAATATGTCAAGATTAATCATAATAATAACTATATTAATCTGTCAATTAAATTTCAATTATCTTTATGTATCATTGAATGTGTGTAATTAGTATTCTCTAACCATCAATGTAATAGGTTTGAGAAAGGTGAACAGCGGAAAGTTCGAAACATCTCGCAGCTCGTAAATAATTCATACTGAAAGTGGATTTTCTCTGTCAGGCTAATTCCTTTTTAAATGTCGTGCATGTCTTCCTTTTTCCGGGATGAGAGAGAGAAAGAATTGATGTGCACAAATCGATTGCACAGAAATAAAGAGAAAAGCATTACTCACTGGACGGGTCACAAGGATTCCTCTTAGCTTTTGCGTTGAGACACCTCAAGGTAGCTTGACGACGGAGCGCTTCGTACTCTGCTTCCGTTAATGAGGTATAGCTCACTTGTCGAATGGCTTTGCCGGCCGGACTATCGAAGACTCTCGTCGAGTTGTACACTTGTTCCTCGATGTTCTCCTTGCCAGATTCACCAAAGTAAGAGTCGTACGTGCCATTCCAAGTTGTTCCTTAAATATACAGACATCATGTTGAAATATCTGATGACTCAATACACCAAAGATTATACACATACCGACAATCAGTTTCCAGTTGTAGAAGCGAAGAGCGGCGTTTCTGGTGATCTCGTCGATGTTTATGAGGATGTCGTTCCTCGGTGACGGCAGATCGTACTGCAGACTGCTCCACTGATCAACTCCATCGAGATCCGGATCAAGGAGACCTATGTCACCTCCAGCGGCTGTGAAGAGCGTGGGCAACCAATCGCTGATGTGTATCAAATCGGCAGAAACCCTTCCGGACTGCACAAAAAGCGGACTCCAGGCGAACGCTACACCCCTGATGCCTCCTTCGAAGAGCGTCGCCTTGATACCTCTCAACGGATAGTTGGAGCCCCAATTAGAGTATTGCCCGACCGTCGGAGCGCCGTTGTCGCTGGCAAACACCAAGATGGTATTCTCCAAAAGACCCTTCGCCTGCAACGCTGATACGATCGATCCAACGCTGTCGTCCAACTTCGAAACCATTGCTGAACAAACAAGAAATCGTCACCCTGTATATAAGCACTGCAGGATATTTTGTATTTATTAAATTTTCGCAGAAAAGTAAAACATTCTTTCAACTTTAATGAAAATCACTGGCACCTGTCATTTCCGGCGAACAAAAACATCGCTCGGTGAAAACGTGCACGGAAAAAAGTAATATATTGCTAAATAAATAAACACTGTACAACGTTTTCAGTTTCCACCCTGTTATGTTTCGAACGTATTTAATTCGGGTTAATGTTTGCACTTGTCAACAATCGTGACACAGGGGAGGGGTGATAATGATGACCGATAGAAATATGCATTTATGCATTTTTCGCGCGATACATCGAAGTTCCATTAAATTCGGATCAGCGATCGCATCGGAAATGAAAATGGATGCGACGGAAGTGTTTCGCCTGTCCAGGAACGAAATGAGAAGAAAAGAGAAGAAAGAAAATGGAACATATATATTGAATGATGGCTAACCTGCGTATGTTCGACGATTCGAGTCCTGGATGTGTCGGAACTTGTTTATCGTCTCCTGCGGCGCCTCCAGCAGTTTTCCGTCATTCCCTGCATGCACTGCCAGATGGGATACCATTAGAAAGAGCGGTTTCGTCAATGCGTGATTCTCGATGGTTTTCACTGCGTGATCCGTGAAAACGTCGGTCGCATATTGACCTGCTAGATCCCAAGCCACCTCCGTATCCCTGCGAAGGTCGTATCCGGTGTAATCCTTCTCGTCCACCTACCGAACCAACATGCACAAAAATTGAATTTATTATTTTTTGTTTTGAGTTATATATATTTTTAAAAACGATTTTCTCTATTTTATTTAATATAATGATTCTAGTGAAGACATTTTTTAAATTTATCTTTAATGTCATTTGTAAAATTTTAACACTTAGTACTAATATTTTGACGTTTTTAACGTCATTAAAAAGTGTAATTGGTGAGTATGATAGAGATGGAGTTAAACTTAAAATGCTACGCACCCTGAAGGTGTTCAGATAGTCGTAATAGCTGACGTAACCGGTGTAATATCCCAGATGGTGATCGAAGCCCCTGTATGTGGGCGTATTGTTCCATCTGGCGTATCCCAAATGCCACTTGCCGACGAGATGAGTCTCGTACCCCAATTCCTATAAAAGACAGACAGGCAAACACACACATTTTATGAGACCCGTCTCTCCAACGAGAAACATGAAGATATTCGAGTAGTTTTAGTATGGATGCATGCTTGCATGGATGCATGCACCTAACTCATATCCATTCATCCATCTGTATACACTTCTCCTCGTTCTCGCACATTGCATTCTCTCCATTCTATCCAACTATCTCGCATTCACTCGTGCACTCTTACGAGAGTATGTAAGAGAAGAGGTCTAGTACATTAGAATTCAGCGTTCAAGTTCGAAATGGAAATGTAAATGCCTCTCGCATTATGTATATATAGATTGATTGTCTTTAATCACCTTCAAATATTCGGGCAGCAATTTTCCTTCGGGCAATCCTTCCACCTGGGCTGGGTTCAGCGGCGTTCCATGCATACCTGCGAATTTAACAAAGACGAGAACAAAAAAATACATTAATACCGATTAAAATAAAAGAGAGAAATAAATTATGAGTTTGCTAATTAAAATACTACGACAACCAGGAAGTCAATAATTTTCAGATACAAATGTGATTGTCGAGAACTTGTTCGGTTTGCACAAAATATTTTCATTAATCACAAAAATCTATCAAAATTTTAACAAATTAAGATCATCTTATAACATTAATAACACATGTCTTAAGTTAATGTTAAGTTGTGAATTAAAAAGATTTGTTTATTAAAATTGCTTAAAACAAGACTTGTTACTGATTGATTAATATTTTTTTGTGAAACTGTAGAATCTAAATGCCATTTGACAAGATGAATGACATGCGTCAGTTTGTATTGTATGGGATGGTAGTTTAGTGGTTCGGTTTTAAAATGAAAATCGTCTAGGATAATCCGATTTTGGTGTGCAATATTTCACGGGCACGTACCTAATCTCATCGGATATTTTCCGGTGAGAAGTGCCGTGCGCGAAGGGGTGCACGTCGACTGCGTGTAGTGACTATTGAAGATGATGCCGTTGTACGCCAAAGCATCCAAATTCGGTGTGGGAATTTGATTGCTACCATGAAATCCGACATCGTTCCAACCCTGCGAACAGCAATAAAAAATCTAATTAGTTAACTAAAGTTATTAATTACATTTTTTTTTTCATCTTTTGTTGCAGTTTTCTATTTACATTTTTTTTATATTTACACATTCATTCACATCCCATCTATGTCAGAGTACGTTTTGCATACAAAAGAAGTACGAAACAAAACAAAATAAAAAAATGTGTGTCATAAAATGCACGCCATGCGATTCGAAATTATTTTATAGTCGTTGCACGGACTTTGACTTATCCGCGTTTCATAAGTAATTACTTCTTTTGCTTGAAGCAGCTCATCTTATCGCATTCTATAAGTATGTCACAAAAATAAGTTACGCATGTTTAAAGAGGCCAAAAGCATTTAAACTAAACATATAAAATCAGCTACATCCTCATCGACTTTAGTACTCTTTCGTTCCGAATAAAATTTAAAAAAGTATGATTTGTTTGCGATAGTGATGGTTTTTTAATGGGTGTACTTAAAAGATCGAAAGGTACCTGCGCTTAATCGAGTCGAGATTCCGCGACTTACGTCAATCGACCTTCAATTAATGGATTAATACAAGTTTTATCATTAAAATTTAGTGATACAATCGCAATTTGCATATTCTTCCCGGACTGATTTATGAACGTCCGCCACTAACGACCGGCAATTAAGTGACTAAGATTGTTGCTACTCATGTCGTTAAGATCAAAACTAGTATCCATTTTCAATTTGATTATTTCAATTTTATGCTAGATAAATATATGTTCAGGATTTACAGACCAAATCATCAGCTAAGATGAGGACAATGTTCGGTTGACCAGCCTGCTGGGATTCGCATCGTGGAAGTGCAGATAACAAGATCAATGTTAGGATTGATGTTGAAAGTCCAAGCTGTGGAGTCGTCATATTTGTTGGTTTTGCTCTAGATTCCTCTAAGTTGAGATGATCCTAACGCTCGATCGGGCCAAGGTTGAACAACGGCAACAACAACAGCAAATAGGAAAAAAACAAGAAGCACACACACACAAAAGCACATTCGGCGCAAACCCGACGATGTGACTAAAGTCTAAGCGCAAACATCTCGCTAATATATACATCGGCGGATCCCTCTTTTTCCACCGATCATCAACATCATCACATAATCATCAATTCATTCCCTCTTCTTTAGCCTTTTGTTAAACGATGGAAATTACTCGAAAATTACAATAGTTACAATAGTGCTAAAGAAACAAAGTATAAAAAAGAGAGAGACAAAAGCAGCAGGAAAGAATAATTAAGTCGCGGAAGCCATGGCCGAATATTTAATTGCCCGAGGTAATTCGAGGGTTACGAGGCGATTGTTCCTTCGCAAACGTTGGCCTCATGTCCATCTGAGGCATCACCCCATCGAACGACTAGAATCGTGCAGTCGTTAGAGGTTTCACGTGCAAGAGTTTTGGGGCGAGAGAACAAGACACGTCGGAATATAATTACTCTTGGAAATTGTTGGAAACCTGCGATTGCAACCATCGAATCGATCGCAACAGCCGGAGGACCATTTTACATATATGTACACACATATTTCAATTAGTAATAGCATATAGCAATAGTTTTGCCCAGTTTCAGTTTCGAAGCCTTTGAGTGATTTCTCTATGGAATCATCTAGTTACTTCAAGTGTCTGCAAACACTAATGATTAATCAATTGAAATATGTCAAACATATTTTGTGCACAATTCTTATTTATAATAATTAGTCAAAACTAACAAACAAATTTGAAGTTAATGACAATTTATCGTTTATTGACATTAGTTAATGAGTTTAAAAATTGAAGTACAAAGGTCGCAAATAATATGAATTAATCATTGTATTATAAACAGTGGAACCTCGCTTAACGAGCAAAATAAATTGTAAAAATGACTCGCATAACGAGTGAAGAGAAGAAGAGAAGTCTTAGATAGTGTAGATCATTTTCAAAATTTGTGTTCAAATATTATTTGTATTTTTTTTTGTTAAAAATTTATTAACACTTGCCTGTTTCCGAATAAAAAAGTAAAATAATAAAAGAAGCAAAATCATTAAAATGCGAGACCAAGTTATATTTATTTTCCGACATGTATTTTACATTAGTTTATATGGAAAATTGTTTCACTATACGAGTATTTCATTATACGAGTAAAAAACCAGAAATTCTGGAACGGATTATGCTCGTTAAGCGAGATAATACGAGAAAATAAGAAAAAAATATGATTGAATGTGTTGGGTGTTCCAATGAAAAAAAAAGAGAACATCTTCTTGTAAAGCGTTCCCACCCTATCCTCCAGTAATTGATTTTATTTGCATCCATTCTATTTTCGTGTGCCGTGAGCCGAGCAAATATGATTAATCATTGTTATGTAAAACAGATGCATGTCCGCTACGCTGCGACTCGCTCCGTAATTTATAATAGACATAATTACCTACAATTAGCATTTATTTGTTCTTCACTTTGCCGCTTTCAGTGAAGAAAAACTCGTTTTAATTTTTGTGTGCATTATTTCGGGGATTTCCTGACGTTCGCAAATTCATTTACTTTTCGCAAGTTTCGCGTGGCAACGTTCATGACATAAACAATATTTTAACATAAGAATGTCTTGTCTATTTCTTGTGTGTTATAAAGTGAGGTAGCCAAAATCAACGTTACAGTTAGATGTGGAAATATGATAGTTCATTTTTATTCATCGATTTGCATGGAATTAACAACCGGATCGGAGAGAATTCCCCGGCATACATGTGTGTACGAATTACGAATACGACCATTAGCATCGCCAATCGAATTAATTAGCCGTTGATTAGATCAGAATGGGCCGTGATTAATTGAAGACGTCAATGATAATGGTAATAGGAACATACATTAATTAAGCTATATTTAGACAAAATAAAAAGTAAGAAATAATAATCTTCAAGTACAACGTAATGTTTTGTTGTTTTTCCGTTCCTTCTTGATCTTACAAAGTGTATGCAACTAATATGATTTATTTTCACTTATTCGTCTTCTTATGAATTCCAAGAAGTCTTGCCAACAATGTTCATGCAAATAAAAATGAGAAATAAAAATCCGTCACGGAATTGGCGATTCGAACAAACAATAATACGGAACTGGGCACACCGATTAATATCTAATTGGTCGGTGCGAGAGTGTGTTAATTGCCCGGATTGTTATTATTTTGAAAGCAGAATAAATAATAATAATAATTCGTGTGCGTTCCGGTGGTGCTCAGATATCAAGGTCATGTCAGGTCGTTTGCGCTCGTCGACATTGTATCGACACCTACTTAAGTCGTCCTCCTGCTCGCGAGTGAAATAAAAGGACCATTCTAATTTTAGACCAAGGAAGCCGAAAACCCGAACGGAAGTTCTTGCCCACTTCTTAGATAATCTGGCTCTGAGATCTGATCGGAAGGCCTTATACGATTATTACTATTTTTTCTTATTAATATTATTAATAACCCACAGGCGAAAGGAGAGCAAAAAGAGCTCGCACACGTCATTCAATCGCATTGAGACTCGCCACGAAAATTCCAATTCCAATATCAGTTTATTATACGATTCTATTCACTTTCTAATAATCTCGTACCGTTCATTGAAAACTATTATTCTCTACTTATAAAACTACAAATGCACTACAGTTCAGTGGAAAGAGTGTTATTTCCAATTTATATTGATATATTTCATTATGAAAAAATGTCATTTTTAACATTTTGTCGTCTATTGGTACTCATAAGTACCAGCATATTCATGTCACTATATAAATTATACGTGAAACATACCTAACTACATGTACTTTAAAGTAATCTCTATTGTCGTGGCCGACCAATTTATTGTCATCTATTGTATAACTAATATGTATATTTGTTAGGGCCATGACTTTCCTCTTAATTATTACAAATCATATTTAATGTATCCATCAAATATACAAACGGATACTTGTACGTGATTATTTAGAATAACTTGTGGAATATTCCAAACGACGGTTACACATTAAATCGTATAGATGCGTCTATTGCATTACCACTTAACAGCCTTTTGCAGCCCCTAAATATTTGGGCAGGATCATAAAACTTAGATAACACTTGTGTTTTCCACAAGGTCAAACTTTTTTCTCCCACGCAGCCCCTTTTTGAAATGAACACATTTTTGTATTATATAATTTAGTCTTAGTCAGGGGACAAAACCGAGAGGAAGTCTTAGTCAGGGGACCGAAGAGAGAAGAAGTCCTACTTGGGAGAGTCCAAGGAAGAGCACTTACTTCATAAACACTAACATAAGAGGAGAATGTAACTCTTAGTTAATAATACCTGAGATCAACTATTGTTTAGTTGACTTCTCAATAAAACTCCGATCTATACAATAAAGTTAATTAAGAATATTGCATTTAATATTCATAAACCCCTCTAAGACTCCGCAACGACATAACTACGAGATAATCCACGGTGTCCAAGGATTTCTTAACCCTGGGACACGACACTATATTGTATAAAAATATTTGTTTTGCACTAAGTTTTGCACCTAGATTTCATAAAAACTTGAAAAATTATAAAAATTGCTGAAATTTTCATGTACAAAAGAGTTAAAACATCACTAATTACTATCATTTTTAATAAATTTCCTAATGAAATAAAATTAATGAAATTGATAATTTGTTTGTTAATTTGTCATTTTTTATTAACATCATTTTGTTATCATTTCAAATTTATATTGTATTTGTAAAATCATTTAAACATATTTACTAAAACGCTAACAAAAGCGTTCTGCATATAAATTTAAAAAAATATATATTTTTTGAAAGTACGGCCAATTATTTTTTGCAATGTATAAAAAATACATTATATATCGCAGTCGCCATTGACCGCCAATTTAAATCGTTCCAGTCGAAATTATTGCTGCGAATAAAAAAAATTGTAACAAACAATAATAAAAAAAATAACCCCGACCTCAATTAATAAAAATACACGTACTCATTTGACTCAATAAATTAACTCCCTCCTTGTATTAGTTAAAATATAATTGTGAATGCAAATTGAAGTTGTTTTTTTTTTAATTGAAAACTAAAATTTTTTATAAATTAAAACTTTACATTTTTTGTAAAATGTATATTAAAATACTCAATTATACAAAAATTATATATTTGATGTATGATAATAGAAAATAAATGAAAAGTGAAATTAGCTTAATTATGATACTAACATTTAGCAATTGCAATATTATAATAGATGAGCCTTTACTTTAGAAAGTGCTATAAGTCCACTTTATAAATGAATTAATGGTAATTGTAATAAGATAATATTTAATATTTATAGTCATACATTCAATTGAGCACGACTTCTTGGTAAAGTAATATTTTTTTTAGTTATAAAATATTATCGCAATTTTTTTGGTTTGAAAATGGAAAATGTCATTCTAATCATAGTAAAACCAACTTTTTTATTGCAATTGTTATTGATTTTACTTCAGTGTGCACTGCTCTTTAACAGATATTAGCTGATTTTGTTTCGTATTCTTTCGCAAGTCCTACTGTTTGTATTTCTTATACTAATCGATTGCAGCGTGACTATTATTTAAATATAATAATAATCTTTATTAGTTACAATGCAACCAAAGGGCTATCAGTCTTTCCGTCCAGAGACACAAAAAACATAAATTGTCACAATAAATCAATTAAAAAAATACAATCTGAAAAAAAAAAAATATAATTGGTCAAAGCAGAGAAATAAATAATATTTCATACAAAGAGTATGACAACAATGAGTCCACACACCCATCAAAAAGACGATAATATTTCAATTTCGTCTGATAGTGATGTTGGTAAGTAAGAGTAATATTTTTTTGCGGTAATATTGGAATGTTTTTAAATATAGAAATAAGTCCTATGAATATTAGCTGAAGAAGACGAATTTTTAATTCAGATGATGAAAGCAGTTTGAGAAATATTAATTCAAGATTGCTCCAAACTAAGAAGAGGATAACAATTTTGGAATTATCAGATGCAACCACTGACGAAGACGACGTTACTAATTTTCGATCACATTATGAAAATTTTAATTTTAATTATTATTTTTTACTTCAAAAATGTCTATAGAAATATGGACTTAATATTCTCTTATTTTTATTTTTCAAAATATCTTTTATAAAAAAGTGGTATAAGTCTGACTTGACTAGGATTCGAGCCGGCGCCCATGAAATCATGGGTAAGACGACTTAACCATTTGGCTATTAGTCGCCCAGTTTATATTTTTGACGAAGTAAATTGATTAGAAATAGTAAATTTTCTATTTAAAGGAAAAAAAAGAAAGGAAATAATAATTTTAAAAGGGTAGAGTTATAAAAAGTCCAATGTGCGCGCGAGAAGGTGATTGGCATAATAAATGAGATGGACGGACGTTGAATCCAAGAAATAACCCTGTATTACTTAAGCCCATGTATGTTGGTGCATTTCAATTAACTGGTAATTAATCGTCTCTTAAATGCAAATGACAGTAAGACCGTCTACTTCATTAATAAAACGCGCATCAAGGAAAAGGCATTCTATTTACGTTAGTTACAATCTGGCGCAACTGAGAATTTGCATTTTATCAGTATATTCAACAATAACACCTCTTCGTATTTTCACTAATTTTAATTTAAAAAAAAAGTTTATTATTTGGTCCTGAGGTTCTTCGACATTAAACGCGCAATAATGAGCAGCAGGAGAACAAAACAACATCTGATTGCCGCCGCCGTCCATCGATACGTGAAAATCCTTGAGATTGCGAAAAAGACGAGTAATGGTTTTAATGCGATTTTGTGGTTTCCTACGTAAACCAGATTTACCTATTCACTCATTATTTTTTTGCAGTTGCTGCTACTTCTGTTGTCTGTTGTTGTTCTCTTCCTTCTCTCTGTTTCTCTTGCATAAAAATATTAATTACTTTACGTTCTCTCCGTCGTCATTCAATAGAAATCATTTTTATATGTGTGGGAGATGCCTGTCTCACTTTTTCACTTAATTAAATACTTTACGTGTTATATATCTTAATTAATTATTTAAAAAACATTAATTATAGTCGCATCAAGGTTTTAATGTTTTTCTTAATTAATTGTCCTTCCAATCTCTTGACGCATCTTAATGACTTTATTAAGACATGCGCGTCTACATTTTTATGGTAACATTTTTTCAATTATTATAATAATCCCTATGGACAACCAAAAAATAGAAATTTATTAATGTAATTCAATTTAGCTGATAGAAATATTAAGAAAATAAATTGTTTGATATCTTAAAACAAAAAGAAACGTGATATGAAGTACAAAATGTGGAATATGCAGATATATTGAAATACATGTAATCGACTTTAAGTAAAGTGCGTCTCGCGATGCCACTAGGATCGCCGGGTCGCTGTTTTCTCGCTACATTGCCATTGTTTGGTTGCTTAGCAACGCCCTTTGAAATCATGCCAATATGTTTGCAATTATAACAGTGATACAGTCGCAGAGGTAAATGCGATATAAAGTAAGAAATAAAAAATGAAAAACAGACAAAAAAAAACGTCGGTTAATGATTTAAAGTTGCTTCCAGTCTAATTGCAGAATCTGCTGTAACATTATATCAATCTTGCAGTATGTATTTCCTGATCGAGTCGCTCGAAGCTAAGGCTCGGAATTTTTATAATTAAACGAAACAAACAAACAAACATATCGTAACATGATGTAGCGAAACGAAAAGCATACATAAATAAGGAACGCACGAGGAAAACACGTTGAAATTCTCTTTTTCGGTTACGCAACGCGCGGTGCTTTCTTCTTTTGCAATCGTTCGATCGATAAAAGTAACGAGTGGAAAACGGTTCTCATTCTGATAGGTAGTAATAAACGATTAAAACAATTCCGGACGTTTGAAATACGTTCAAGGCTCCCAAAAGTCCACAAGCAAGTTTCTTGTGCCATTGAAAAACCATCATCTCTCAATCACCTCTATTTCGTTTTCCCCCCTTCGCATCGCACAAATTATACGAATCTATAGAATGGACGTATTATTAGATTTAATTGAGCCGTGTCGAGAGAGATATTTTCCCCGTTAAAATGAAACCGTGAGTCGCCGCTCCAATAACGCGTAAACCCAACAGCTATCCTTGATATCTTAATTAATTCCGTTTTCAAAACGCAAAATGCACCCAATTCGACGGTCGTTGCAAAATTCTGCACGACCTCACAAAAAAAACACTTCAAAAAAAATATGTACAATTAAAATTTGATTTCCGTTTAATTAAAATAATTATAATTATTTCCAACTAGATATACTTATTATACTAATTATCGAAGATGGCAATGTTTAATGCGGTGTTAAAGAAACACGTTTACTTCGCTTTGTTTTTTGATCTTTTCGTTTATTATTTTCTTCTTATTTCCTCATTGGAAAATCAATAATATGCATATGATGTTGCATAACGATCAACGGCGTTATGAAACGTCAATAATTGAGATGTTGCGCCATGCGCTTTCTTGATCTTTATGACGTTCTATCGATTCCAAATTCGAAGTTAATGGAAACGTTTTCGATGCGTAGGTTTATGAATCTACGTAAGTTGCGTAATTGATGCGAGGCGAGATTGGAATTATCCTTTATTAATTGCGTTCGTTGCTCTTTTTTTTGTGAATGCGGAACTCGCCTTTCCCCACATCAAATATTTAATTTCATATGTAAAATCATAGACAAAGAAATAACTACTAATTTTAAGTAGAATATTTAAGAAATATATATATATAAAATGTATAAAAATCAAGTAATTTCTGAAGAGAATGGTATACCTAAAAAACAAAATGGATTAATTTATTATAATTCTTAAAATAATATTCAAAAAATAGTTTTCACTGTGTAATAAATGATGATTTAATACATACAATCTAATTTAGAAATCATTTCATTTCTATTTTTTCTGATAAAATAAATGTATAGATAGAATGCAGCACTCGCACGGCCTGATTCCTTGGCTTCTGACGCACTCGGTTATCTCGTCAGAATCTATTCAGAGCAAACGATTTGACGTCAACAAAGCTTATCCTATAATAAGGAAAATGAGTAAAACAAGTCATTTTAATACAATAAATAATAGCATTTTTTCAGTAAATAACCAATTTATAATATAACAAATTTGAATCCAACTACAAATTTCAGTGAGTCTTAATTTGCACAGTGGCACCAACTATCCTTAATCCGTACAACTGAAGGGCACTACATCAGAATTTTAAAAATATATTTTGTATTTTTTTTATCCATCAAAATTTTAAGTTTTTTTCAAAATATTTTAGGTCCTCAAAATCTAAAAGACAAGAAATTTTTTCGTATTTCAATTGAATGAAAACAAAATTAGTATTTTAAATACTATAAATAATAGGATTTATTTTAAAATAAATAAGCAATTTAATAAATAAGTGAGTTCTTTTTAAACGAGCGAACAAAGTCCATTAAAAATTCCCAAATTCCCAAACAAAGAAACAAAAAGCAGTCATAATTATTAAAATTGGTTTTTGGTTATTATTTTTTTTTCGAAAACTGAATAATAACTATCTAATAGTTTTTTGATTAGATATTATTTAATGCAAATGCATGTAAAATCCACTTTGTTTTTACTTTGAATCTGCACGAAGTTTAACACGAATTTGAATCTGGTCTTTTTCAGCATTTTCCCGACACGTAGAAATTCCCCATTTATTCATTACGTAAATAACATTGTGGAAATAAAGCAATAAATTAATTAAATCAAAGATGTATAATAAAGTTATTTTAAGAAAATGTGTATTTTCCCGCATCGACATTTATACATATTCATTGAAAATAAAACAAAGTTCAGTTGTTGTTGTTGAAATAAATAATATAGATATTTTGTAGTAATTGCATAATGAAGATGAGTGATAAAGTTATTTTAAGCGAATGGCAACAAGTCTAATACGAATTAAAACTGGTCTTTTTTTCACATTTTCCGCTGACGAAAACAACAAAACCCGAAAGGGAATTCCTGCGGTTCGGATTTGGAATTTCCTCTACTTTTGCAAACGTCCACAAACCTCTCTTTTTATCGCATACTTTATCTGCAAGCAGATATAAAAATATATATGTATATACACCTTCCCTCGTCATTGAAAGAGTGAAAGAAAGATCTCGAAAGTCAAGGGAACTCCGCCCTTGTCGCGGCTGCTCTTCTACTCTTCTCGGACCCCACCTCTTTGATCCGCGACCGACCACCTCTTTCACCATCCGCTTTCTTATAAATACTAGGGGCTTTTTTTCGTATCGCCAGTTTCGTTATCCGGTGCTTCGGCAGCGCGACCAAAGAGTAAACGCAGAGGAAACAATCTAATACAATTAGACTCCCGATATAAAAACAAGCACACATATAATACTTATATCTGTCTGGTAGTGAACGAAGCTACAAATTCAGATATACGTAGATATAAGCAGTTTCGGGTTCGTTGTCTTCACCTGCGTTCAAATCTCCAGCCATGCACAGCAGACGCTCGCAGCAGCAGAAGGGTGCAGTCGCCGTCTCCGCCGTAACCGCCACAGCCGCCTCGGCAGCAGCCATCCTCGTGTTATCGGCCCTTCAGATCACCGTCGCAACGGCGACATCTACCGTCACCGACAAACCGAACATAATCGTGATCGTCGCCGATGATATGGTGAGATTTACGTTGTTTGCAGCCCATCAATTAACAACGCTCATTCGATAATTGCACCCGTCCATTGTTTTCCGACGTCGGCGCTAATTAACCGTCGCCGAGTAATTACCATACGCAATTAACAATTAATTAACAAATTCAACTAAATCTAAACAATCACAGCAAAAATTGATTTTATTTTTCATTCATTACTCAAATTACAATTAACAATATTTTAATATATCTAAGTATAAACTACTCGTAATTATCCAATCAAAACCGAAATGGAAATAAAAAACATTTGAAAGAAATTCCTTTTCAATGCATTTTTTGCATTATTTTTACTTTGCTGGATCATCTCTTCATTAATTATTATTATAGTGTCCTTTTTTTAAATTTACTTTTACCACATTCATAAGGCTTGATGTCAATGTTAGATGATAGATTGCTTTAAAAATATTATTTTTTTTATATAATTATGTAGCGCAATTTAATGTCACCTTGGTGTTTATAAACACATATGATTCGTATATAAACATAAACTAAATTATTTGTGTTCTTCTAATTTAATATTCAATTTTACACTTCACTTTTATTTTTCTTTCTTTACTCGATCCACAAATGAAGGTTAAATATCAATACACGTAACGCTTTGTTAAACAAGACGTAATTAACAAATTATAACCAACACGCAAATAATAGGAATTTGAAAGAAATTGCTTTCTTCCCAATCATTTATATTTTCTTAATCTTAATATAAAACATTATATAATTTTCACATTACATTCAAAGTAGCCATAAATTCCTCTTTTGTCACCTCAACAAAACTAATGAAGGTTAAATTTCGCTACACCTGTATATAATTTTGTACTTTTTATACGCGAGTTTTTAACGAATAGAAAAAAGCCTAATTAAATTCGCACGTGCAAAAATACTAGTTAATTATACATCGATTTACAGGAAGAACCGCAAATAAACACCGTTCTTTTGTTCAACGATTTATTTGCTTAAGAGTAATTTCATTTAATTTTCATTTTTAATTAACACATGCAAACTACATTTATTTACATATAAAAATTTGTTTCCTTTATATACAAAATAGTGTTGATTTGCTCTTTTCATTTTTAAATATTCGAGGTGATTCGAAGGTCAATATGTGTGAATGAGCGTTTTTTCTTTCTTTCTCGTAACGACCGCAAACCGAAAACATAAACTTTTTCAGTTCACTTGATTTAAGATCCGTTATTTAAATTGATTTTGTTTCCTCGTTACAGTTACTTATTACACAATTTTTTTATTTCAAACTTGTATTATGAACTTGGAAAGATTTAACAAACATATTTTTTCTCGAATTATAAAAGCAAACAATATACTTTTTATTTTACTTCATAAACTGCATTACCATCTGAAGAGTGTCTTTGTAGTGTCAACTTTAATTTAGTGGTACTAATTAAATGATATTTATATTAAAATATTTACAAATAAATACACGCACTAAAAAAACATGTATTTGCTTTAACACCATTCAAAAAAAAATTAATAAATAAATTTTAAATATAATCGAATTACACATTTTTCTCAGTAACATGTATACAGTGCCAAACAAAGGATAAGTTTATTTCAAAACTGACATTCATATGTTACTTATGATACGGTTTCTATTGATAACATTGACAATATATATTTAAAGTACCAATTCACAGTAACTCACAGTAATTCACAGTAACTTTATTTAATTAACATTAAAGTTGGTATAAGTTTATTTACATAAAAAAAATAGTTCGAATATACAAAAAAATAATTATAATAGCAAATTCAATTGGTAATACTTACAGATCAATCTTTGATTATATAACGTTGAGTTACATAATATATGTTTTAATTATTTTTTTTCAATTTATTAAAATACTGGTCTCTACAATTAGATACTTATGCAATGTGCACTCCAGGAAGTCGAACAAAAGGCGGAAATCGCGCTGCACTTGTCACCAGAAAACAAAGATTCGCCATGCATTTATTTTCCAAATCCGCAGATCTAAGATCTCAGTCAATTACATGTGCATAATCTTGATCGCATTAACGTCATTCTCAATTGTTTTCTAATTGATGGACTCAAGTTGATTTACACAACTTGACAGCTGCAACCATGTTGCTTGCGTATTTCAATTGTTTTCTAATTGATGGACTCAAGTTGATTTACACATCTTGACAAATGCATCTGTCATCATAATTTTGCTTGCATATTTCAATTGTTTTCTACATTAATTGAACAAATGAAGTAACTGAACTAATTGTTGTTGTTGTTCGTAGGGTTACAATGATGTGGGCTTCCATGGCAGCAACGAAATACCGACTCCAAATATAGACGCCTTGGCTTACAACGGCGTGATTTTGAACAGTCACTACACGCAGGCCCTTTGCACGCCCTCCAGGGCCGCATTTCTTACCTCCAAGTATCCAATTCATCTTGGTAAGTGCACACTTTTTGCGCGGTCTCCAAAACTACCTGGAAACCTCCCTATCACTATTCATTGAATCCTAATTAATCATAATATGCAAATACTTGAGAAACAGATTTGCTCATATCTTAGCACTTGCAGAATCAAGGTGCATATTTTTGAGTATTATTATTGTTATTATTGGATAATGGTCGACACGTGCTTGATTAAAAGATTGGTAATGTAAATGTTAAGGTGAAGTTGCGTTCCCGGATTGCATAAATAGAGCGGAAAAAGGTGCGAAATGGAACAGTTCTATAATTGGAGGAGTAATAAGTAATAAACCATACCATAAATGTATGTTTGAACGGTAATAGCGTATTGTAATTATGATGTATATATTTTTAGTAATCGAAGCGTGAAGGTTATCAAGGTTTTCCTTGAAGACTTGCGATGTTTATGAATGAAAACTATTGTTGTTTGCTTGTTTGAAGGAATGCAACATCTGGTGATATTGGAACCTGAACCTTGGGGCCTGCCCTTAAACGAAACACTCTTACCCCAACATTTGAAGAGGAATGGATACAGGACACACGCCATCGGCAAATGGCATCTCGGTTTCTTCAAGAAGGAGTACACTCCTACTTACAGGGGTTTCGACAGCCACTACGGCTATTGGCAAGGACTTCAGGATTATTACAAGCATACCGTCCAAGCCACAGTACGAACAAGAAATTACACATAGTTAATTATTTTATTAATGGATGTTTTCTTTTTCAGTTTACCAAGGAGTACGGATACGATATGAGACGTAACATGGATGTGGATTGGGATGCGCAGGGTAAATACTCTACCAATCTCTTCACCGAGGAGGCCGTCAAATTGATTAAGGACCACGACACCAAGGACCCAATGTTCATGTACCTCGCACATCTCGCTCCGCACACCGGCAACGACGATGATCCTCTCCAAGCTCCGGACGAAGAGATCGCCAAGTTCTCGCACATCGAGGACCCAGAAAGAAGGATTTACGCCGGTACGTTTACATTTGCGCTTGAATTGACGTGGTACTAATTACTATTTCTTTTGTTCTTTAGCTATGGTTTCGATGCTGGATCAGAGTGTGGGCAAGGTCATGACCGCTCTGCGCGATAAGCAAATGCTGCAGAACTCCATCATCTTGTTCATGTCCGACAACGGCGCCAAAACCGACGGCATTCACGCAAATCACGGCTCCAACTATCCGCTCAGAGGCGTAAGTGTACTTAATAATTAGTCTTAATATGTTTCTAATTTGATTTGCAATTCGGATTCAGTTGAAGAATTCCGCATGGGAGGGCGCCACCAGAAACATTGCCGCTATCTGGAGTCCTCTGATCAAGGACCCGCAGCGCGTCTCCAACGAGCTCATCCATATTTCCGATTGGCTTCCAACTTTTTACTCGGCTGCCGGTAAGTTAAGTTCAAAATGAGAATTGAGTGTATGTGCGAGAGGGAGATGAAAAGCATGAGAGTGTGTCGTCCCTAATGCAATTATAATATACATGGAACATGCTTTATCACTGCACTGTACTGTGATGTACTAGCACTACTACTACCACTAAATCATCGTCGCATTCGGTTTTCCAGGATTGAATATTAGCGAGCTTGGCGTAATCGACGGTAAGGACGTTTGGAAGTCGATCTCCGAAAACAGTAAAAGCCCGCGCACTGATCTCGTTTACAACATCGACGATGTCTGGAATTACGGCGCCCTTCGTCAAGGGGATTGGAAATACATGTACGGCTCTACTGTCGGTGGAAGAGAGGATCAATGGTAATTATCGCTAAATTGATGCCGCATACTACAGTAATGATGCTTCATAAATTTTAATTCGTCTTCGCCTTTCGTGCAAATAGTATATTCTAATTATGAATCCCCGTTAAACGTAGGTACGGTTCGTCGGGCATCAACTCGAACTATTACTTCTCACCCGATGAGATCTTAAAATCCCCAACGGCCGTAGCCCTGAACGCTCTCGTGACATTCCAGCAGATCGCCGAGAAGAATGCCAACAAGAGTCCACTCGATGATCATCCACTAGAATTCACCATTCAGACACTTTGCGAGTCGAAAATCAAGCAGCTTCGATCGGCAGCGACGGTGCGTTGCAACAAACTGCCGGAAGATCAACTTTCCAGCCACGTCTGTAATCCTCTGAAATCGCCGTGCCTGTTCAACTTGAAGGAAGATCCTTGCGAACGCACCAACCTCGCCACAACAAGACCGCTGATCGTGATCAACATGGAGGAAACGCTGATGAAGATCCGCAAAACGATCGTCGCACCGATCAACTTGCCCAGAGACCCGAACGCCGATCCGGACAAATGGAACGGCACGTGGACTAACTGGCAAGACTTTGAATATGTCGATGTGCACAGACAGAGGGTGCCTCAAGAGGTGCTGTCGCCACTTGCGATCGGTCTGATCACAGCAACTTGTTTCGCGTTCCTCATTGTCATTGTTCTCCTCCTGATGATCTCCTGCAAATCGGCGCCCAAGAACAAATTAGCCACGATTTTCCAAAGTCTGGAGGATCCCTTGGATTCGCCCAACGCAGCGATGACTCAAAGCAAAGATAAGGAGATGATTCAGATACCGTTCACGCATAATCCAAGCTATAACTGATTATGTGGATATCATCGATCGCTCATTAATAATTATTTATATTTATGGACATAAGCTTATTCCATTGTTAAATAAGCCGAAATGTTCCTGTTCCTCCAACTCTTCATCGCACGCATAATCCGCGTCGCTTGTCGGTCTTCACCTGACACTCTACTTCTGCATTATGGTACCGAGGAATAGAGTGCCTTAGGCGATGTGCTGCACGGAGCACGCAAAACACATTCTGTATTATAGAAACATACATATACATTAATCTCTAATTAATTCTATATAAACATCGATGTATTATTATTATTATTTAATTTAATCTTATTTAATTTTTCGTATGTACATAATAAGTATTTAATGATTATTCTCCTAAGTGAGAAAACTGCTGATTGTGATTTTAAATGTATAGACATATTCCAAATAACGAAACAGATATGTAATTTACATTTGTTAATTGACGAGACGACGAGAAATTTATGTTTAAATAAATTTGCATCTACTAGAAATGAAAAAAAAATGTCCAATACAAATTTATTTTTACTCATACAATCCGATAAAATCAATACAATTTTACAGATTACTATTGTATGCAACCTAATCCACACGAAATCACCAACATCGACACCAACATAAGACAAATACGTATATTAATTGTATCAAATTAATAACAATGCATGACAAATAATTCATAACATCAATAATTTGAAACTGTCGCGTGAATGACAAAATCCGATACGAATGTGACGAAGCACCTATAACAGATGATGTAAATAGGGCCAATTAAGAAAAATCGATAAATTACGAGATAAATATATGTATTTATGTTGAAATAGACATAAATAAGTAGTAACAGCAAAATACGTTATAAAAATAGAAAATTAACGTACATTGAAACAATAAGTAGCAACAAACTGAGAATTGGATTCAAACAACTAATTCGGAATAGCAGGTTGGGGTGCCATTCTCATATAAGGTTTTCCAGATGGCAGAGTAACAGTGTGAGTACCTGCAAATAACTCATTGGCCTTCTCCTGAGGCAAACTAGGTTGAATCATCACAGATTCTCCAGCCTGCAACAAATGAAACAATTAATAAAAATTAAGTCTTTACTTCAAGTGATTTCTGACCTTCCAATCTACAGGAGTGGCCACTGGGTGTTTATCTGTCATCTGAAGTGAATCAACAACTCTCAGGATTTCACTGAAAAAAAAAAATACAAGTCAAATGTTTATAAACAGAAAGGCCTGAATTAAGTTATTACTTGAAATTTCTGCCAGTAGTTGCTGGATACAAGATGCTCAATCTGAATAACTTCTTGGGGCATATGATGAATACGCCACGGGCGGTCAAAGGTACTCCCTCCTTGTTTTTCTCCATCATATCAATCATGTTCAGTTTGATGGAGATGCTTCTGTCCTCATCTGCGATTATCGGGTACGGAAAGGAGCTATCCTCCGAGACGCCAGCGTACATCTTAATGTCCTTGGCCCAGCTCTGATGGTTCTCCACTTTATCAGGAGACATACCAATGACCTTAACATTGCGTTTCTCGAATTCCGGCATAAGCTTGACCACGCGAGCCAACTCCGTTGTACAGACTGGAGTAAAATCTGCGGGATGAGCGAATAGGATTCCCCATCTGTAAGAAAAATAAAACACGTTCATTTATCAAAAATCAATACTCGCTGTGGATGTTCAAAGACAAAAGGGAGCTGCAACAGGTTAAAGGTTTGATTTGGATATAAATAATGAACTTACGAGTCTCCCAGATATTCGTGTAGGTTGATGACACCTTCGGTGGAGTTTGCGGTGAAGTTCGGGAATTCCGTACCCAATAGCAACATTTTAGGGCAATCTTCTGCAGATATTGCGTGAGCTAGCAAACAAATCAGATGGAATAACACCGGTGTCACGTTTGAAAGTGCCATTGCTACCAACAAGTTTATTTAAGAGAAGATATGAAATTCCCCACATTTATATAGTCCATTTCTGCCTCAAATTTCAACAAATCATTCAAGAATAATGATCATCAGCATTTGTTATTTATTTGATTTGATAGCAAGAAAAACAATGCATGCTTACAGTTCCCAAAGTTGTAACAATGGTCGAATTACAATTGTTTATTATAAGCAGCATATTTTCTTATTTTTTGTTTCCACCAGTTTAATAACAAATGACTCATTAGCTTACAAACAATACAGATTACAGATATTACACTAACTGCCACATTAATCATTGAATTTAATTTTGCATTGTTGTTAAAAATCAGAAATCATGTTATAAACAATTGAAAAACATATAGTAATGAGGAAAATATTAACAAACGTGACTCATTATTTGTAAACTTATTTAAAAAAAAATCTAAATTTAAGTTTTATTTTGAAGGGTTGGCAAAACAAGTTTTAAATAGTAACATTTTTCTGTTTTGGTTATGTTTACATCCGAAGGGGTTCCTAAAGTTTCATTCAATTAATATAATTTAACGTACACCGAATTGATTCACCAAAATGTCTGAAAGAAAAGTGCTAAACGTAAGTTTATTTATGCATTGTTAGCACAAGAATTTAGGCATTTTGCGAATGCCTTTTTATTGGTTAAATATTATAGTTATTAACAATTTACAATGTTTTTAGAAATATTATCCGCCAGATTTCGATCCAGCGAAGATCCCGCGTATGAAACTGCCTAAAAACAGGCAATATACTGTCAGATTGATGGCCCCATTCAATATGCGCTGTGCGACCTGTGGTGAATACATATACAAAGGAAAGAAATTTAATGCTCGCAAGGAGGATGTAGAGCATCAAGATTATCTGGGTATCAGAATTTACAGATTTTACATTAAGGTGTTTATCATCATTAATATGTGAATTGTGCATCAACTAATATTGTTTTAATTAATTTTACAGTGCACAAGATGTCTGCAGGAAATCTCGTTCAAGACTGACCCGAGAAATACCGATTACGAAATCGAAGCTGGCGCGACCAGAAATTTTATGGCCTTGAAATTGGCAGAGGAGTTGGCCCAAAGGGAGGAGGAAGAGCTGAAGGAAGAGGAGGCGAGTAATCCTATGAAGCTGCTGGAAAACAGAACAAAACAGTCGAAAAATGAAATCGAATTGTTAGAGTCTCTGGAGGAGCTGAAGGATTTGAACAAGAGGCAGCAAGCCGTCGATTTTGACGGTATGCTGAGCGTATACGATACGAAGATGACGGAGCGAGAGCGCGAGGAGAAGCTCAAGCAAATGGACGAGGATTACATCAAGACGGTTAAGTTTCAATCGGGGGGTGGCAGCAAGAGGAAAGTTGTTGTCGAAGAAGAGATTATCGAAGACGTCGTTGACCCAAAGATTACTAAAATAAATGAAGCTTGCAACGTTAACACCACAGCTACAACAAGCAGTAGTGGTGGTAGTAGTAAAATTAGCGCAAATACTTGGACCAACAGTACGTCCGTGGGTGGAGGTGCATTGAAAGGTAAAAAGCTTAGTGGTTTAGTCAAATTGAAAAGAGATTGCGCGAAAGTGACTTCAGCACAGGTCAGTTCTGCGCCTGCAACTACAACCTCTAACAGTTTATCTTTACTTGGTGCGTATTCAGACAGCAGTGAAAGTAATTCCGATTAACGAAGATGATAAATTGTATATACTTTATTAACATTAAAAAGAATGTATTTTTTAATTGGTATAGATGTCAAAATATTTCAAAATATATATATATTATATATATATATATATATATATAAATTTGAGAGTAATAATACTGTGGACCAATTTGTAATTAAAAGTACCATTTATAGCCATTAAAATATAAGTATTTTCTTTTCAGTTACTTAATGAATTTTTTGTGAAGTGGAATTTCGAAATAGGTATTTCTTTAAAATAAGTTGAGAATAATATCATTTCTTGGAACTCTTAAATTTAATAAATGATTGATTATAGTAGGACACGAAAGTTGTAATTACATTTATTAGGCAGCCATACTTTCTTTGTACTGATTATTTGACTGCTGCTTATCAATTTGACGTCATGTAAGAAAATAACTAGTGTTAAAATATCTGATAAGAAAGTAATGTGTGAAATATATAATATTTAGTGCATGAATGGAATGATTTAATCTACAATGAATCGCAAATTGTGAAATAATTTGATTATGCGGTAATAAGCTATGCAACCTAAGGAACGTGATTTAAAATTTTAATGTATGCAGGGAAATGATGGAGACAAAATGTTGTGCAAAGTTGTGGTCGATATAGTGCTTGAGATATAATGCTTGAGATGGATAGTTTTGCGCGTAATTGTTGGTACGAGCACGTCTGTTTTATTGTTTTCAATTATTTTTTTTAGTAGACTTGGTTGTCGCTCGTCTCTGTCGTCAGTTTCGATGAAAAAGTGCTTCAGTTTGCGTTGAGCAGTTGTTGGGGGCGGATGCAAGCGTATGCCCTCACGACTTTGAAACACCGATGATTCAGGACATACTGAAGACGGACCACAGTGATAACAAATGAACATTTCTGACTTTGTATTAGAAGAAAAATACTCAAGGAAGATGAAGGAAAGGAACTGCGAATCGTCGCCGAAGTCTAGGAAACACGGTGAACCAAAGTCGAGCAGTTTCAATACGATCAATGAGAAGGAGGTGGACGACATCTCCTTAGAGCTATTCTACAAGCCGCACACTATCACGCTGCTGGCCATCTCCATCGGCGTCGTCATCTACACGGCTTTCGTCAGGTTCGTGTTCGTTCATTAATTCAGAAAAATCGATACCGAGAGACCATCGCCGTCGACTCTTCCATCCGACCTAACCTACAAAGTTGAAGAAGTTGATGTGGGTGGGAGTCGTCGGGAGCATACCATTGGTCCTGGTATTTTTGGCAACTCGACCGACAGACCGTGTGACATTTTCAATGGACGATCGCAAAAGTCCTTCGCCTTCTCTTGATTTGCACATTTATGTAACGTGCATACTTAAACACACGATCGTTTGTTACTCGCTCCACAGCATTCCCGTTAATTGAACACCCTATCACTACTTATTAGTTGCATTATTATTACGTTTGCTCAACCCATATTCCTATTAACGATACTTTAGCATTTTAAATTGGTCGTGTCCGTCGCGTGAATTTTTAATTTCTCTTAGGGAATTACTCGAAACCGAACATTATAATTGCAATATGTATTCAAATTCTATATATTTTAAACAATAATAATTATTATGAAATCCCCAAACGTTCGTTCAAACTAACTTAAGTGTCCTTTAATTAATAACTTTAAAGTAACCATAGCAACGAATCATAATCACGCCACCAACATTGTTTACTAATGGCCAACAGAAAATTATTAATTTGTAAAACACCACACAACTGCAATAACCATTATTTAAATTATTATCTGCATATGGAAATTATATGTATTGCATTCATAAAATTTTAAATAATGAAGATTCCCAATGGACAGATTTGGGAGAATCCTAAAAGATCCAATAATATTTCATCGCAAGCACGAGGATATATGTTTATATAATTATGTAAAGAGAATCAAATTCCATTTTCGGGTTCAACCACACTTCCACCTCGAGTTCAATCTTTGCGGATAAGTTATAAGTAGGGATTTCGAATAGTGTGATCTTTTGGCTTATCTAATCACATGTGAATAGCATAATATTTAATTTTACGATCATACGATTTTTTGTGTGTTGTTGCTTATATTCGAAATACCGGATATTTGGTTTATAGAGAATGATTTTACATAATTTGTCAACGTTCAATCGAATTGCGAATGCTTTCCAGATTCGAGAACAATTGATTTTGCTTCAATATAATTTTCTTTGTTTTCCTTTGTCCTTTTGATAAGTGGGACAGATAAACAATGTGCGTTGCTAGTTTTTTGATCGGATTGACTATGAGTATAATCAAGTATAAAATTATTGTTTCTTGCTAAATTTGAATTGGCGATTGGAAAATTACACAAATTTTTTGCAGCAATTCACCGTTGTTTATGGATGTTAATTTCCAACTGAGAACTTGTAACTAATTGAGAAATTTGGTATATGTTCCAGGAGCACAGCAAATGTGGAGAACAACATCTGGGCTGGCATGCTTTGCTGCGTGTTCTTCTTTGTGATAGTGTCGGTACTGGCTTTCCCAAATGGTCCATTCACGAGGCCGCATCCGTCGGTGTGGAGGATCGTGTTCGGTTTGAGCGTACTCTACCTTCTAGGAATGCTTTTCCTGCTCTTCCAGAACTACGAGACGGTGCGTTCGATCCTTCTGTGGTTGGATCCGAATCTGGCCAATTTCCATATAGACATGGACAAGGAGTACGCGATCAACTGCTCGGACATTACGATAGAGCGGGTGTGGAGTCACGTGGACGTCTTCGCCGTGGGTCACTATTTGGGTTGGATGTTCAAGGCGGTGCTTATCCGACACATGGGTATCCTGTGGGCCGTGAGTGTGATGTGGGAAATCACGGAGGTGGCGTTTGCCCATCTTCTGCCCAACTTTAAGGAGTGCTGGTGGGATGCGCTTATCCTCGACGTGCTCGTCTGCAACGGATTCGGAATTTGGTGCGGCTTGAAGATCTGCAAAATCCTGGAGATGCGCGAGTACAAGTGGGTCGGCATCAGAGATATCCATTCGACGACCGGCAAAATTAAACGCGCGATGCTGCAGTTTACACCGGAGAGTTTCACCTCAGTGCGTTGGCTAGACCCAAAGTGCTCATACATGCGAATCGTGGCGCTCTGTCAGCTGGTCATCTTCTGGCAGACGAGCGAGCTGAACACTTTCTTCCTGAAGCACATCTTTGAAATGCCAGCCTCCCATCCGTTCGTCACTGGCCGCCTGATCCTGATCGGCGTCATCGTTGCGCCCTCCGTGCGTCAGTACTACAGTTACATCACAGACACTTCATGCACCCGAGTGGGCACCCAGTGCTGGGTGTACGGCTGCATAATGGTTGCAGAAGCTTTGCTCTGCATTAAGCATGGTCAGCAGCTGTTTGAGCAGACCCAAGCTATGAACATTGTTGTCTGGCTCCTCATTCAGCTAATCGTGACCGTTCTTTTTATCGTCGGATGCGTCGTCTGCAACAAGTATTTCCGCAAAGGGGAATACGCATCGCGCGACAATAGTCCCACGAAGCATCAGAAGAAATCCAAAATCCATTAGCAAATAGCCGATCAGCGATTAAACCAAGAGAGAGAGAGAGTACAAAGTATAATTCATTATAATCATAAGGCTGCTCCCTGAATACTGAAAACTTTTTGTATTTCCTTTCGCCTCTCGAATGGAGGATGGTCGTTTTACTATTTCATGATCATCCCATGCTAATGAAACGAAGGGAGCTTTTTGTTTTCAGTGCCATCCGACTACTATTATTACATTTAGTTTACCAATGTCAAAGTTGTTACCATTTTTTTTTGTTTCTTCCAGATGTTAAATACTTTAATGCAGATATATATGTATTTATATATATATATTTGTGAACTTCTCGAGTGCCGTATGTGCGTGTGTGTATATGTGTGTATTATGCGTGCTTGTGCTGGGATATGTCGAAATGTGCGCCGAGTAAGTGTACCCTGTAAATAATAAGAAAATACCGTAAAACAGACGATTGTTGAATACTTGTTAATAATTATGTTTGATTTTTTAACAATAAACAATTTCATCTAAGCGTTTTCATTTATTTACTATTTGCAGATCGAACCAACGACATTTTCTGATAAAGTCGACTATAGCCCACGGCTACGATTAAATTATCAAGTTTTTCTAATTTTTTATGGCTAATTTAGTTGCATACGTACGAATTTTTAAAGCGCAACAGGTCTGCCAAAGTTGCACCAAGAAATATTGACAGATAGCAGCACGTGGCATTGTGGTGGCATGTATCAGCTGATCAGAACAAAATATTAGATTAATGTCAATTATTGAAGAGTGCCTGCTACTGACCCGTTGTTGATGCAATAAAAAGAAATCAAAAACGTTTTATAAAACGGTTGTTATTCCAATTGCGTACACTGCGCATACAACGACCATATAGATTTATCACTAGTGTATTTGACTGAATAGAAACAAATTGAAGCACAAAACAAATATGGACAATTCTATATTGAATTTCGGTACGTAAAAGCAGGCAGATATGCCGTTAAAACGAAACGATGAAATCGGAACGAATTAAATTAACGAATCTTATTGCAGAATTATCTGAAAGTACAGTAAAAATTGATTCCAAGCCGAGCTCCGAGAAGAGCGACAATTTCGAGGAGATCGACGATCTTTCCTCAAACGAATCCATCACAACAGAAAAGACTGCTGCAGACTTTGATAGTAATCTGCCAGAGACGGTGACGCTTCACATATGTGAAGAGACTGGGGCCAAATTGTATCTGGTAGGCACAGCACATTTTAGCCAGGAATCAAAGGATGATGTAGTGAAGGTGATGAGGGCTGTGCAGCCTCACATAGTGGTACTCGAGCTGTGCGATGCCAGGATTGAAATTCTATCATTGGATGAGGAGACCATTCTCAGGGAGGCCAAAAATATCAACTTTGATAACATCATGCACACCATGAAAAAGAATGGAGTGTACTATGGCATCACATACCTGCTTTTGCTCAATTTAAGTGCTCATTTGACTAAGGAGATTGGCATGGCTCCAGGTGGAGAATTTAGGGTTGCTTTTAAAGAGGTTAATAATTATATTAATATCAAAATATGCATTGGTGGTTGGTTTACTGATGTTTATTTGTTTGTTTATTTTAGGCCAAGCAAATACCAAATTGTTTTATTCAATTGGGAGACAGGCCTATCAAAACGACGGTCTTAAGGGCGCTGGCCAAACTCTCATGGTTCCAGAGGATTAAGCTGGCCTGGCATCTCCTATTCACTAACGATCCAGTGAGCAAGGAGGATGTGGAGAAGTGCAAGAAACGTGATATGGTTGAGCAGCTTTTAGCGGAAATGTCCGACGAGTATCCGACTTTGGGCGAGGTGTTCGTGAAAGAGCGTGACATTTATCTAACTTACACTTTGCAGCAGGCCTGCAAAATCCAACGGAGTTTTAGTAAGTCCTATCGATTATTTAAAAAGAGATTGAAATAACCATTGTAAATTGAGTAGTTCAAGGTTTAAAACCGGACGAGGCGATAAGGGTGGTGGGCGTTGTAGGAATGGGCCACGCCCTCGGAATTTCGCGGTTGTTCCCACATGACCAGAGCATGCATCTCAAGGAGGTAACGGAGATTCCGCCGCCGACGCTGACCTCAAAAATAGTGAGCTTTAGTTTCAAGGCAACGCTGCTGACGATGGGAGGGTACTTCATCTATAGGCGTCTTCCATTATCGGTGACGAGTGGCGCCGCTCACGGTTTCGAGAAACTGGTATCGAATATTAAAGCGATCCAATTTTAAACAATAACGCCACAATTCAACTCGATATGCAACTACTAAAATATTTAAAGTAATATGTCTGTAACTATACAAATAAATATGCAGATATATAAACGATACGAGATTAACTAGATAAATGATAATATATTCAATTGGTTTAACAGTTTATTTGGTTTTCATAAAAAATAAAATACATATATTCATTCGCGTATGCTGGAAGACATTCTGAGATAGGCAGGATATTTTTGTTGTTATATTTCTTTTAGTTATTGTTTTTTTTAAGTACAAGTGACGGGAATCAAAAAGAACTGAAATCTTTCATCTTCTTTGTTTTGAGTACACACTGCCAGATGGAGTTTATTATTGTTTTGCTATTAGTAGATTTCGTAAGGAACATTGGCGGCGCACCGGAAGCCCAGATTTCCGGCGGAAGTGTCGCGCGTATTATGCGATCGGGCCGCGCATCTGTACCTCCAACAGTAACTGCGATGGCATAAATACGAACCGCCCTTCTTCACTCTGAGCGCCTGCAAAAATTAATATAAACAATAAAAAGGGATTCAATATTAATTAACGGTTTCGGGATTTCTTTTTCATTGTTTGGGGCTTTTATATACTCGTAACATTCTCCCTACTTTTTAGGTACAGATTCACATTATTCAAATACGTTGCTTCTTTGTTTACTATTTATATATACAATTATAAATATCACCATGTATAATGGAAATACATATTTTTGTATTAATAACTTCTTCTCACCTTGTTAGACGTCCAAGTATCTTGCGTCCATTCCCAGACGTTGCCTGCCATATTGTAGAGACCGAACCTGTTGGGCGGAAACTCGGTAACGGGGGCGGTGGCCATGAAGCCATCTTCAGCCGTGTTCGTCTCGGGAAAATTCCCTTGCCAAAGGTTAGCCCTGAAACCGCCTTAAAATCGTTCAAAAGATCGAGAGCGAAAAGAAGGTGAAACCACCAACCAGTGTTTATCCTTGGCGTTCAACTTGTTACCCCACGGGTACAGCCTTTGCCTGAGACCGCCGCGACACCCCATTTCCCACTCGGCTTCAGTGGGCAATCTCTTTCCTAGATGTTTGCAAAAGGCAACAGCATCATTCCAAGAAACATGAATTACTGGGTGATCCATCCTATCTGAAATAAAATCAATCACATTAACTTCTAAAATCCTAAATTAAACAGAAGTAATGAGTCAGTACTGCTGCTCCTCACCTAGTATATTACTTTCAGGACCTTCTGGATGCATCCAAGTCACCCCTTTCATCTTCACCCACCAAGGTGCTTGCACAGCTCTAAAATCCTTCAGAGACTCTCTCTCCTCCTCCGTGATCAGCTGTTCAAAAATAAAGCTATCCCCAAATACTTCAGCTTCCGTCTTATAACCTGTAGCCTCTACAAATATCTTGAAATCCTTATTGGACACCTCATAGATATCCAAATAGAAGGAGCCCACAGTGACATTCCTCACAGGATCCTCAAAATCATTCTCAAACACTGGCTCATTTGTTCCCATCTCAAAATCAGCCCTTTTAATCAGCACCATCTTTTCAAAACCTGTATACCAAGTATTGTTATTGTCCTCAATAGGCAATTCATTTGATTCCTTTGTGTAAAGGTTTTCGCCCTTTGTATCACAGTGTTCATCACCGTCGGTGCGGCTCACGTCGCAGCCGCAATCCGGAGCCACAATGTAAAAGTTAAGTATCAAAAATAATAAGGTGCTTAAGTACATGGTGCACGTGTAGAGATTCTAGTTTTGATTTGGATTCGACTGAAACGTGCCAGAAAAAGGAAGAAGTTTTATATATTTTTTTGTTTTGAGTATTTTGCATATATGTTGAATATTTGCTGCTCAATACTTACGATAACTATGCAAATAAAACTAAATACTTTGCAAGCAGATAACGAATCATCGTATCGGCCGAGCACTACTTTCTGTTTTTATTTACTTTCTCCGAACAATTTAAGTTGCCTACCTCAAATAGGATTCTCGGGAAATTGAAAATTAATTAATTATAGTATAGGTAAGAGAGACTGAGGAATAGTAAAGTTTAAAACATTAAACATATATTTGTAGCACATACAAATTTAAAAGACTAATTATATCATTAAAAAGAAATAACAGGGGTATTTACGTTTTATAAAAATTAATTGAACTTTCATCATCCTAAATGCTTCTTCAAAAGACACACGAGAAGACATAAGTTAGTAAAATGAAAAGAGAGAAAACATATTAAAATAAATGTATGATCACTTTGCATTGAGATAATGCAGTTGGCCTAAAACTAGGATGATGACACCACAGAGTGTGACGAAGAATCCAAGGTACCTGATGGTGATGGGAACACCGAAAAGTGTTGCATTCATCCTCAAACTCGAGCAGTACAGAAGGATGGAGTCGAGTTTGTGCCCGGGCGTTGATTGGTGAACGAACGGTCGCGTTCGTACTTCGTGTCCGATGCCACGGATGATTTCGCACACGTTCGTTAATTTTGCAGCCTGAAGAAGTGAATTAAGATGATAGAACTGTAAATTAAGGTGATAATGATCAAGATATACGTTACCTGTACGAAAGGGACTAGCGCGATGAACGACCACAAGGAAACGTTCATGATGTTGATTCCAATAGTTGAGACGGACTCTCTGTCCAGATTATCAATGTCTAGGATCCAGAGAATTCCCGAAACGGCATACGAGACGTTCACCAGAGTGAAGACGCAGACTGCAGGCGCCAGATGGTAATTAAGGAACATCAGCAGCTTACGGAACTCCTCTATATCCTATGATTACGAATATTCTTAAATTATTGTCTTTTTTGATTTTGTCAAGTTATATATCACCTTCATCCATTCGGTGGGAAGTAATGGTTGTTGTATCAGTTTGGCTCTGAGAAAGCTCAAATAGGCTGTGAGGAGTTGCGCTTGTAAGCAATAATTTAAGATGATGATGGCTTGGACCATGTCGTGCCACAGCGTGCAAATCACCAGCAATATCTTAATCAGAAGTACCATCGCCTGAGAACTGAAAAAAATACCGATTACTAAGAATTAACTATAATTTTGCATTTTTATCAATTTACTTTTTATCGATCCACTTGAATTCTATTGTGCTTTCTGCCATCATGTAGTTTACCGAAACGGATGATAAAATTATCCACATCCCGCTGACGGTCACGAAGATTCTTAGAGTTCTCACCAGTTTCTTCTGGCACACAAAACAGTCGGACAAATTGGACAGCGACAGGAACACCTGTGAACGAAGAATGTAAACATGACTAGTTTGTTCTCTCTCACTTGATTTGATAATAAGCAGACCCGCTCCATGAGGCTGGGCAGTTGATCGTCGTCCGAAGATCTGAAAACAGTGACGGCGTAGACGTAGCCCATAAGGTGGAGTATGTTCGGAAGGAAGAAGCTGAAGGTTAACGAACTGCGACAGATCTGCTCGAAAACGTAATCCGGTGTGCTACTGAGCAAGTTGGGCTTATTGTAACCGAAACCTCTGTCTCTTCGGAAACATGCCATGTATTGTAGCACATAACCGACGCCCAAGAACATGATAATGTGGATCGTGTAGACGTAGTTGAAGAACTCAGCGCAGGAGAAGGTGTCCTGGCATTCAATGCATATCGGTCTCAAACCAACAAAATTGAGCAGCCACAGATACGGCCTCAGGATCTTCTTTTTGCAGTAAGTCAACACTGTAGTCACGCTGTAGTGGCTCGGCGTTTCGAGCAGCACCTGAACATCGGCGATGTCACCCACCTAAAATATACCAATAAGTAAATCATTATCATGATTGAAGGAACTTTACCGAGAACGTCAACGAAGATGCTCTATTGTTGGGCGTCCTGGTCGACTCTTCTCCTCCTCCTGCTACTCCTCCTCCGTCGTTGTTCTTGCATGTTTGCACCAAGTCCATTCCTGAAAGGTGACGCATCTTTACATTATTTTCCATCAACAATATCACACAATCACTCTGAAATACCTGATCTCCGATCTTAACCTTGGAACATGTCGTTCAATCAACAACGATAAATCATAAAAAAAAGAGGCAAAAGAATAAAACTAAAATATACTTGCTACATCTATATCTGCGCGATCGGAATGTTATTAAGTTGCGGCACTTGCAGCACTGCACCGCATCTTCGAGTTCACATCACTTTCAATGTTTATCACTTGGAAAATAATTAAATCTCTGTATGCTTTCAATCTTTATTATTTATGTTATTTTAGTAGATTTTTCGCGATCGCAAATATGCGAACGATTCTCAACACTGTTCAACGGTGAGGCTTGACCTCTGGCTGAGATTAAACTGTTTATTTCACATATACGCATCACAACAATGATAATATATGTGTATATCGAAGTAATTTGATAGTAAGAGTCATTGCAAATATCGATTTTCTGTTTTTTTTTTAACGATAGGTTAACATTAATTGAATAGTATGCTTAAAAAAAGATTATAAAATTAGTTCTGACACCCTTACATGTATTGTATTTCAATAGTTTGTTGTAAGCAGCTTAGTTAAAAATCATACGAAATTTTTACAATTTCGAAAATTTGAAACAATTGCCGTTTCTTGAGTATCATCACCATGACAATCAATGCAATTTTGTAAAAATACGAAATCACATTCGCGCTCTTTCTTCCGAGAAGAGTTAACAAGCTGAGTTTAGTGTGAGTGAAAAAGAGAGAGAGTTGGAGAGTTACATCGAAGCTCGGCAATTGTTGGCAAGAATTGCACAATTTCTTCTAGTAGGCCGTTTTCCCATTCAGGTGAGCCGCTCGAGCGTGGGGCAGATAAAACGGCGGAGAGCGCGCGTAAAATTGAAATTTCTCTCCGTCTTTTTTTCTTCCGAATGTTCCGTGCGGATCGGAAAAAAACACAAAGCGAGACAAGAAAACAAATTGCGCTCCAATTTCGCGCGTATTACGAGAGGAAGAACGGCATGCAAATGGGATTCGAGCCAGTTGCATGCAACGGCAATCAACAAAATTCCAAATTTCAATTAGAGCACACTCTGTTGAAACGGTGCACAATTACATGTCCATCGATAAAGATAACTTAGACAGATTAATGCAATTTAAAAAATGTAAATGAATTGACTTGATCGTGTAGCTTGCGGAGTTCATTTAAAGATTTCCACAAGTAATTTTATTCACATTATCTTGATTTTCTAATTGGCGTGTTGAAATCGAATAAGTTGATGACAATCGAGTTGCCGTGTCGTCGTAATAACCATTGTTTCCAGACACTTTTTGTTTTACTTATTATTTTTTTTTGAAATTGCGATCGTACATAATCGAGAATTTTTTAATCAACCACTCGAAATTTCTTTTTGGTATGTGTGTGTGTGTATGTATACATGTCTTCGCTTCCTTCTGTTTCGGATTCTGTTCCCCACTAGCCGTGTTTACCAGAGTGTGAAACCCCCTTCGATGAAGACTTCCCTCGCAGAAATCCTCCTTTGCACAACGCACTCAGTCTCGGTCCATGTTTAAAGCAACTAAGACAAAACAATTTAGTTTTCATTCAATTCAATTTTTTGTTGTAGTTATTTTTGATAATTATCTAAATATAACTCGTTACCTGGATTATTAAACTGAAGACTCTGTTTCATCGGTTTTAGTTTTATTCGATTATTCTATTGAAAGGGTAAGTTGATATTGGTTTTTATATCGCACATTAATGTTCTTCATTTCATTCTCGAAACATATTTTTTTTTAAATACTTCATTTGTTGAAAGCTGATGTAATTTTCGTAAGTGAACGATTCAAATTTAAAATTGTTTTAAAGTTCACTTTAAATTTGACAGTTATTTTTATGTGACACATCAAAATTTGATATTGATCAAATTTTTGATAATTTTTCAAATGGTTTTTCATCGAAATACAACCGTATAATTGTAGAAACTTTGACTTGCAAATGTTACAAGTAGATACACTGAGTGTACAAAATTCAAATTTAAATCGTTTTAAAGTTTACTTTAATTTTGAAAATTAAATTTATTTGACAGATAAATAATGTTTGATAATTTTAAAATGTCATTACATCGAAATGCATTTCTTATATCAAATATTTTTAATGCGAATTTGCAAATTATTAATATTTGTTTACTGCAGTTACATTTCCTTTTTTTACAAAAAGAAAATTCCAAATTGTTTGATAGCAATTTATTTTTGTTTTACATAGCTTAGGATTACTAATGAGGCTCGCGCTCATTATCTAATCTTAACAATTTCTGTTTGTTAGTTTTTTTTTGTGTTTTTTAAGAAACTGTATAAATAGGCAAGCAATGTTTAGCCTCGCAAAAAAATACAATACAATGGTGGGTTTGATGGTCCTCGTGTTGGCACTTGAATTGGGTTGTGGAGAAGGTTTCGAGGTACAACATGAGTGGATTTACCTGAATTTCACTTGGCCTTCAAGAGGTGAATACCAGAATGCAATAGATATCGGTATGAAATTGTACAAAGATGATATCTACTTGTCACTGTTAAAGGTCAGAGATGGAACTCCCGTAACTTTATCTACCATCAAAATGTAGAAGGTTATCGTGGATTGCAGAAAAACACGGTGTTAAAGCCGTTTCCGTCTTGAGAGATGAACGTGCAGAAGAACTTCAAGACTCTGCAGAACTTGCAGAGCATGGAGATCGATAGCAAAGGAATTATGTGGGTTCTGGGTTCAGATTGTCCAGGTAAATTGGTGCTGCTAGATTTGAATGATGGTGGTAAAGTTGTATATTCGTACACAATTCCGGAGGATATCTGCACGAGAAAGGGATGCTGGTTGAACGACATAATATTAGAGGAAAGGTTCGAAGGATACGCTTACATCTCGGAAGCCAGCAACTCGGATCCGGGTCTGATCGTTTTCTCCAGGAAGCAAGGAAAAGCCTGGAAGTTGCGCGTTTCATCTATGCTTGCCGACGTGAATGTGGTGAATTACACTGTGGGTGGAGTCCTGGTGAATACTTGGCTGAATGTGGATTCGTTAGCGATGGCTCCCGTGCCCAAGGATCGCTCCGAGGATCGGAAGATCTTCTACTCTCCCCTAAGCAGTAGATCGCTCTACTCCATCAGCGATCGCATACTTAGAAATGAGACCGTATTCTGTGGCATCGAGTGGAGGACGCACGTAGAGTTCTTGCTTTGCAGACCTTCCAATAGTGATGGCATGATCGTCGATACTCGTGGTGATCTATACATGGGTTATCTCACGAAATTCGCCATCGCCAAGACGGTGAGCACGAGCGTCGAGAAGATAGTCTGGCCGGATTCATTTGCCATCGATGATGATGGAAACCTCTACAACCTCGCTGATTCCGTCAACCGATTTCTCAACAACAACGGACCACTGCAGATTCCGAAGAAACCCATTATCAGAATCCTGAAGATGCACACAGTTACCAAAAGTTACCTGCACACTGCATTATAATTTTGAAAATAAACTTATTGATTTCACTATAGACATGTAAAAAATAATAATAAAAATAAATCACAATTAAAAAAAAATGTTATAATGATGTTTTGTAAATTCGCCTGCAACAAACTTTTCCATGGATGCATTCTTTAGTACTCTTTGCTCGTATTGCTTTTCCTTGCAATTTTGGAGTGTGAATAATAGGGAAAGTGAGTTTGCATTGTGTATGTTGTATGTCCGAGGAGGCGAACGCACGCGACTGTGAATTAATAATTGAGCGGAGAAGAGGAAAGGAGATACGCAAAATGGTTCTTTTTTTTAGAAAATTTCACCACATACGCCGATTATGATGGTTTCTCGGTGCATTGTCTTTCCTCTCAATCATTTTCGTTTGCTCTTTTTTATGCTCATTTATGTAAAAGTCCTTTTTATAAATAATATTAACGAAGCGCACGTTACGAAAGCCAAGCTTGGTTGATTATTACCTCATCCTCGGCAAGATCCTTTCGATTCAATTGTTTGTTTTTTAGGCACATTACATAAACAATCATAAACATCTTTAATTTGGTTTATTCTTAGTTTTATGGTAAAAATCTTGACCTATAAAATTTAACATTTTTATCCAATTGGATTGTAGCTGTCAAACAAATTCATAGCGTCAAAGCTGTTCATATTTTAATACGATAACTTTGTATTTTTGACATTAAAGAAAAGTCTAGTTTCATTTGCTATTATCGAATTTGATATGATAAATATGTTAAACCCTAATATCGCTATGATATATTTATAGGATGTATATTAAATATTGCACCTTTTACTATAGTATCATTTTGTACTTCTTTGGCATCAGTAACACGTCAATGTTTATGTGGAACTTTCATATTAATTGAAGCTGTTAATCAAATTTTATGTTTTTTTATTAAAGTGGAACTCATATATTTAAGGTCATCGTCAATTTTTCTTTTGATATTTCTCTCGGTAGTTTGTGATGCAACAAGGCACGAAATACAGTTGCGATGAGATTGCTCACGACGCGTGCCATTGTCGTTCGTTTGTCGCGAGCGCCGCAAATTGCGGTACTCAAAACGGAGACAAGACACCAAATCGTAGCGTAGCGGTTATCCTCCCACCATTCCTTTCCAATAATCTAACATAATTCATTTGCCTTTTGAAAAGGATTAATTGGGAAATGCGGATGTTTCGGATTGGCCTTTCGTTCGTTCTTCATCACTGCGGAAGACGACTAAGGAATTTGTTTTTTTTTTAGTTTTTATGTAATACGCATTCACTTTCAAACATTGCGCTAATCATTATTATAGTACAGGTAATTAAAGAGAAACACCTACAATAACAATAGGAACATGAGTGTAGACGAGTATAATTATTTGGTAAAGTTGTAATTAATTTAATTAAATACAGGATATTACGTAGCTCTGCAGTAATATTATAGAGCAAACTGTATTCGTAAGAAAATGGATCGAAACTGTATTTGTATTTATTTTTCATTCCCGGTTTTGACCGAGTTTTTGGTTGCGACAGTTACATCAAAATTATCTGCTCTGGCGGCCGTGAAACATGTCCAAAAAGCGCAGTTTAGGGGGGTATAATTAGTTCACAGAGTAATCTGTGGGGAAATAAGACAAACAAAAAAGCTAACGGGTTATGACTTTTCTTTCAGGAATGTTGGTTGTCGTTTAGGAGCAATGAAAAGGTCCGCAAGATGATGAGAGTTTACATTCTGATCGTAGTACTCCTGCTGGGATTCGGGTCGGCGCAGCAGACTGAGGGCAAGGCCTGTCCGCAGCCGGAACTCATTGTACCCTGCAGATGTTTACTGCGAGACAAGGAGTATCAAATTTGGTGAATATCTGTGCATTTTTTGCTCATCGATATTTCATTTCATAAATTTAATCATTTTTCCTTGATTATTTTTATAGGTGTTCACACAGTGATTTCCCTAGGGTACTCGAAGGATTGAAGGCCGTGGGCAAGCACATCTTTCGACCTATCGACGAATTGATCTTGGAGAACAACAATTTACCATCATTGCCAGGAAAGGCATTTCTTCCGTTGAAGGTGATGCGGCTGATGTTGCGCAACAACAATTTGGAACGCGTCGCGGATGGATGGTTGTCGGGATTGGAAACCTCGCTGATGGAGCTCTTCGTCGTTGAACCGGAGCTACGCGGCCTTCCGGAGGAATCGCTTAGGGATCTCAACGTGCTTGAAGCGATCACCATCCAAACGAACCTAATGAAACGTCTTCCGCGATTCTCCTCACTTCCCCGCCTCCGACACTTGCAGATCGAATCTCAAAGCCTTCTGGAGTTATCACCGAGACACTTTGCAAATCTTCCGCAACTCGAGCGAGTCCATATCGGAGGCAGTCCGCGATTACAGCGACTCGAAGCGGGTTTATTTCAAGATCTGCCCAGATTAAGAATGCTAAACGTGTCTGGATGCGGAATCGAATGGATGCATCTCAGATCGATCACAAGGTGTGTATTATCATCGGAAGCATCGAAATGAAATTTCCAAAACATACGTTACTCTTGTTTTACAGGTTGTCCGCCCTCACAGAGCTAGTTCTAGTCGGAAACAAAATCCGCGATGCTGGAATGGTAGGCCGAGGGGCTCGTGATCTTCCGCAACTGGAGATTCTTAGATTGGATTCTAACGAGATAGAGAGGTTATCAGAAGCGGATTTTGTGGATCTTCCGTTGCTGAAGAAGCTTTACTTGAGCGGTAATCGAATTCAGGAGTTGCATCGCGGCTCCTTCCATCGTGTCCCCAATTTGCGAACGCTCGATTTGAACTTCAATCAGCTTCGTAGAGTTCATCCTGAATCTTTTCTGCAACATTCCGCGAGCGGATTGGAAGAGCTGTGGTTGATGAGCAACGACCTCACGCATGTTGCAGAGCTGCGTTCGCTTTTGGACGCTTTACCGAGGCTTACCTTCCTCGACATGAGCTTCAACAGTTTGGAGGCAATTCCCTTCGGAGCGTTGCGTGGCCATCCGACTCTGGAGCATCTCAACTTGGATTACAATAAGATCAGGATTATTGAATCGGACGCGTTCATGGCGATGCCCGCGCTACGGGAGCTGCGGCTCAAAAACAACTCTCTGTCCTCCGAACAATTAGACTTTCCTCTTTGGAAATTGCCCTCGTTGAAGGGTTTGGATTTGTCCGGGAATTTCTTTACGAGATTGGACTCGCACCTTTTAACCAACGTTCCATCTCTTCGTAAATTAGATTTAAGCGGAAACGAGCTGACTTCAATAGATCCAGAGATATTCCTGCTGACGCCGGAATTGGAGAGCATTAATCTCTCGCAGAACTCGTTACCAAGCGTGCATCCTGCAACTTTCCGACACCTGGCCAAGCTCTTTGAATTAGACTTAAGCCACAATAGTCTTCCGGAATTCGTGGCCGGACTTCCGAAGAACATAGAATATATTCATCTGGAGCGCAACCTGTTAACCGAAGTACCACAGAAATTTGACTTGCCTGCTCTGAAGATGCTTGACATATCTTCGAACGCAATACAGAGAATTACACCGGAATCGTTCAGGAAACTGCCGCAACTCAGGAAATTGTATTTAGCTAAGAACGCATTAAACCAAATCGATCAGAGCTCTTTTCCAGGTCTGAGCAAACTGGAAGTGCTGGATTTGCGCGATAATAGAATATCTAAATTGCCTCCGGGGACCTTCAAAGATTGCCCAATCCTTGCCGAGTTGAATCTGCGCGACAATCGTTTGGAGATGTTGGTCCCGGAAATCTTTAGAGGTTGCGGCAATCTAAAAGTGCTCGACGTAAGTCGCAATCAACTGACAGAAATCTTGAGCGGAGCTTTGGATGATACCAAAAAGTTGGAGGTCATGAAAGCAGCGCACAATTCTCTCATTAATTTGCCCTCGGATCTGTACGAATTGAAGAGTTTGAAAATCCTAGATCTTAGCAACAATCGATTACGGGATATGAGAAATTTGAACGAGCTCAAAGCACTGGTCGAGATCCGCTTGAGCAAAAATTTCATTCAAGATCTTCGATATGGCGCGTTCGATGGGTTACCAAACTTACAGCTGTTGGATCTGCAGGATAATGAGATCTCCGCGATGGAAACAAAAGCAATCGGCAACATGAACGTGTTAAACACAGTGAAATTGAACAATAATCGATTAAGGGAGATTCCAAGCGGCGCTTTTGCAGAGCTTCCTCGATTACAGATGGTTGAATTGCAGGAAAATGAACTGAAGCTGGTGTCAAACGTGGCATTCTACAAAGTGCCAACAGTACTCATGCTTAATCTGAGTGGAAATCATTTGGGCAGTTTGGAGGATTGCGGTCTTCGCGGTTTGCGATCTTTGGAAATGCTGGATATTAGCAGAAATGAGATTATTACAGTCGAAGGTAGATCTCTGGAGAGGATGGAGTGGTTGGTAGAGCTGCGGATGGACGATAATAGAATTTGCAGCGTGAACGGAGCGGAGACCGCTTTCAATGAAATGCCGAGGCTTCGTGTGCTCAGTCTGAGGAACAATAAGATGATGACATTTCCGGAACGCGCGGTCCAGAAGCTCAGAGGAAATCTTGCCGTCCTTGACATAGATGGTTAGTACTTTTTTGTTGTTTTTTGATAAATAACGTAAATTATGTTAATTAACCAAGCAAATTAGGATCCATCCTACTCTCAAGGATCTTTTGTTTTGTGTAAATTTAGTTTGAAATACATGTTTGACAATATTCATTTTAACATATTTCTGTTCTTCTTCTCAGGAAATCCATTGAGCTGTTCATGTAATATTCTTTGGTTGAGGGTTTGGATGCAAGAGCAGTCAGCTTTGGGACCAAAGTGTCGAGATGGGAGCCTCCTTCGAGACATCAGACTATCGCGACAAGAATGCGCCGAGGCCAAGGAAGAGCCCGACCTGATGGATGTCGGTTGTGAAGAAGAAACATCGCAAATATTCTCGCAGCAGCTGGAGCACTGGAGAAATAGGACAAAGATCGACAACAAGAACCATCTGGCACCGTCGCCGGAAGAGAGCGATTACTTCTACGACGAATACGTCGACGAATATCCCTACAACGACACCTCCTCGCCTACCACCACTAGGAAACCATCGAAGCGTTTTCCTGGTGGAGACACTCCGGTTATTTACGCTGCCACCAGGAACAAGACGAAGAATCCCGAAGGTCCAAAAGGGGTAATCGGATCGCCGAGTTCAAGCGGCTTCACGTTCTTCGGTCTGCCTCTTCCCAGTTTGAATAACTTCTTGGGAAATATGAGGATGGACGATGGTAAACCGAAGAAATTGGTGGAGGCCGAACGGAAGACGGCCATTGTCAATAAACCACTTGGATTTTATAAACCAAAGCCGGAGCAAACGATCCTAGGGATGTCGCCACCGCAGCATCCTGAGATTCACACCGGGTTTGTTCCTTTATTACCAGGCTCCGGTGGATTTACGCCTATGGTGGTGGGACCTGAAGAATTATTCAGTGCGAAGAACTTTACTGCTCATATTGAGAAGGTCAATCTGACACAGCAGCGGAGCCCCAGCGCCAACGTGTTGCAAATAGATCCTAACAATTACCAGCAGAATAGTCCGCCAAGTTTTTTGACTAAACGCGGACCAGTAGTGACGACAACCACTACTACAACACCCAAAACAACAACGGAAATAGTAAAACCAACAACAGAATTTGATTACTCTCTAGAAACGGTAGAGGAGGAAGATGACGAGCAGGTTGTTGAGCCAGTTATAGAAACTACAGCGAGAATAATCGAATTGGAACAACCTAAGATATTAACAACCACAGTAAAACCTCCAGACTTGGAGACGTCTTCTCAAGACGGATTCGGGGAGATCTTCAAGGAAATCGTAGAGAATGTTTCAATTCCTCCAGAGATTCCCAATTTGGTGGTGACAACGCAGCAAACGAACATCGAGAATCTCGTAAACACCCAGACGAAAGCCACACCTTTATCGGCGCTTTTGATACCTGGAGGGCAGCAACCGCAGTTCAGACCGTCAGGTCGACCGAGCATCACCAAAGTGGCAAACCCTCATGCTTCGCAGCAATCGTCTTTAGAGGTCGGCAATGTTGAAAGCGACGATGAAGACGACGTCGTGGATTTCATTACACCGTCAGCGCATAATCGCGAAGCAAAGAACGGTATCTTAGAGGAGCGGGAATCTCGTCCGGCGATGGAACAACCAAAGGTTAACGAAGACGATGTCAACAGTTGGTACTTTGCCAACTACAACAGAACCAATCTGGAACCTTACGTGGGAACTGGCAATTGGCAACAACAAAACTCGTCATCACCGCAACAACTTCCGATCATCACAATACCTGCTACCATGGTGATATTGTTCATAGTGATGTTGATAAACAACTGAGTGTATATACAAAAATGCAGACAAAAATGGACCTCAAAAAAATGCTGCACTGTGTAAATATTTAAATAAAAATTGAAAGATACTGTTATTAAAAATTATATGTAATTATTATTATTATATTGTTGAGTTTAGCATGAATCAATTAAATTAAGTTTAATAACATTATTGAACTACTTTTTCTTCTCATCCTTTTTGGCCGCCTCCTTGTCCTTATCCTTGTCTTTGCTCTCCTTCTTGTCATCTTTCTTCACCTCCTCAGCATCCTTATTCGTCAACTTATTGTTGATCAGATTGTGGAGCGCTACAATTGATCTGACCATGGCGGCCAAATATACAACCAACATCTGATCGTTGTTCTTTACGTAGAACGATTTATTGAAGAGGTCGTGGTTTATATCGGGAAGCAGATTGAAAATGTCCTGCAGTTGATACACGATTTGGTGATTGATCGGCATCTTGCTCTCTCCGACTTGGATGAGGTAATCGCGGATTTCTCTCAACTGTAGGTGCAAACCCTTCAGTCCAAGCAGTTGATTTGTGATCCTTTGAGATAACGTGCCCACAGTGGTATCCTTGATATCTCTGAGTAGGTGCTCAACACCGACCTCCTCAGCTTCTTCGGCGCCGATTTCACTAGGTACATGTTCAAAAGTCTTCGATGTTGGTGACCCATCATCATGGACTTCTTCAACAGCCTGATAAGCTTCAGTTGGAAGACCCAAATCTTTAGGTTTTGCATCAATTATGACCAAAACTGAGTTAGGGCAATAACGACGGATCAGTTCATTGATAGCAATATCATTCTGATGGAGCTTGGGGCCTGTATGGTACCAGCCCACAACCTTTTCCCTTGCATTCACTTTCTTGAACATTCCATACATGTTTTCCAAATAATCATGATCCAAGAACCACACAGATTTGTCCTTGTCATCTTCATCGAACGGAACTAAAAATACATTGAATTACATAAAGAAATATGTTTTGCACATTTGTGAAATTGTACTCACTGGCAAAACTGTTTGAAACATCCAAGACACCTTTAGCCCTCCAGCAACCTAGGAGAACGCCAACCACTCGTTTTTCATTGCCGATCTTACCCATACGATTAAAATGATCAACGACGCTAAGCAACACCAGAGGGTGGACAACCACCTTGCTCGTGGTCACTTCTTGGCTAGGCATTTTCCACCGATTTTCTTTAACTTTTCTATAAACCGAACGGTGACTTTCAACGCACGATGACAACAAACTTTTTCATCAAATGTCAAATTGCTACAAAACTGCCAACTTTAACATCAAACATATTAACCAACATAAGAAATACTTTAAATACATATATATAATAATAAAGTACATGCATTTCATATAATTTGAAGAAATATCTAATAGGAAATGAATACTATTTCAGAACACAATAATAACATTAATAAATTGTTTTTTTCTTAATCTGCACGGTCTCATTTCTACAATATTTTCGGTGCAATGGACCAGACCAGAGAATTGATTTTTATTGTTGGTGAGATTTGAATCCATTTGAATCTGTCACTTTTCTTATCAGATTTTATGATAAAAAAATGTAATTCCATTGTGAATTTCAATAGCAGTTGGTGAAACTGATGATATCTGTCAAACCAGCTGATGTCACTTGTGTTTTTTTTGTGTGCGGCATAAAGGAAAAACAGTGTATATTCTTCAAAATCATCGTATTATATATACACTTTTATTCCAAGGTTCAAACGTTTATTTTTTGTTTCCAATTAATTAATCCATTGCTATGGCATCTGCGATGGACGTGGATGAGGAAGTAGTCGAGTTGCCTTCCAGCAGCTCCAAAGGCGAAAAAAAGAGATTCGAAGTGAAGAAGGTACGAAAACATAACCTATTTATTGTTGATAACTACATCTAACTTTGCTATTTATCTTTTGCGAATTTCAGTGGAATGCTGTGGCTCTTTGGGCGTGGGGTGAGTTTAGAAAATGACTGTGTTTGTCTCTGTATGTACACTAATTGACTTTGTTTTATAGACATTGTGGTGGACAACTGTGCCATCTGCCGGAACCATATCATGGATCTGTGCATTGAGTGTCAGGCAAATCAGGCATCAGCAACTAGCGAAGAGTGCACAGTGGCTTGGGGTGTTTGCAATGTAACAATTTTCACTAGTTAAATTTATCTTATAAATAATGAAATTGTTTATGATTTTGTAGCATGCATTCCATTTCCATTGCATTTCAAGGTGGTTGAAGACCAGACAGGTTTGTCCACTAGACAACAGGGAATGGGAATTCCAAAAGTATGTACATTCAAATTTAGAAAAAAAAAATAGAAAACAATTACCAGAGAAATATTAAAAAATAACGCCAATTTATTTAATTTTTTTTAGGTACGGGCATTAAATAACAACTACATATTTCACGCCTCTTTGCAATTGGATCAGGCTGGAAGAACGCCAATCTCGTCATCATTAATTTAATGATTTTTGTAAACAACATTTATTACCACTTTGTCTTTTCTCGTTTCAAAATCGCTGTAGGAAGAAACCAAAAACAATATCAATCAAATATTTATTATTGAAATGCTATTTTCTTTCTTATATATTTTTCGACGTTCGGCTCATGGTTTTCGTTTGTGTTGAATAAATGGACTGTATATTTCACATTTTTTTTTGTATTAATAAATGAGTAAACCCAAGCTTCTTTTTGTTCTAGCTTTTACATATTATGTATATTGTATTGTTTATTATAAATATACGCAAAATGCAGGACACGGAATGTTTTTAATGTATGTGTCTAATAATGATAATTTCTAATGTCTTGTGGTTGCAATTAAAAACAAGACAACGTTGAAACAAAGGGTATGCAATATTTGATTCTTGATGAGTCTGAGTGGCGGGTGGTGGTGGAAAAATAGAGCGCGTCGCGCCGCTTGATGGAAACGGGAATCAATTATTCGTGCGGAGGCGGTAAATTGTGTGCGAGGGGCGGCGCGCCTGCGCTTCTGGGGGCGGCGGTCGCGTTTTGTGGCTCCAGCTCTACTCTGACCGTATCTGGCCAGAAGAGCCATCGCGTCCAAAAGTCGCGACATCAGCACCGCACAATGTAAATGACAACGGCAACTCTGATAGCAAGTCAATATTGCTAAATAGAAAAACATCCACACCGCATTTGCAGGAAAAAACAAACGGGGCCGAGAAAGTGAAATAATCATGCATTGCCCGCCGCCACCATCTACTATGACGACAATAGTGTCCGACTGAAAGCGTCGTATATCAAAACAATCTGGTGTAGTGCATTTCCATTGCTCGAGAAGAAAACTATTGTAAGTGTGAGTGTGTATTTTTTTTTGCAGAAGGTTAGACTTCAATCTATTTTAAGAATATATTTAGCCTCTTGGTTTCCTATTCAAATCGTCACGTCAATTAAGAAGATTCCTCATAAATCGCACCCTATTGGAGCATCATTTCTCAAATCTTTATATTTTATCTTCACACATCTTATTTATTTATGAATCTTATATTTTAACTCTCACTTTATTTTTCATTCTTATCTGCAGTTATTATGAAAATAATAAATATAATAATCTAGATCAATTATTTCTGTCAAATTTCAATGTTCAATTAAATCATATTTTTACAGATTTTTTATTTTTTTTTAAATTTATTATTTTAATATTACCACACAGCATTGTTCCCAACTGTAATTGTTTCGGAGTTTACTTTGTTGTAGTCATTATCCAATTCAATGTTATTAGATTATGCATACTTGTATGTTTTTAAGTTATGCATAACATATAAATCATCTTTACTTATCCTTACTCTCTTTCTTCTATAGATGCTGATTTATATTAGTCTCAATATCTATTTACATTCTGCTTTCATCTTTCCATCTCGTCTTCAATGCCATGTCGATATATACAATCAAAGTAATGAACACCTCGTACATCGTAATAATAATCCACCCACTTTTAGACAACTTCATCTAATTGACATGTTACATATTTCGTTCGAATTTAAAGTATTGTTCATCATTATCAAATAGGGTTCAAATTAAATTCGTACTTCTTCGAATCATTTGCTGCAGTTATGAATCTTCAGCATCATATTGTTTCCAATTAATTGCACTAGATGTTATAACGTATTGTTCTGCGAAAACGGAGGTCGCATAATGTAATCAACCGGTACACAATGAACGACCAGCCTACGTCGTTCGCGTTCAAATGCGGCAGAATTTCCTGTGTCGCATCGCATTTCGTCCTGCTTGTAGCAGTTTAATTATGGAATTTGCTAAGTGTCTCAATTTCCATCCGCAAGCACTTCCTTGTTTCACCTGTGGCTGGCACTCTCCTTCCTTCCTCGTCATTTTATTTTCTGAAGACATTGCTACTTGATGCACGCGTCCAAATAATACATGTGATTGTATTACTTCAATGTTTCTAAAAGTATTTAAAATTATCTCGAAATTACTACTTTTTAAATTCTCCTTAATTTTGTTTAAATTCGTTAAATATTTTAATATTTTTGTTAACAATGATATATATGGAATATCGCAACTCCAAGAGAATTTAGTATATACAAGCAGAATGTATCGGAGAATTCATGGAAAATTGCATAGAATTTGGTATTAGTTGATAAAATTCCAATTGAAATATGGGTCAGAATTTCGAGTAGGAATTTAACGATATTATGTGCAGAAAATATTTATAGGAATATTTCCTTTCTATATTTCGGTGGATACGCTGGGTGATGATGAGCATTTTCACATATACCTGCTGTACGTACGTTTCTTGTATTCAATTGTTGTTTTTTTTTTGTGTCGCATCAGATGGAGGACTCCGACGTCGATCGTTTGACTTTAGTACTCGGCGTGATCCTCGCATCAATAGTGATAGCCTATGTGAGCTACAGGTTCGGCCTCATTTCGATGTTGCTGACCTGGATCCAGGCTATCGGGCAAGAAAAAGTCAATTTTACTCGACTGAAGGAGTATTTTAACGGGAACGGTTACATAGTGAGTGATAAAGATGATAATGGTGATGATCAGTAATGAGCATCTCGATGAAAAATTGCTTCGCAGGTTCACTCGGATTCGGACATTCAGATAGGACCAAGCGGCAGTTTCAAGCGGTTCGATTCTGTGGACAAAGACATTAAGATTGCCACGTCGAATTTCGGAGGTGGAGGAGGAGGCGGCGTCGTCGATGGAAACGGGAGCGACTCGGAGGCTGATGCTATTCCGCCGCAGCCGTTGAGGCCAGCTCCCGCAGCCCCACTTCCATCATCGCAAACCGCTGAAAGCCAATCGCAATTATCTCTAATCGAAACTGTGTTGTAAGCATCCTCCTCCTCGATCCCCGCAGAAGCCCCTAGTCAAACATACCTTACTAGCATAGACATAGAATTGCAGTGCACGGGGTATGTTCGGTATCATGAGTATCATGAAGATATGTCAATTTGTAGTGTTAATTTTTAATTTCCTTCGTATAGTCGACATTCATGTGTATCGAAACTCCGTGCACATTCAATCACGTACATCAAAAAACCACCACCGCTTGCCTGAATAGCAAAGAACAGCTTGATGTGTGTTTGCATTATTCCCAGTTTTCGTAGGGAAAGCGCGTCGAAAAGCAGCACATCGATCAAGCCTCTGCCGCGACCCGTACTCTCCGCCAACTTTCTGGCTACCAGAAGGTGCATCGCTTACGGATCGCCGCCTCCTATCGCCGGCCCAGGTGGTGGCGGCGGCTGGGAATCATCGCCGCAGCCGCCGCCTCCTCATCCACCTCCTCCTTCTTCGCCACCAGTCGATGCGAGCGGCTCCAACGAGACCATTGCCATTCTGGATCGCCTTCAGGCCGAATCCACTCTGCTCAATATGGCCTTGGCCGTGGACGCCGAGGAACCAGATACTTCATCCCCGAGGACGCACCACGTGTCTGGGCATTTATGCATTAGTTTAGAATACGATAAGTTAGTTACCACAAATCCCATATTTTTACAATAATTGTTTTTTAACGTAAACCTGTTTTGCAGCGAACGCAGCGAGATGATCGCCAACATACTTGAGGCGCACGATCTAGTGAATCCATTTGGGCTGTGCGAGCCGGTCAACTCCTGCATCAAAATATTCTTGTTACCTGATGTTAGTATTAGCGTGCAGACCAAAGTGTGCGAGGACTCCAGCAATCCCACCTACAAGGAGAGAGTAGTCTTCTCTATGGATCCTGGAAACTCGATATACACGGCGCTGCTCTTCCAGATCTACACCGTTAACGTGTACTCGGACTCGCTCATTGGGGAAGGCGAGCTTAGCCTTCTCGACTTTAACATCAAGCAACCGTCGACCACTTGGGTCACAATCACAGATTGCGGACAAGTACTTGATATTTAAAACTCAACAACTTACACTTTTTTACTCTCTATCTTCACTCGTTCTTTCTCAGGAGACCGGCTATGGCGAATTGATGATCTCACTGAGCTACCTTCCGACTGCCGAGAGATTGACCGTGGTGATAATCAAAGGTCGAAACTTTAGCTTCTGCAACTCCATCAAAACTGGAAATTCTTTCGTAAAAGTAATCCCCAACTTTATTATTAATAATATTTAAACAATGACAATAAGTTATGGTAGTTATTACTAAATTGTTATATTTAAGTTATCTATATATCCTTTTATAATTGAGAATGTTTTTTGTGAAGCTATCGATAACGCAGACCGGAAATCGGATCCACAAGCAGAAAACACCCGTGAAGTACGGTGAGCACAGCCCTATCTTCAACGAACTGATGATCTTCCATCTGCCAATCTATTCATTACAGGTAAGCGATAGTTTGCAAATCAGATGTAGCGCACGTTACTTAATATTTAAGCAATTCAAAATTACTTATTTTTATTGTCGTTTGTTTACGGAGAAACGTTACGTTTACCTGTTGTGTTTTTCATTGTTCGAAAGCAGCGATGAACGTAATTCATAATTCCAGGCCAGAACACCTATGAACAAAAGCCAAGTAAACTCGGTACGACAAATTGTCATTTGTTTGCAATGCGCGTTCGGCCTTTGTTCGTTCGATCGACTTTTGTCTGTTGTCTAGAATAACGTGCGTTATGTTCGTAACTTTTATATGCGAATCATAGGCAAAACTATATTTTTTTAGTTAGATTCTATATATGCTGTTCGATTTTGTTCAAAGGGAATCAAACTGGATTTCACGATAGCGGAGGCGTCCGGTAGTGGCGAGAAGGTCTGCACGATAGGTCACGTAAGCATTGGACCGGAAACGTACGGTCGTTCTTTGAACCATTGGAACCAGATGCTGGCTTCGATGCGTAAGCCAATAGCGATGTGGCATTCCGTCTCGAATCCATGAACGATACCAATCAAAAATTGTACATAATACTCCACCACACTCTATTGATAATCAACGTAGTAGGCAAAGTTCTTTGGTTCTTTTGTTCTCTGGTGGCACTAGCACCATGTAATATGTGTATACCCGAAAACCTACTTCCATTCATGTGATAAACGGCCTTTTCTCGTTCATTTAAACCTTTAAAAATATAATAAATAAATGTGTACATTATATCTATTTCCAATATAAAATGTAATTTTAAAGGAGCCTAAATACTGTCGTAAGGCTCTAATCTAAGTAAGATACGATTACTGTATTTTTTTTTGTCGTTGGAGAAAAAAAAAGAAATGTAATTCAGGACAATAAGATGTTATTTATGTATATTATAGAAAGTTTATTGGAAAATATTTAGCGATTTGTACATATAAATTATATATATATATAAATATTTAAAAGGAAAAAAAAAGAAAAATATTCTAAATATGATATATGTATATTGGAGGCAAATTTATTTTCGATAAACCGACATGAATCTATGTAAATATATGTGAGCGTATTAACAAAGTTCTCGAGTTGGCTTATTTCGAAACAAAAGAAAAACAAAAAATATGTGTAATTATTAGTGTATGTACTGTGATATATAATGGGCACATCCCCCGTAATTTCATCTATATTTTAACATTGTATTTATTATTATATTATATACTTGAATTAGCCGAACACTCACTCGCTCACTCAATCACCACAAATCAATCTGGTTATTATGATTACTATTAAGATAACTTTGCTACTCTGTGTCTACTCTTCACGACTGTTCTCTTATCATCCGTTGATGTGTTCCTCCCGCGGCGTGAAAATAAAAAAAACGCAATCTCTTTTAATGTTAAAAAAGTATATATATATTAACATAATAAAAATATATTCCATGTTATCTCGAATAAATAAAAAAATATAACCCACCGTCCTGTTACGTATCCTGCTACCAATGGGAAATGCTGCGTTTTTTTGTAAATTAAAAAAAAGTACTCACACTTTTTATTTATTTTATCTTAAAATCATTACATAAACTGATAAAATTATATATAAAAAAAGATTAAAAACAAATAACTGCATTATTGATTCCATCTAATGTTGATTTAATAAATATAATAGATCGGCTATAATTACTCAATATATATTTTCATTTTCATAATTTTATGAATGCTTAAGTCTTAGATGCGATTGCGGGAATCCATGTTCTGCATTGCAACCAATCACGGGCAACGGGCTTCCTCTACAATTCAAATGGCCAGTGATTGGCTTTCTAGAAACGCAATACAAACAGTTGCCTATAATAATGAAAACACTTTGGCCAATCGTCACGAGAATTGTCTGCATAATTAAAGTGGGTGGACTTTTGAAATGATGTTCTTCGTTCGAGGTTCTCCATTACTTACAGCAATTTCTTAGGAGTGGAGCGGACGTGTGTAATGAGCCGGAGGTGGATTAATTCAGGTTTTCGAGGATATTTTGAAATGGGTGAACGGAGGAGGGAATGGTACGTGGAGGGGTTTTGCGATGGTTTGGCATTAATTAATCAACACAATTTGGTCGGTTTAATGACTGAGAGTGTGCAGCGGAGGGTCGCCCCATTTAAAATCTTCCTGGTAAGTGTAATAAACCACCCAATAAATTACGTTCAGCAGCGTGAAGGAAGTCGGGAAGAGAACGCGTGCCGCCCGGTCTATGTAGGACACGCTGTTCACATGTCTGGCACCATGATCGTTGCCTGCAACATCTATGTTTATAGTAAACATATCTTACTTTAAAACTAATGATGGTGATTACCGGCGGCGATTGCGGCTGCTTCGCGTTGCCTTCGCTTCCTAAACTTATCATCTCCGATGAGGCAGTACCAGAACTGTCGCCACTTGGGAAGTCTATACTCTGTTTGGGTGGTCCTTTCCATCGTCAATCTGATAGGCGGAGGTGGTGGCGTTTGATGGATGGAAGGAGACGTCGAGCAGATCGACATCCTGCGGCTGCCGTAATGTAATGAAGGATCCTGCAAAAATTTGAGGAGGAGGAATTGTTAGAAGCGAGTATCCGGTTACCATTAACTTTCATCTAACATTGTAAATTGGACAAATGATGGAGTTCCGTCGGCGGCCTCCGATCTGATTGCAATTAGCGATCTGCAGCGGATCGATTTGCAAAGGTTCATCGAAGCTGTCGCAGTCTTCCCATTCCTCCTCGTCGACGGGGATTTCACCGCTTCCAACTTTGGTGAAATAATGTACGCCGGCAAATTCGAGGAGGGTGGCGATGCAGTAGAAAAAGCTCATCAAGAGAAACCAGTCCAGGGCAGTGGCGTAGCGCACTTTCGGAAGGTCGGTGCGAGAGTCCAGACTTATCGTGGAGAGCGTGAGAACGGTGGTGATGCCCAAACCGACGCGATCGCTAGTCGCTTCACGATGTATCCAGAAGGACACCCATGAGAGAACGACGATGAGGATGCACGGGACGTAGACCTGTATAAGAAAGTAGCCTGTATGCCGTTGCAGGTTGAATGATACCTGCAGCACCGAGAAGTCGCCTGGAATGCGAGGAAGAGTATTAAAGGGGAAGATATGCGAATGAGCTGCTTCATGACAAACCTTCCCTGCGACGGAAAGTGAAATTGCGGTAGGGAAAGCTCATCAGGTCGAACTGGGACAGAGTCATTCCGGGTACGAAATTAACGCTCGCCTCGTTCTGCCATTGGTAGACCAACTCACGAGAAGTGTAAGCATCTGCATTCCAAACAATTTAAAATTTAATAGCATCAATATAATATGAAGAAGGAGATCTTAGTTTATTCATTTATGTTCACTCACAGCTTCCAAGGATAAGAGGACATGACTGACGGTCCATGGGGAATGTTCTCAACTCCATCGGGCACTTGGCTTTGATCGTCAATCTGGAAATCACTGATTAATCAATATGCACCGCCGCGAACTCCTTCATCTCTCGTTATCTCTCACCTCATCGAATAGAGTATGTCTCCGTCCTGGCTGATGCGCAACAGCTTATTGGGAACAGTTATGGTGTGCACGTAAGAGTTCTTTCCGTTGTAGAAGTAAGTGTCCGGACGCCAGATCCGCTCCAGCATCTTGATCGACAGAGATAAAGACTTTATCGGGCCGAAGAACGACAGCCTCCGGTCTCGCCAATATTGCCGGAAGTAACAATCCATCGAGTACTCCTTATCAACAAACACAGCAAAAAAATATCATAAATCATCAAAAATATATAAAACGTTCAATTTTTACACAATTAACTAACCATATCCAACTCGGAAACTGGACCCATACTCCTGATTAGAATATTTGTCTGCACAACCGTCGGTTTATCTAAGAGAAAATATGAAGTATTAATTACACCTATGAACTAATGTTCTACGTAACATCATAATTATTTGTCACTTTTGATACATCAATCTTAAGTACATAATCCAACTTGATTAAATAACATTTTTTAAATAATTTTAAAAATACCATTTTATTAAATAATAGAATAAAGATCCGGGCGGTCATAACATATTTAAGTTAAAATAAATAGATTACCTTCATATGATTATTTGCACGTTTTAAACACATCCAAGTTAATATTTTCATATTTGAAAATTGCAAAAATAGATTAATAGGTTTTATTTTTTTACATCAATATAAAATTTACTTTTAATAGAAAAAGAAATGTATCAAAGTTTAAATATTGCATCTTAAATTTAATGAAGCGCACACGCGTTATTAAAACGAAATTAGTTTCGTTACTGAAGCAAGTAAAATGACAAATATTCAAGCGTTTTTTTGTTGTTGTTTGAAATAAGTCCGCAAAAATTCGTTCATTTACATTTAAGAGTTCATTAAAATCCAATTTGATTTGTTTTTAAAATAAATAATAACAAAGAAATAATAATTTCATTCAACTATACAAATGTATGTCAAATATGACATGAATTTATGCAAATTGATTGCGACGAGGAAAAAAATAAACTGTTTAAAGTGAGCGAGACGAGTCAACGCAAGTTTTTTTCTTGTTTTGTTTTTTTGAAGCGAGACGTTCTTGGATCAAAGATCAATTCGTGTTTCTGCTTCTCTCATTTTTTTTTGTTTATTTCCAGTAAGCTCTCTCACTACTTCATTCTTTCTGTTCTATTTCTCTGACGGAATTCGTTCCGAATGGTAAAGGGGTGAAAACTGTTTTTAATCGTCAAATTAACCGCGCCGCGCGTAAAAGGACTTTCACGTCGTCGTAATCGTACGATTATTCAGCCTTCTGGAATATGCATATAGCAGCAAACGGCGGATCCGAAAACACGCCAAGAATTATGTTAATCACGCGAGGCTTTCGCGAGGAAACTGATACGAGAAGATCAAAGCGGATGTTTCGAGGGTCGGCATACCAACTACAACGATCACCCACCTTGCCCGTGCGTGGGAAGCTGTGAGCTCTCGTAGTTCTTCAGCAGATTCTCCAAAACCATAGTGATGTTCCTGCTAACGTGATCGTTTAGCGGAGAGCGGCGCTTTCTGCTTGAAGAATTGCCGTTGTCCACGCGAAGATAGTTTCCGCGCTGCGAGAAACCCAGGACCACCGAAGAAGTCGAGGTCATCGCAGCATCTTCCACGGGTACCGCCTTCATCAGACGGATTGAGCACTCCAGACACGACCTAGAAACGAAAACAAATAAAGAGGAGAGAGGGAGGGCGACTCAGAGCAAATATTTTCTCTTCCCACAGAAGTATGGAAGGAAACGCTTAATTAGCATCCGATGTTCGGGCAATAATACGACGCGATGCGACGAAGAGCTTTAGCCGAGTGGAAAGTCCTGTTGGAAGAATCGTCAAGTATCCAAGCCATAAATATCCATTTAGGTCCGCTAGCTCGTTCGCTGCGGTAACGTAAATAAATAACGACTCACTTTTACGCGACGAGGACCCTCGTTATTCGTTTCCTTTGTCCTTTCTTCGGGCAATTACAGAATCAACACATTAGAATCTATGAGCTTCTCTTCTACCCACCAACATTTAATTCATTCACCCCTTATTACATCAACAAAGTTACAAATTTATTTCTGCAACATAAATTAATTTAAAACGTTGAGTCCGTGTTTCTCTACGCAACGTGGTAACAAGAAGTTTCTACGTCTCAAATTAGTGCAAGAAAATCTAATATAAACATATCAAAAGTTATAATTATATTATTTAGTAATTAATTGTAACAATAGTTTCCCAATTATTTAATTCTTTTTAAGAATCATGGGTTGGTATTTCACAGAAATGCATTCTATCTGCGACAAAAAAATTATAAATAATAATATTTATAAATTGATTTCAGATAGTGACAATTTTTAATTTAAGTATTAAATATAAGCTATGAGATTACTTATTAAGTAACAGTAAGTTAAGTTAAGATAAAATTTATATAGATTTTACAACGAGCAAACGAATTTCATTATTATGTAACCAAACCATAAGTATATCAAAGTTTCAGTCCGCGTTTCTCTTCGGCATGTCGCAACAAGAAGTTACATCGCTTCAAATTAGTGACAGAAAGTGTATAATCAAATACTAACTTCTAATTTTATCAATTAATTAATCAATCAATTGTATTGGTTTGTTTAATAATTTAATTCATTTGTTTATATGGATTATATGGTTGCTTAGTCTCGATATTTCTTTTTTCATTCCCGGTAATTGTCGGGACTCAAAAAATAAAAAAAAATATGTTTTACATTGACCGAAATACAACAATTATTACAAAAATGGCAATATCTGTAAACTAATTATTTATTAAACAAACATAAATTATAACAGGGGGATGCTGTTAAAAAAAATTACTCAGTAGATAAAATGTCCTCGCAAAAAACAGAGAGCGTTTATTAATTTTCATAAAATATTTCGATTTCCAATAAATTCCTTGTTGTGCATTGCAATATTTTCTTTAAATTGCGCACTAAAAAAATATATAGAGCTTCCTTTCCATATTTGTTTTAATTGTACAGTAGAGCATATGTAAGATTAAGAGCATGCTTTACTGATGCACTAAAAATAGACTTAAACTAATTCAATTGAATATTTTGCATTTCCATTAAGGCTGCATTAAGTTCATCTGAAATTTCTCGAGTCTCGAACGATGATTCCCGGGTATCGAGACTATACATTTTTCCAAAATTCCCGGGAAATTTGACCCGGAAATTCCCGGTTAAGCAACCCTAGTAGTACCCATGATACAAAATAAGTCATGAAATGATATAATTCACAATGTTTGGTATGATATAATGTTACTTAATGTTTGTCACTTTGACACCACGGTAACCAAGAATATCATGCGCAAAAGCTGATGAAAATACCTTGCATATTTGTATCATGGGAAGTACCCAGGGCCATCCTAACCACTGCGGCTTCCCCTCTAATATATTTTCTTTGGACCCACGGGCACCAAATATCTAACAAATAATAATTATTATTAATATATATTTTTTTTTGTACAAAGATTGAACATAAATTAGACTTTTCGAAGTTTGAATATGAATGGTTTGATTTATTGTCTCGCCAACTTGCCCGAGTTAATAATATTAATGCCAGATTTATTGCGGTGCAAATCAAATGGTAGAAATACGTGTGGAAGAGTTGAATGAGAAGATAAAAAAAATAAAGAAAATAAAAGAAAAAGTGTTTAAAGAGAAGAAATTCATTATTGATTCGTAATTGGATAAGATGTGTTTGGAGGAGGAGGGAGGAACACTGCAAAAGTGAGGTGATTTTTTGTCGGCCTCCTTCTCATCCTCCTTATCCACAAGCTCCTTGAGCCACATTAAAACGGCTGCCAAACAAAACGATCGCAACGTCAGCCAAAAAGAAAGAGGAGTGGAATATGAAGAGAGAAAGAGTTGATGGAAGTGTAAAAAGGAGGGAGCGTAAAGAGTGTGAAATAAAGGTGGACGGAAACAACAAATAATATATATACACCAGTGGCGGTCCGCTCATGGATGCGGAGCATCCCTATAATTTTTAAATGTTAAGAGCATTTTTATATCGTATATTTGAATTTCGTGTACTTTTATTTTTTTCGTTACGTAATTACCTCATATATTAAAAAAAAGTTGTTGGAAATGTTGGATTCAACAGCCGATCGACGATGATTTACCCACTGCTTATGTACAAATACCATACAGTTAGATTTGGGATATGCTTACTTCGCGAATGCGCATTTCGTGGTATTCTAGGTCACGTGCTACTACTAGTAGATGCGATCCTGACTTAGCTTCCGTGGACTAGAATGAAGTAGTTATTGATATACTATATAAAGAGCTGGCAAGTTCATTTCTTTATAGGAGATTAATCATTTCCGTGGTAATTGTTGATTATTTACTTTATTTGAATTATGTGTGAATAGGTGAATTAGTTTTGTAACGTGGTAAAATCGACAACGCTGCAAGTGCGCTCCACGTTGCAACTATGTTTCCAAAATTCGAGGAGACCGCAGCGAACCGCGAAAGAAGACGGTTGAGGTCTCCAGTTTAAGAAGATATTCTGATATATTTGTAATCTCCAAGAGGACGGTGTTGGTGCTCTAGAGGAGCAAAGGCCCACCGTCGGAGAAGAAGTTGCTGATCTGGAAGCAGTTGTTAGAGTTCTTCCTCTCTATAAAAGGAAGTGGCGCCCTGAACCTTCCCACGTCACGGACTCACGCCCTAGCGGGTTGAAGATTTGTATATCTTGTGTTATTTTATGTACATGAGCGTTATCGTGTTACATTTTATTTAGTGTACTGTTTCACCATAATCACCACATACGGGTTAAAATTATTATTTATTATGACGCTTAATATGGAAAACCAAAGAATTGCAATTGTTTAATTGAAGATATGCTTCTGTCACATTTAATGAAAAAGAGTTTATTGTCAAGAGCCCGAAGATCGTACCAAATTTAAGTATTTGGTCTCAACAAAAATATTTAAAAGACATTTTAATAGACAAATTTACGAAAACATTGCTTGGATTTGTGGATGTGCTCATTTATCAAATTATTCTGTTGGTCATCTTTTTTGTTTTCTCAAGTACAACATATCTGGAATAAATTCTGATATTCAGATCTAAACAACATCAGTATAGTATGTAAGAGACACGAATGCTCTTAATTTTACATAAGCTCTATTACGGTTTGTCGGTTTTTCAAACCCGTTTTGTTTTTAAGAAATTTATATAATTCCAATGTTTTTGAGATGTAAAATATAAACATGAATTCATTATTTGATTAAAAATAAAATCATCTGTTTAATGAAATAAACAAAAAATTGGAAAATAATTAAGTCTCATTCTTAATTTTCATATGAGATGGAAGAATCAATGGAAAAAAAGGAGCATTCGTTAGATAGCTTTAGTGAGCCATATCTCATAATGTATACATTACATCTTGTCATTGTATAATACGACTTAAAGGCGACATAACGCTTTAAAAAACTTCTTTGACAGTTCTGTGTTTAGAGAATCCAGTTATGAGTTAGAGAGTTCCAAAAGGGAGGTAAAAAAGAGAAAATTCGGTAATTTTTAACAACAAAATTATATTTTATAGTCATAGTTTTATGTAATATTCTAGATTTTTTCAAGTTTTGTTTTAATTCTGATATATTTTTTAATTTTATATATATTAAATAAATAGAAAATAAGTTGTAAAAATCCTTTCTCTCCATTTTTTTGGTAATAATTCGAAAACGGTTTAAACCGGTTTTGTAGAAAAGTTGAGATTCAAAAACCGGTTTTTTAAAGTTCGAAAGGGAGCTCGTATAGACTTTTTTGTATTGCAAATCTATACATTTTATGGAAATTAATAAACGCTAAATGGATATTGCTAAAACAAAAACTACCTTTACGAGAACAATTTGAGCATCACAAATTAGAGAATAGGGTAAATTATGTTGAATTGTTGGTTGAAAAATCACCGCCCGCTGATATGCACGGACAGACTTATGAAGAGGAAGGTTAAATTCAAGAAAATCTGTTCTTCAGCCGCCAATGTCACTTCACTTCCTGTTCCTTGGGCTGGAAATCTCCAAGGAAAAAAGGGAAAAGGAAAGGAGCCAAATAATCTCTTTCTTTCGCTCGCTCGTTTATATGCCGTCTCGAACGTTCCACGGGATTTGTTCAAATCCATCTAAATAAATAAACCACCCGATCTCTCGACGCGAAAATATTATTTATTTACGCGGAGAAGACGAGACACGCACGCGAACTCTACATGAAATACGTATTTGCCGATACATTTTCTTATTTTGCAAAATTTAGTTAAAGTTTACGAAAACATACATACACGAATTGAAACATTAGTGTAACAAATATTCGAAAATATTCCACCAATTTTTTTTTAATGTTACTCTGTTACAAATTACAATTGTGGGTAAATGCGGCTCTTCGTTGAATCAAGTGCGACTCCCATTAAGTGTTTAATTTTTATTATATTTGAATTTTATTACTAAAATTTTGAAATAATTATTTTCTTTTTCATAATTATATTTTTTATGTGTTCTTATCTTCTCATATGTGACTTGTGAAAATATGCAATTACATTTAATCAAAAAATGAATTTATGTAGCTACGTCTGACTCTTTCTATAATATAAAAAAAAAACTAGTTGCTATGTTACTATAAATTGAAAAAATACTAAAAATACAATATCAGTAAAAAAATCGACTTTTAAATCTCTTTTTTGGAAAATAAATGGAAAAGAAATTTAAATATTTTCTTACAGAAATTTCAGAAATTACATATTTACCAATTTTTTTGATTTTTTCACCAAACAATCTTGTCGAATATTTGTAAAATCTTAATTATTAAAATTTCATACTTCAAACATAATTATTTTGTTTTTACAAAAATTGTCAGTGTTGGAGGATATCAAAAGTGATACCAGGTGATTTTGGTGGAGTAAATAATGGAATACGAATAGGGCGCGCTCTTTGGCTGCTTTAAAGTTTTGCTTTTCTCTCTGCATCAAAACCACTACAAAGGACTCCGGATTCCATACGTGAGTGTATATTGCAAAAAGAGACGGATATTGTTTTTTTTTCGTTTTTTGTTTATTTGAAATTAGTGATATTATTTGTACAAAGCCAAACTTTTTTCAGTACAACAAAATTGATACAAACATAAAATTATTAAATATTAATTGCGATATTTAAAAAAAAGCACACTATCTTAAATATTATACAATCGACAATAAAATTTTATTAATTTATTGTGTATTTCTATGAAAATTATGAATTTATAAATTAATATCGACAATTTTCAATTTTCGAAATTTCTTGAAGATTTTTAAATGAATATTGATGATTTTAAATTTACGAAATTTCAATTGTATACCAAAACTATTAATTTTTTTAAATTACTTTAATTTGTATAAAAAAATATGCATTTTAGAATGAAAATAGAGAAATTCTATGAAATTTATAAATGAATTTGATCATTTTTAATTTTTGACAATTTTTTAGACAATTTCTATGTATTAATTAATATTGAAAAATATAATAATTATTGACAAAAAAAATATAAAACAAAAAATTGTATTCAATTTTCATAAATATTTTATAAGAAAAAAGAAGATTCGAGATAATATAAAAATCAGAGATGAGAATTAGAAGTACTTACAGATGGATGATCAAGAGGAGCGTTAGAATTTTAATGGACATTGCTGATTGCCGTTGAATATTGGATGACATCGAGTTTGTCCTTTGTAAAGAGGTCCGCGTATCACCGGATAACCGCAAGTTAATTGTATTTGAAATAAGAATGCGGTCTTCGGTGAGGTTGATCTTCGCAGTCTGCAACAACTGAACGAAAACTGCACGACACTCCGGGGGAAAACTTTCAAACCTTTCGGCCACGCTCCATCCGAGAGGAGCGCGCGTCTGCGCCATCTCTTCTCGCACTTGGACTTCTTCCACATTACTCTTATTCTATTTTTGTCTTACTCTCTCATTCTCTTCACCACACACATGAGCATTGAGCGGGGAAAAAACTATTTCCATCCGTTAACGCACATCTCGTCACAATAGTGATAATACAATGAAATAAATACATTTTATTTTCGTTGTATCTCCAATTTTTCATCCTTCTTCATTGTTGTCCGTTTCGCTGGCGCGAGGTGAAGGCAAGGAATAGGATGAGCGACGAGGACGACGTTCGTTATTTACTTTCGTGTTTCAAGTTTCCGCGAGTTAATTGAGTCCGCCAATCGATTTCCGCGAGAAAAGATCCCCAATGCCACAGACATTCAACAATGAACCGCACACACACTATGTTCCATTCTATTCTTTTTCTTTCGTTTCTTTCATTCAAGTTGCCCGTTTTCAAAATTGTCATTACAGATGTTGACTTTCAAAACTTTATATTATTTTTATTGACTTTTCCATCATTGTTGCATTCTGCAATAATTTTTAGCACTATTTGCTAATCTTTGTATCTTTGTAAAGCGTGTTGCGCTCGGATTGAAAGATTTCGACTTATTTCATACGGAAAGAGTGGCTGTAATGAGGTGTAATCAAATCGTTGATTGTTTGATCTCCAATATTTACACCGACGCTTTGGACCTTGAGCTTTACCCTCACCATTTCCTACATTTTTTCTTCCTTTTTTTTGTCGTATTCGAAAAGTCTCCTAACTTCGTTTTCAATAATTCATAGCCGGTTCCTCTTTTATTTATACAGCACTGGAAACGGAACATTAATAACAGAAGAAAATGGTCTCTGGTAAGGTCGCAATCCAATACAAATCGTTTACAATATTTATTCGTTTAGTTTACAAACTGCGAATGAATCGGTTATAGGATTTATCGGTTGAAGAAATTTATATAATTCGAAAACCGGGTTATTTTCAACTAAACTTAAAATACAAATGTATAAAATTTGAAAACCGGGGTTTTTAACTAAAGAAACGGTTTTTGAGTGTAGACAAATGTGAATTAATTACAGTCGATTCCGCTTAATTGGGATACCGGTTAATGGGGACAGCCGCTTATTAGGGATAAAACCTAAAGAACGGAAACAAAACTAAGCAAATAACACAAATTTACTCCGCTTTTTAGGGACAATATTCTGTTTAATCCGGATAGTAACCGTGTGAGCCACATCTACCTGTATATATAATTGTTTAATATATTATAATAAATATATTATATAATATATATTATAACATAATATAATAAATATAATAGCACTTTCACTAATATATTTTTTGTTTGTTGATGCAAAAGAAGAAATATATCTAATACAATATATGTCGTAGAATACATATATACACATCCGGAAAACATGCCTTTATATATGTTATATGCTTAGATTTTGGTTATTAGTGCATTCCGTAAATCGCGCTGCTAACAAACCAATGCCGCACAATCAAATTTCCTCTGTAACTATTCTTTGCAAAAGAATTATCAAGTAATCTTGCAACAACGAAAAAACGTTTGTGTACACGTTGCATGTGAGAGAGTATTGTCTATTTCTGCAAATTTTGTATCCAAAACAAGGACCTACTTGAGCAATAGATCTATAGAAATTCTATGATTTTTAAAATCATATTTTCTGAGAAAAATATAAAACAATATAATATTTTATTGTCATTTAAATAAATTACTCGCTACTTCATTTATCTATATATTTTTGTTTTCTTTTGTTAGATAAATTTGTTTTAGTTAAATAAAAAGAAATTAAGTTGTAAAAATCAGGTTAGTATATAAATATAGAATTAATCTGTTTTCAATTTGATGTGAAATTTTTTATATTGTTTAAGAAAAAAATAATTAAATGATATTTTCTTATTTTACAAAATTAGTCGAGAGATAGCAAATTCAAAAACTAAAAACACCAAGGATTGCGCAAAATATGTAAAAGAAAAACCAAAAATATTGCTATTTTTTATTGTAAATTAATTGCGTTTATTTGAAATCCAATCAATGTACGAATGCGAAATTTAGAAAATTTTAATGAATGTTGTGAGGGCAAATACTAACAAACACAATGGGAAACAATCTGCGGTTAGGTAATTTTAATTGATTGTGCATTTATCGTGATTGGTTTTCTGCCAATTCCAGCGAAATGAAAACTCAAATACATATATATAGTTGATGTTGTTTCCATGGAGATGATCAAATGTTTAATGCTGAAATATGTATATTTTATTGATGAATTTTTACACCTAGGTTCCTGAGAAAAACGTGTAAATTGATTATTTTCAACATTTATTAATTTATTTATTTTTTTTAACGGTGTAAATGATAAAACATATAAATAAAGTACAGTGTAAAACGAGGGCTATGTTATTTTTAACATTTATTTTTTTAAAACGTGTAAATTGATTACCGTGTAAAATAAGGGATAGGTGTATTTGGGTTTTAATAGAAATATTTTTTTTTATAGAATATTGACACATTTGTTTTATTGCAAAAATTACGTAATAGAAAAATTGGTAAACTAGTAAATCATGTTTAATATACGATATGTGTCGGTGATTATGGAAATGGTCTAAGTTAAATATTTTTTTTGAGATATTTAAAGATTTGACTTTGAACAAACTAAAATATTTCTGAAAATATTTACTCTTGTAAAGTAAACATTTTTTATGGTTGTGAAATTTTATTTATAGCTTATAGGGAAATGTGATTTTTCAAGCTTGAAATGATTTAGACTATTTTCAAAATGAACAGAATATATTCAAACGGACTTGTAATCAGAACAATAGAGAATTTTATTAAAAATCAAAAGTTAAAAACAAAAGTATTCATTTTTTTTCTTCACCTTCTTTTGAAATGAAATTTTGATTTTTAAGTATATTTTAAGTGATTTAAAATATTTCTGGTAAATTGGCCTCGTCCTTTTATATAATCGAAGTAAGAGGATATTTCCATATATTTTTGGCCTTCCCCATTTTGGTGAAACATGTAAAACATGGAATTCGGTTCTTTTCAACATCTTATATGAAGCATCTTTTTAAAAACTTTTTTTTAAATAAAAAATGATGAAAGAATGATGAAGAACATCATTCTTTCTACAGAATATTTTTATTGGTTTATAAAAATACGTAGTGATAATGAATACAAAATCACGATCGTTCGGAAAAATGAATGGCCAGATACCACAAATTCACGAGAATGAAAGTGACTTAGTTCACTTTCAAAATAAACATTAGCTGAATTTTGTTTAATGGCGTAACAACCAACTTAATATAACGACTCCATTCTTACAATTTTGCAAATATTACTCCAGATTACTCTAATGTAAGGAAATGCAATGCGAAATAAGTGATAAACTCATTTTTTCTAAAATTCCTAATCAAAATTGATCCCTAGACATACCTGTACATTTTCTAGAAAATTAAAATAATGCCCACTAAGCATTTTTAAAAGGTGGTACAATGCGTCCCAAAGTGTTAAATAGTCAATAAGAAAAATATGTTTTTTATAGAATTTCATTAGGTGATTGATGTTGAATGCGTAATGCAAATATTTCGAGATATAAAAATGTCCTAGAAGTTGCTGTATTTAAATACTTAGTAAACTAATTATAATTTGTTCAAAAAAAAGTATCGGAAGATGGAATAGTGAAAAACTTGTAAACCAATAAATAATTTTGCATATCGAAGAAGCTTAATATGGAAAGTTTGTAAAAAAATAATTTGTTGAAATCTCTTTAGTTTTCAAGATATGTCGTGATTGATGAATACAATGGAAGCGAATATTTTTAATTGATTGTGCGTTCTGGTAATTGGTTTTCTGCCAAATTCAGCAAGACGAGATTGGGTCTAACGTAAATACAAATGCGGATGGCCGTTTCCATGGAGATCCGATAGATGTCGGCAGGGCGGCGTGGGACAGGGGCTCCTGCGCCCTTCGGTCCATCATCCGCAAACCCCGTGCTGCCGGGGTGAAGGAAGAGGAGGAGGAGGAGGCAGACGTAGCCTCCGTGTCGAAACATGAGCCGTTTTTCACGGAAAATACGAGCAACGCGTATGCTTTGAGCCGTACGAAAAAAAAACTAATAATATTGATAGTACCGAATAGCAACAAAAGCAGTGATATTCAAGTGAAAAGTACACAATGTTAGTAAGTTTAATATGTGCTTGGACATTCAGATAGCAATACCTAAATGTTAGGGAAGGTCCAGTGCGGCAAAATATTTACACTTTCGCTCGTTTAAAGCCATTTTATATATTGTTTTGTTTTTCGATTTGGTAGTGAGTGCGTGATTTGGCATTTGCAAAACGATGAAGAATCTGAATCTGACGAGAATATTTGTAATATTCGCGGTGCATTTGCTACGTGCGACCGACGGGTGAGTGTTTTATTTGTAGCTACTGTTTGTGGGTTAGGTGAACAACCTACGTGCAATCAATTCGGATGTGTTAATAAAAATGCAAATTGTGATTTTCCCACCATCTGACAGACAGACAGATGGGAACTGATGGATCCATCTCATCCCGGTTTATCGATACCAACCGTCGTAATCCGTGATATTTGCAAAAGTAAAATCGCCAAACAAGTGATGATTTGTCGGCTGTCACATTTGACGCGAGCCGACACTTTGATAATCTGTCAGGAATGTGGGAATCATTTTGTCTAAACTAAACCCATATATGCTTTAATTGAAACTTGATGACTGATTAATTTAATATAGCAACATGAATATGAAAAATAAACATTTGATATCTATATAATTCGGTAGATGCGCCGATTTTTGTAAATAAAATATCAAACATTTTATCGTTGGAATTTTTTGTTCGAATATATCTTGTCTTCAATATTCAATTGTTAAATGTAAGAAAAAACGGTTTGAAATGAATTGTACGAATATTGACTTTTATTTTTTTAAAACATTTATAAAAAAATGCTTTTGAAACAAGATTCGATTTATTGGGGTCCAATAAATCGAATCTTGGGTCAATAACCCAGCGCATCCACCAAAATTTGTTTCAAAAGCAATTTTTTATAAATGTTTTAAAACATAATAAATAGAAAATGTAGAATACATTTTTTTTAATTTTGCTTTCAATGTTTTTTTCTATATTGAAAATGTTGTGAAATGATATGTGATTTGGTGGATGCGTCGGGTTTATTTCTTCAAAATTGAATTCCTTATATTGTTGTTTGATGTTGCAGGACGCAAAAGAACATGATTTCGGATCGCCTGGAGAACGTTACGCAAACAATATCGAAGCTGCTCGAGGGCTACGACATCCGTTTAAGGCCGAATTTCGGAGGTAATCTCTCTGTCCGAGTGGACGCAATGCATGCACATTTACGCTCGAACAATCATCTCACATTGACCTATTAATTTTCGTATCGTATCCATGGGTACGTTTATGTTTCGTTACCATGGTTACCATGTGTAATTGCGTTTTCGGCAGGGCCCCCAACCAGACCGACGCGTGCATTTTAATTGGTTTTTGCCAACAAACCATCCCTCCCTCACTCATCAAAACTTCGCCTGATTCATTTGCTTTCTGTATTTAATTTGCGCGAAACTTGTTCTCGGATTAATCGCCGTCCCATCTGTTTTGGTCTTGGTTTTCCAGGCGACCCGCTTTACGTCGGCATGGATCTCACTATAGCCAGTTTCGATGCAATCTCCGAGGTTAATATGGTGAGAGAAACTTTAATTCCTCTTCCTCCATCCTTCCGTTCGTTTACAGCCTGCAGATGCCTTCGACGTTTTGCAAATTACATCCATTAGACCCCTCATTATTTTCAATAGAAACTACGCGCGATGTGTACAATATTCCACAATATAAACGATCTTATTAATTGCCTTAGCTTAACATATCATTTCCTGTAAAATAGATTAAACTAAATTCATATTAACGTCATTTAGCTTACATTTACTAAAATTTACAATATTGACCAATAGAAAAAGGATTTGTATACGACATTCACATTGATTTATTTATATGATACTTTTAAATTTAAGAGATCTAAGTGCACTTTGAAAATTATATTTGTTTAATTTATTTATTTGAAAAATACAATTAGTAAAAGTCATATTTTTTTTAGTTAACAAGAGATTTGGTGTTTTGGAAAATTCAATTTAAGTAATTGATTCTATCATATAAAACTACTGTTTCGAAGGTTTTTTAATAATAATAATATTTATTGCAACAATAAAAATACAAAATAAAAAGTCAACTGCTGCAAACGTCAATTAACTATAGATCTTTATGCCCGGGAAGGTTTTTTATTATACATTTATTATTCAGTTAACACTTTTGAAGGCTGTCATAGACTGAAACGTCTTTTTTGTTTCTGTCAAGTTTTCATTTGACATTTGCGTAACGTGTATTATTCTATTTTATTTTATATAAACAACGCGTTGTCATAATGATAATTTATTATTAAAATTATATTATTATTATTATTATTATGTAAATTATGTATAAAAAAAATCTGTCATCATGTTTTTTTCTTAAGGTTTTGAAAAGTTGTTTTTGAACAATTATTGTATATTTCTTTAGGATTGACAACATATTTTAATTGATGCATTCAAGCAAGGAAATGCATTGGAACTATCCATGATACAAACTGTGACCTATATTTATATCTTATTTGTAGTGTAAAATCCTCGATGGTGGTATTTCGGTTTTTCGTTTCGATGGGTCTAATTATTCGTAATTCGATTGAATCCTTGCTTCTACCTTTAATCTGCGATGTTTACCGATAGATGGCAAACCATGCGTGCGGACGTGGCACTTTTTCAGTGGCAGTCACGTGCAGCAGCAGCATTTCGCGTGCTAATTCACTAAATCTCCATCTCTCTATTCATCCATCCATCCAACCATCACACGCAGAGACGATAACTTCTTCTCCGCCCCGATAACCATTTTCCGCTGTCGCATTTTAATTTCCGAATTAACAGCCGAATTAATTATTTCGTCTGAATACGAAATTATATCTCCCCCTCTTTTTTCTATCTGAGCGGCCTGGAGGGAATTAATAGCGCGGAAAGCGGCGATCTTTCATTTTTTTGCACAATTGCATGTTGCGAGATGGAAATTCATTTGACGATTATCTTTAATTTACCGGCGGTTTGTTCGCACGCTAAATCAGCGAATTCGCTGCAATTAATTAGTCGACTAATTCAGAAATTATTTAAAATATATGTATATATATATATATATATATGGGTAGAAATCATTTAAAAAGTTCAGTTTCGTAATATATACACTTATATACACTGTCGAAAAAAAAAATGTTTGTAATCTTCGGTGCGTAAAAGAAAATATGGGTCCTGTTTATCACCTAATGACCGAGTTGTGCAGATAAAACTTGGAAATAGATTAATCATCGATGCGATGGGATGGGGAAAAAGAGCATGTGCTATTATGTACTTATGAAGAGGATCAAAACTGTTTCAGGACTACACGATCACGATGTACCTAAATCAATATTGGAAGGACGAAAGATTGGCGTTCAGCAGCGAGGAGGAGATCTTAACGCTCTCTGGAGATTTCGCGGAGAAGATCTGGGTGCCGGACACGTTCTTCGCCAACGACAAAAACAGGTTACATTACCTCTCATACGGGGGGAGGGGGTGTTTGAAACAAATGCAATGGAAACGCAATGCGCGGTGAATGTAATAAGCGCGTCCGAAAGAGGGCAGATCTGGTCCTCTCGAGTTCTTCCTCAAAGCGTCCTCTTAACCCACATACACATGTGCTTTTTGTATGCATATGTACATAAACGAAATCAATAACAACAAAATGAGACTTCTCCTATACCAAACACTAGAAAGTTTATTGCAATTTAAACTTATTGCAAATATACAAAGTTGTATATCGTAATTAATTAATATGTATATAATTTTGCTATTTATATATGCATCATCAGTGAGTAATATTTATTTAAAAATAATAATGTGCCAAATTAATGACACTTCTGTTGTCTACACTAATTTGTATATTCTCACTTCAATTGCGTCACTCAATTCTATTCGCATTCAAGTTGTTTTGTTTTTATATTGACCAATGTAGAAAATCCCTTTTCAAACAGATAGCAAACGGCAATAAATTGCACCAATATTTTTTTGTCTTTAAAAATTAATTCAAATTTAAATCCCTTGTCAATTCGTGCAGAGTGCCGTCGTGGGTTGGAGATAAATTGGTATTATTTCTATTATTATAAGGATCTCGAATCTACAATTATTGCTATTATTTTTTGGAGATGACAGTGAATTAAATATGTGTGTTCTTTGTCAAATTAACAATTATCATTTGAGAATAATTTGGAAACATTTCGAAAACATTAGAATTGATCTTCTATCTCGCATGGAAAAAAAAATGTTATGCTGATTTCCTTGCTTAGATAAATTTAGTTGGATTAGAATGGAGATGTCTGGCAAGTAAGAAAGTTTTGTAATCCAATTTTTGCCTTCGAAATAAATGGTCAATTATTGTCATTTAGCAATATTTCATGGGAATGTGTCGCGCAGATGCGAAATGCAATAAACAAGAAATTGTTTTATCAGCTATTCTGTTAGTATTAATATATTTCTTGAAAAATAAGCAAATGTATGTACATTTTTTATAGTGTAGAAATTGTTATCCTAGACTTATAAAAAATATTAAATATAAATAGATGTCAAAGATATCAATTTTGAAAATTAAACTTATTTTGTTACTACAAAAAGAAAAACAAACAATAAAAACTAGTGAGCGATGATGTATGATGATGATAACATTTTGCAGTGAAGTAAAGCATGTGTTTGAGTGTGTCTTATTTCTCTGACCGATATTCATTAATCTCGATGCGACGCTTTGCAGTTTCTTGCACGACGTGACTGAAAGGAATAAGCTGGTTCGTCTGAACGGAGATGGAGCAATAACTTACGGAATGCGATTCACGACTACCCTCGCCTGCATGATGGACCTACACTATTACCCGCTGGATTCGCAGAATTGCACCGTCGAAATCGAGAGCTGTCAGTTGATTGATCATCGTGGAAATGCATTATTTCGTTGTTGTTTCATCGATCTTGTTTCTTATTTTTAGATGGTTACACCGTTTTGGATGTGGTCATGTACTGGAAGGAGACGCCGGTGCGTGGGGTCGAGGAGGCCGAACTGCCGCAGTTTACGATTATCGGGTACGAGACGAACGATAGGAAGGAGAAATTGGCGACAGGAATCTATCAGAGATTGTCGCTATCGTTTAAACTGCAAAGGAACATCGGGTACTTCGTCTTTCAGACGTATCTGCCAAGCATCCTTATCGTGATGCTCTCGTGGGTTTCTTTCTGGATAAACCACGAGGCCACCAGCGCTCGAGTAGCTTTAGGTAACGCATATCGATCATTGGACACAACACTTCCACTCATAATTAGTAATTATTTAATTAAATTTTGTTTATGTATAGCAAAGATGAAATAAATTTTCAAACGAATCCAATAAGATCAATTATTGAATTAGATACATAATAATAATAATTGCAAATTTTAAATGAATCCAACAAAATGCAACTAAATAAGCATTAATTTGTAAATTTAAAATGTATAAATAATAAAATCCTTTGTAACTTTATGTTTTAGGTATAACGACAGTCTTGACAATGACGACGATAAGCACGGGTGTGAGGAGTTCACTTCCGAGGATCAGTTACGTGAAGGCCATCGATATTTATCTGGTAATGTGTTTCGTGTTCGTGTTTGCCGCACTCTTGGAGTACGCCGCCGTCAATTATACGTACTGGGGCGCCAGGGCCAAGAAGAAGAGCAAAAAGGCCAAGGAGGATGACAAAAAGATCGGTTCGCAATTTTAACAAAATTTAACATTTGTTATAACAATTAACAAGGTGATTTACTTCGCCTTCTTCTAGGTGGGACCAAACCGAGCTCCTCCTCAGCAACAACAGCTGCAGCGGCTGCGGCATCTTTATCCTCCGACCACGGTAACCATAGCGTGCCCGAAGACATCATCGAGCTGCAGGACGTTCGGTTGAGCCCGATCGCCTCGATTCGCAACAGACACGGCCTCAGATCGAGCCCCACGTGCGGACTTGGCGCCGACATCGATCCATCCAAGTTTCCGCCAAGCTTCCGCATCTCCAGATCGGCCGCAAGTTATTGCGTGAATCCCAGATCGGCGGGCCTCCGGTTCAGAGGTGCAAGAGGTACAGCTGACCGAACTATATATGTAACTCCGCAACAGCTAAAACTGTAAAACTATCTTCAGGTGCGACCATGAACAAACCGAAAGTACTGCACGCCATCAGGAAGGGAGCTTCCGTGCTGCGAGCCTCGATGCCCAAAATCAAGGACGTCAACGTTATCGACAAGTATTCTCGGATCATCTTCCCGGTCGCCTTCATGCTTTTCAACGCCGGCTACTGGGTTTTCTATTTTTTTGAATGACTCATCTCGTACTCTCTCCTACTTCTGCGAGAGTGATCGATACTCAATAGAACCATATTCAAAGTAACAGAAGAACATTGTATCTATTCTAAACTCAAAGAACGAGTAGATCCGCCAAATATAAAAATGATTTTCTACAATACGAAACATTATTGCCAAATGTCATTGGACAATGTCATTGGACAAGGTCTAACAAATATTCAAGAAGAGAGTTATATTCACAAACATGTCACACGAATATCGAATTGACTTTTACAAAATACCTTTTTTTTCGTCTTCATATTTAGAGGTTTTATATGTAAGTGATGGATCTGTTATCGAATTTAGGTGCAAGGGACCTGCGAGTCGCGTTTCCCATCGTTGGTTGGGACACAAAACGCAAACCAAAAGAGAAAGGCAATTTTAGATTTCGAAGTGGAATGGAAAGTTATAAATTTAGAACGATTTCCCTTAAATTTGTATGTGTAAGTGTAACTTTAACAGAAGAATGAAGAGAGAATATATTAAATATATATATATATATAAAAATTTGAAAATGAAGCAACTAAACCGTGATTTATACTCACTTTATATAAACTTCAGTATTTTTTTTTAAATAACAAAAACTGTATTAACATATTCATACCATTCATTTAAAAGTGAGTATGTGTGTTTACAAAGAGGATAATATTTAATTATGTTAAATAAGTAAAGAGGAAGAAACTTTATCGATGTTAAGTGTTTTTTTTTTTGGAGATTTTAAACAGTTCCTTATTAATGAAAGAATAAGATATATATATATATATACATACAAGAAGAAATATAAAGAATGTCTATGTAGCGAAGTAAGTTAAATGAAAATTTTAATAAAAAAAAGAGAGAAAAAAGAAGATAATTCAAGCTTGTCGTAAGTAAATGTGTTATGAAACGTGCTCCTTACGATTTAATGCACTCGTCGTATTAACGTAACGTTTCGGTCGGACCTCTATCGAATTGCGCGAATCAATGTTCCCCTTTTTTATCGTTTGCTTGATTCATTTTGAAAATGAAGTGTTTATTTAACAAATACAATTGATGGTATAACACAAATGAAAATTGGAATAACCCTCTGTATACGATGTGTGTTTAACGTTACGGTTATTTGAATGTGTCCAATAGTCAAGTTTCAACTTGTTTTGTATAACTTTTGTTCTTTTGATTTGATTTTGTCGATGGAAGAATGGAAGTTTCTACTAGATATTCTTGTGGATTTATTGTGGAGAGCGAAGGAAAAAGGAAAATAACTTGTATGATTTGATCAAAATAAAAATTTACGTTTGTTACGTTTGCGTTATTTTATTTTGATTTTATATATCACATCATCGACGTAGTGTTAAATAGAAAAACAAAAATATGGTTGATATTTACGTCGTGTCAATTTTATTAATGGTATTTTCCATGACAATATGTTATTATAAGGTAGTTTAGAGAATCAGTGTTTGATTGAGAAGATGATGGTGATGATGATTGGCAACAGGATGTGCTCGAGAGAGTATTTGATCAGAAAATTGCATCGCACTAAATAGCCCTTACAAAGATCTGTTGTTGTGTACAACCATTATATAAACATATACATCAGCATAAAGGAATCTCTATCGTGATCCCAGTTCGATACACATTCATATAAACAAAGGGGTCCAAGCGTAAACAATCCCATCGATACTCCTATACCTTTTTGAGTGCTCCGAATTCAAGTCCCTTTATAAACACTATTTCCACATACAATCGTAATCGATCATCTTTTTCATATAAACAAATGCATAGGATTTTGTCCCAGTCTTATAATAAACAAAACCACCAAGGCCGAATCCCGTGGGTACGATTAATCATCAATATATACAAGCCCTAGTTCCAATCACAACTCCCACCTCGTAATAATAAGAATTAACTTCGTGTTTAAAACCAATTGAATTATTTAATTCCTACAACTGAGACTCAACAATAATAAACTTTGCAAGTAGAATAAGTCTCAGCTGCAGAGCATCGTGACTTTATGAGGCCCTAGGTGCAATTGGGCACAACCTGATTTGGAGGGCTCCTATTAACCCTACTAAGAAAATTATAACGTTTTTTTTGACGAATTGGAGACCCTGGGTGAGCGCCTACTACGCCTATGTGGTAACGCGCCACTTCTCAACTGAAACATCGAGTCCGAGTAAAATCGTCAGGTGAACTTCATTTAATCAATAAAGTTGGATTTAATTAGTCATTCCACATTGTTCGTATTTTCCATTCCTAGTATTATCTGTCGGTGAAGTAAAGTGTAATTAGTTCAGAGAACAGTTGAGCAAGATGTATCCAGGGACGAATTGGGATAGGCGGGAAGAGATAAAAATAAGGGCGGAGTGGGCGGATAAGGGGCGCCGGCGTCGAATGCTTTTTTTTATGGTCGAAGAAAATAGGTGGCGTCAGGTACGTAGGTGGGAAGAAAGTCGGACGAGAAAATTCGCATTGTTGCCGGAGGTTGCGTGGAAACGGTTGCGCATCCCCACCAACGTGAAGAGTCGCAAGATCGCGCGGTCCCCCCTACATCACCGTCTTCCCACCGCCTCCGACGCTATTTTCCGTCGCGCCGCCGCCGCGAATCGATAAATACAAATCGCAAATTTTCAGCTGCCAGAGAGAATCCAGCACGTAACGCGCCGCGTGAAATAGGTCATCATACATCACATCTCTGCATAATAACACGTATATCTTCAAATTCGTGGAAACCGTTTCTCTTCGTTGTATTTGGTAGTGTATGTGCATAGATTGGATATAGTGTTACTTAGTTTGGGTGGATGCTGGATGCGGTGATGTGTTGAACTGGTTGTAAAGAAGGGTAATCCAGAGTGTTTCAATTCTTGATACAACAATTCACCATGTCCAGCTATAAAAGAAGATATAAAGCTGGAGGAGTGTAGACTACTCCTTCGCAAGTGGAGGCACAACTTTTCACGTTACTAGTAAGAGGAAAGCTCGAGCGGACATGACGCGGAGAAACAGGGTTGAAGCTGCGAAGAGGAGTCGCGGTCGCGGACATTTCCAGATCTGTCTAGGTAAACTTAATCATAAAACGAATTGACCTAGTCCATACATAGCATAAACCCCCTTTCTGGATCGTGATGCATGCATATAACTTGCGTGTGGGAAGGATGAAAACAGAAGAGCGAAAGATATAGTGTGGCAATGAGTGTAAGGGAGAGGGTGAACGAGGAATGCGTGTAGTATCGATCGGATTCCGAGAAAGGGCCTCGCCTTGTCCCTTGCTGAATGAACCATTCATTGCTATCTCTCTTCAACCCACACACGCACATGCTCACACCCTTGTCCATGTCCTTTACATCCACTCCCATCCATTTCCCATCTACAAAATCATCATCATATAACAAGAATTTAATTACAACAAATGCTTTTGCAATCTTATTCCTCGTTCATTCATATATTAATTTCCTTTTATCACACTCTCGCTGGTCTCTCAATTCGAAAATCGATCTCAAACCGCCCCCGCGACCGTCGCAATATCAAATAATGTATCCCTTTTCGCAAATAAATACTTCCCTTTGACTAATATTTGCAAAACTTATATATGCTTCATATATATCTATACAAAATAATTAAATAAATATATACGACTTGATCTAATCGTTACAACTTGAAATTAAAGACAGAATTTAAGTCATCGCTTTTGAAAGTTACGATGATTAAATGTTTAACTTTCAGTCAGTTTCAATCAATTGCAGCAACGATGTTTCAGGTACAACTTTACAAAATAATTAATTAAAAAAATATCAAGCAAAAAGATGTTTTATTTTCGTCGTACATTGAGAATTTTTTTTCAGTCTTGTGACAAGAATAATATAAATCGCTATTTCGCGTTATTGGATTTTTATCTACATAAGAAAAGACAAGCAGAGTATCAATATTCTACATCTAAATTTGTTAAAGACGGAATGTAATAAAAATCTAACTACAATTATATATTCATTAGATAGAAAATTAAGTTAGTAAAGAAATAATTTGTAAGAGACGTTCGTGTCGTTGGAAAGATAGAAAATGCACGGAATGTCTGGAAAATCTAAACTCAGATCTTTGTGAAGAGCGTAAATCAAGTCGCGCAGTATGATGGAGGAGCTTAGTGCATACTGACTGTATACTGTCTATTTATACATCTAGGTTTTAATTAGCGGCAATGATGGCACAACGCGTACGATCTCTGCATATCTTCTGCTACGCGAAAGAACGGAGGAAATGAACAATTTGGCAAATCCAACACAACAAGAAACAATTTTTTTTTAATCAGTTATTTTTCAGTTGACGTCTTGCTGTTTGACAGATGTCGTCCTTTTGTTCAGTTTTATATTATTCTCTGAAAAATATCTATTTCTGCGCATTTGCAGCTTATTGAACTTCAAATATAAATAAATCTGTTTCAGTCACTAATAAATAATATGCGCAGCAATCGAACTAAACAATCTGCTAATTTGTTTTTATAAAAAACTGTTTAAATAACTCAACATATGTTACATTGTGCATAATTTACAAGTTGATTGTATTATAGATAACGTTGATCGTAATTAAGAATTAATAATTTATTTAAAAGGCGAAAAAGAAATTTTGAACCACTCAACTGTTCTATGCGACATCCCTGGTGGGGATCGAACCCACGACCTTTGGATTAGAAGTCCAACGCGCTATCCGCTGCGCTACAGGGACGATACTTTTCTTGTATTTAATGTCACCTAGGTTGATAAGGATTCTTTTATTATTTTTTTAGTGAAATAAATTATGTATACCAGTATGACTTAAATCCCGAAAATAAATGTATCATCTTGTTCATTTTATAACCAGAGGCGTCGCTACGATAAGTATTTTTTTTCTTCGGATGTCACCCCCTGTTCTCATGCAATTATTTTCATATTTAGCCCGAGTCCTCAAAATTCAAAGAACAATTTTAAAATCTAATCTAACCAAAACAAATATATACCATCTTTAAATTCACGTAAATTCAAATAATTCAGATGAAATAACTGGTTGAATCGTGTTAATTTATTTCAAATTCAAATAGTAATTATGTTATTATTTAAATCTTAATTTAAAGTAAGTTTCAACGTATATTAGTCTACCACTAGCGTAAACAATGCTTATTGTTGAAAATTGACTTTGTTTTCGGCATATCGCAAAACTATTTAACTTTTTCTTGTCTATTATAAATGGTGTAAAAGAAGCCAATTATTTGAACCACTCATCAGTCTTTGGTATGGTTATCCCTGGTGGGGATCGAACCCACGACCTTTGGATTAGAAGTCCAACGCGCTATCCGCTGCGCTACAGGGACGTTATTTTTCGCAACCAAAAAGTTCATGAACTGAGACTAAGACCTCAATTTGTACTTGACATGTATATTGTTTGTTTTAGTGGTATGCTTGTTGACGTTGTGCTTCGCAAATCATCAGAGTCAAGATACGAGCACGTCGGCTCCACCACCCGTCGGAGGTGGTGCTGCGCCTCATCGTGGCGCCGCTCGCCAGATGTACGGCTCCGGATCACTCCGACCCCCAGGTACAAACCCCATGGTCTTTGGACCGGCACATCGACCGCCCCTCACTTCGGGCTCCTCCCCATCGCAGGGCAACATTCGTCGCTACCCGATGGCCTATCCCATCGTGCCACTGCCCATTCCCATCAGGGACTTTGAATCGTTCCCCGACGGCTTCCCGATCCTCATCCGGGAGTATTTCAATGACAGATCAACATCCAGGAGTGGCGCTCGCGGTATCTCCACGTCTTCCGCTTCGTCGTCGATTAATCGTGGAATGTACGGCGGAAGACCGGAATATAACAATGGCAGACCGACAAGGCTGTACGATTTCCGACCGGATGTGTACGGCGAAGGTTTTATACCGGGTCGCGGCTTCGATGTAAGACCTGGTGGAATGTTGACAAAGATGCCGAGCAACAGACCCACGGGGCACGGGATTCAGAGAATGCGTGAACCTGACGAAGACGACGCTGGAGTCAGCAGCAGCAACAACAACGGTAATCAAAAGGAGATCGTCGACTTTGAGCACGAATGCGGCGAAGACTGCGAACAAGGCGAATACCTCTGCGTTTCCAGTTGCACCTGCATAAAGAACACATTACGGTATGATCATTTTTAGAGCAACAAATATTGTTACATCAATATTGTTAATTGATAATGATTTAAATCAATTTTCTTACTTTTATAGTTGCGACGGGGACGTTGATTGCGACGATGAAGAGGACGAACTGGAATGCGGAGAGATTGAAGCGGCCAGAGATGAGAAGTGCACCACCGAGCCGAATAAGTACGTGACGTGTCCCAGATCTGGGAAGTGTATACTGAAGAATTGGTTGTGCGACGGCGACGACGATTGCGGTGACTTTTCCGACGAAACGCAATGCGGTAACAACAACAAAAAATAATAACGCAACTGCAAAAAATACAATAAAATATCGTTCCAGGATTCAAAGTGAACTGTACCAGCGATCAGTTCGAGTGCGCCAATGGCCTGTGCATACCGAGGAACTGGGAGTGCGATAACGATAACGACTGCAAGGACTTCTCCGACGAACACAACTGCACCAAAATGGAGTAAGTTTATTAGGTTGCTGCGAAACGGTCATAGAGATAGCAAACATATTTTCAATTCTTGATTCTCCGTATATACGGTACTCCCAGTATAATTAAATTCGATTGACACCGAACGGTTTCAATTTTGATCCAGCAAAATTATCAAGAAATGTCGGCGGCAAGATGAGCTCCGAAAAAGGACTATTGATCCCGTTACCTTGGATACAGCTTCCTCCGGGCTCACTGCATCTGCGCCCTTGCATCTATTGGCAACAACAATAATAATGATAAGAATAACAAAAGCAATTTATTATCTTTATCCAGGTGTACCACCGATGAATACAGCTGCGGCGACGGGACGTGTATTTCGCTGAGCTTCAAATGCGACAAGGATATCGACTGCAACGACGAATCGGACGAAACGGATTGCGGTAGGCAATCACAAATTACGAAATTATGCACTACCATCTGTACTAATCGAAATTCCATTATCATTATTAATTATACTATTTAGATGTGGAGCCACCTCCGTGCAATGAAGGCGAATTCCGATGCACCTACAACAAGTGCATCAAAGTGGAGTTCCGTTGCGACGGTGACAACGATTGCGATGATTGGAGCGACGAGGAAAACTGTCCGAAGTTACCCGGAACTTGTGTCTCCGGCGAATTCAAGTAAGCGAAAATGATTATCATAGCAATATGTGAATGTTCTCTCATCGTCATCATCATTGACTTGGCAGATGCAACAACGGTCAATGCATCCCGGAGAGTTGGCGATGCGACAAGCAGGATGATTGTGAAGGAAACGAGGATGAGATCAATTGCACGGACAGTAACAGCCGAAACTGCTCTTCGGATGAGTTCATGTGCTCAAACGGAGCTTGTATCCTAGTACGTTCATCGTGATATAACATTTTATAAGATATCAGTAGATACAGTAATGTGATGACTATTCTGCAGAAAACTTGGGTGTGTGATGGAGTGTCGGATTGCAATCAGGACGAGGACGAGTCGAATTGCCAGATCGTCTGCGACGAGACCAAATTCGGATGTACGGGAATCTCGCCGAACGACACCGAGGTAGATTTCTGCATACACAAGAAGCACGTGTGTGACGGTCAGAGAGACTGTCCAAAGGGCGAGGACGAAAACGATTGTCCGACGAGGCACGATTGCGATATAAACAAATTGAAATGTACGCAAATGTGTATTACGTTCCCAAATGGCACCGAGGGCTGCAGCTGTCATCCGGGTTACAACTTGGTAGTCCATGATGGATATACGTAATATTTCCCCATATATATTATGTCTACGGATTAATCGTTGATTGTTTTAGATGCGAGGATATTAACGAATGCTTGTACGAGACGGATCCGGTATGCTCGCAGACGTGCAACAACACCGTGGGCAGCTTCAAGTGCGGATGCATGACTGGTTACGTCCTTAGACCGGACATGAGATCTTGCAAGGCCCTGGGTGCTCCACCGACTTTACTCTTCGCAAATCGCGGCGACATACGACAAGTAATCTACTATTTTCAATTTGATCTAAACTGCATCTAATGTTATTTTATGTGTTCAGGTATCACTGCAGGCTTCGTTCAGCAACTCGAAGTACACGGCGATATTGAAGAGGCTGAGCAACGCTATCGCTTTAGACTACCATTACACGAAGGGTTTGATCTTTTGGTCCGATACGATGATGAATGTGATCAGAAAGGCGAACATGAACGGTTCGGGAATCGTGGATGTTGTCAAGTGGGGCTTAGAATCGCCGGGCGGCATAGCTTTGGATTGGATACACAACCTGCTCTTTTGGACGGATTCGGGGACGAGACGCGTCGAAGTGGCCAGTCTGGATGGAAAGCAGAGGGCAATAATCGTGACGGACGATTTGGATAAGCCTAGGGCTATAGCCGTGCACCCAGGCAAGGCGACCGTCTTCTGGACCGACTGGGGTCCCAATCCGAAAATCGAGCGTGTAGAGATGGACGGCACGAACAGGAGGAGTGTCATCACCGAGTCGGTTTTCTGGCCAAACGGTTTGACCATCGACTACACAACGGATCGCATCTACTGGGCGGACGCAAAGCACAACGTAATCGAGACGGCCTTGTTCGACGGCGGCGATCGTAAGAAGGTCATCAGCAAAGGACTGCCGCATCCATTCGCACTAACAATCTTCGAGGATGCAATCTATTGGACGGACTGGCACACCAAGGCCATTTCCACAGCGAACAAAGCGACCGGTGCTGGCTTCCGAACGATCCACTCGAATCTGCATTTCCCCATGGACATCCACAGCTACCATCCGCAGCGACAGCCGGATTATCGGAATCATTGCGGTTCGAACAACGGAGGCTGCGAGCATCTATGCTTACCCAACAGGGTTGAGTATTCGTGCGTGTGTCGTATGGGGCAGAAGCTGAACGCAGATAGAAAGACGTGCCAGCAGCCCGAAAACTTCCTGGTGCTAGCGCGCAAGAAGGATCTGCGCATTAAACATCTGGACACGGATGCGAACAATCATCATGAAATTGTGGTACCGGTGGACGGGGTCAAGTCGGCGGTGGCCATCGCCTGGGATTCGCGGAAGGATACTATATTCTGGACGGACGTCGATCGCAACACGATCAGCAAAGCGCACTGGAACGGCAGCGACCAGCAGATCATCATCAAAGATAACATCCTATCGCCAGCCGGCTTGGCTTACGACTGGTTCACCGACAAACTGTACTGGACGTCAGCATCAAAGATAGAGGTGGCAAAAAGCGATGGCAGCATGCGCACTATTCTGATCTGGAAGAATTTGGGTAAACCGAGAGACATCGTCGTGGATCCGGTGGCGGGAAACATGTACTGGTCGGATTGGGGAGAGAATCCAAAAATTGAAAGGGCCGCGATGGATGGAAGCAACAGGATATTGATTACTAACAATCTGACCTGGCCCAACGGTCTGGCCATCGATCACGAGACCGGTAGACTGTACTGGTCGGACGGAGGAAAGAATTCCATCGAGTACGCTGACTTGGACGGTCGCCACCATAAAGTTCTGCTGAGTAAATTTCATTTAATTAGTGTAGACTATTTTACATTGACGTTAATCGTTTGTTATTTGAAGGTGGGATAAGTTTGCCGCATCCGTTCGGACTGGACCTCTTTGGAGAGGACGTATATTGGACGGACTGGGAGACGCTGAAAATAGAGAAGGTGAACAAGATCTTGGGCACTAATAGGAGCGTCGTCAGCTCTGACGTCAGTAATTTGATGGACGTTAGGGTTTTCCACCGAAACCGGAAGTACGTGTTCACACCTTGCCATAAGGATAACGGAGGATGCTCGCATCTATGCCTGCTCAAACCAGAAGGCCACTCTTGCTCCTGCCCAATCGGAATAAAACTTCAGGTATCTTTTCAGGTGTTCTCTTTAAATCTAACAATTAAATACATATGGATTATAATTTTATAAAATAATATTTTCCTTTTTTTGGATACTATAGAGAGATGGAAAAACCTGCGCGGAATTTCCATCCAATTACCTGGTGTTGGCGCATCGCGTCGACATCAGGCAAATCTCGCTGGATGTGCCCTACGTGGTAGACGTTGTTCTCCCAATGCCATCTCTGAAGAACGTCATGGCCGTAGACGTGGATCGCAGAACGAATCAGATTTACTGGACCGACACATCATCCGATCTTATTCAGAAAAACTCGCTTGATGGTAAACAGATTCAGACGATCATTTCGCACGAATTACAGATGGCCGATGGTATCGCCGTAGATTCTAGCGGAAGAAAGGTATTTTTTCAAATCCAATTGAATCATTTCAATACATATATATTTATTCTAGTTGTATTGGACGGACGGAGAGAGGAATAGCATTGAGGTAGCTGAATTGGATGGACACAATAGGAAATTACTGGTGTGGATCGATTTGGACAGTCCCAGGGCGATTACTCTCTATTACGAAAAAGGTTTGATGTTCTGGTCGGATTGGGGAACTAAAGCAAAGATAGAATCGGCGGAAATGGATGGATCGAATAGAAAGACGTTGATCAGCACCAAATTGGTTTGGCCAAATGGTCTCGGCGTTGATCACCAGGAGAATCGTTTGTATTGGACCGATGGAAAGCAGAAGACCATTGAATCGTGCGATCTCCAAGGGAACGATCGTAGATTGATCATCGATGACGCACCGCACCCATACGGATTGGTCATCGCGGGTGATCACATGTACTGGACCGATTGGCAAACTCAATCTCTGCACAGGGCAGACAAGGGATCGGGAACGAACAGGACGATCATCAGCGAAAGGTTGAAGGGATTAATGACCGTTGTCCACGTTAAAGAAGATGACGCTGCATCTTTACCTATCGACATATGCGGTGCCGACAACGGCGGCTGCTCTCATCTTTGCTTGAGGAATGCTCTGGGTTTCTCCTGCGCCTGTCCCACCGGTATCCAATTCATGAACAACAGCCGCAAGATCTGCAACCATCAACCGTCATCGTATCTATTGTTTGCAACACGCAAATATTTGGCCAGGATCAGCCTGGATTCACAGGACCTGCTGGAGGTCACCTTGCCCATCAACAATACCGACCACATCATCGATGTCGACTTCCACTGGGCAAAGCAGACGATCTTCTTTAGCGATGTGAATATGGAGAAGATAATGAGCGTTGACATGCGTAATTTGTCGGATGTGCGCGATCTCATAGTGAAGAACATCACCACGCCGAATGGGATCTCCGTTGACTGGATCAGCAATAACCTCTACTGGACGGACACCAGGCTCAGGGTGATCGAGGTGTGCAGGCTGGACGGCGACATGCGGAAGATTATAGTAAAAGAGAATCTGATGGAACCCAGGTCCATTGCGGTGTATCCCCGTAAGGGATACCTGTATTGGTCCGACTGGGGTACCAGTCCGAAAATTGAGATGGCCTATACGGACGGCTCGACGCGCTCTGTCATCGTGGATCGCGATCTGGGCTTCCCCAACGGATTGGTCATCGACTTCAAGGGTCGCAGGTTGTACTGGACGGACGCGAAATGGGATCGCATCGAAACTTCGGATCTGCACGGCAAGAGTCGCATTCAGTTGATTCAAAGCGGAAGCTCCCCAACCACGCATCCTTTCGGATTGACGCAGTTTGATGAATACATCTACTGGACCGACTGGTATCAGAAAACAATCCTACGAGCAGATAAGGCCACGGGGAACAACGCCGCTATGGTGCGATCTAATCTAATCGGAGTGATGGGTATTACGACCGTCTCGGAGAGCAAACAGAAAGGCTGGAACCCTTGCGCCGTCAACAACGGAGGCTGCTCTCACCTATGCTTTTTCAAGCTGAACCACTACACCTGCGGCTGTCCGGATTCGCCTAACCATCCGATCCCTTGCAAAACTGGTGAGTCTTTAAATATGCATCAGATAGGAATGATACAATTTAACTATTACTTACTTTTTCAGCCCCAGAGGAATGGGTAACAATGAATCATCCCGATGCCGTCTACGACTACGAGGACTACGACTACGACTCGATTAATGAGCATATCTATCCAAAGCTGCACGATTCGGAGCAACCGAACACGATACCCGCGAGTCACTACTACGTGATGTTCATCGTGTCGCTGACCGGCGTCGTATTCCTTATCTTCCTGGTAATCGGTATTCTCTTCATTTTCCGTACTAATCGCAAGAAATACCTATACGCGACCGGTCGCAGCGTCATGACCTTCTCCAATCCCAATTACTACACTTCCAACCGAGAGCAGGGGCCCGCTGGTCCGGTCGTCCCTTTAGCCGTTCCCGACAAAAAGCCTTTTCTGTGGAAGAGGCTCAAGTACGACAAGTCTCAGGTAACGTATTGGAATACAATTACATTCTTCTTATTATTATGTTATTAATATGTATATATTAATTGTATATTTGTGATAAGCAGGATAGGGTGTACGAGGAGAAGACCGAAAATAGCAGTCCGGAAGTGGCAAGCTTGATTCCGACCGTGCTGACGCCGTGCAGCTCTAATTGCGATGTGATCACGCCGGAAATGGAGCGATCGCCGTCGGCGACACCGCTCCATCGCCAGGATACGATCACTACGGTCGCCTAGACGACTTGAAACCAAAAATGTCATCTAGTATTTTTTAAATAGTAACGAATAGGAGAAACAGGCGACCGTGGAATATGGAGAAAGAAAGAGAATGTGTGTGTGAGAGCAAGGAAGGCAACACCCAGACTACATGACAATAATAGGTATTGATCAAACGAATTGTCGCATCTTCGTACGAAGGAAATATAACGTAGCAGAGGACACAAACCAGAAAAGTATTAAATTTATTTCAACGTGCCAAATAACACTTAATCAGATTCGGAACTGAGAATTGCCGTCGCAACGAATTTCATTGAAACAACCACAAACTATGAAGGAATGGCGTACACCAAAGAAGAATAGGAATGTTTTTCGTTGCCACGAATGATTAATTTTTTATCTCGAAATAGCACGGTCCTAGATACTAATTAGAATATAAAATATATATATATAAATATTATATTTTAATGAAAGCGTTGAAGGGGTTGGGTAGGTTGAAGGCTATGGAAGTTTTGAAAGATGGATGAGAGAGCGAGAGAGTGGGAAATATTCGAGTTCCGTTCCGTTTCTTCCTTGTATTTTAACGAGAATTTATTTTTTATATGTGTAAATTGTTGAATGATCAAAGAATAAGATTATATGTACTATATATATACGACAGAAAGAGAAACACAATATTGTATAAAACAAATGATATTTTATGGAAGAGAGGAAGAGGGGAAATAGACACTACATATCTTGTTGCATACACAGAATATGATATGAGACGCAATGCATTTATTGATTATATTTTAGAAGTATTTTCATATCACTTTGTTTCTTAGCCAAACGACATATATATATGAGAAGGACAAATAAGAAGAAACCAATTGTGGAAGAGGATTAAAATGACGAAAGAGAGAAAGAAAGAATAATACTTTGTATGGTATATAGAGAAGAGAGAAAAAGGTAATTTAAACGATTAGAATATTTTTGTAAAATAAAAATGATAATTAATAATAATTAAATAAAATCGAGATGCCAAATGAGTAAAATGGGATTAAGTAAAAATCGGTTAAAATTATAAAACGAAGTGGGCGCGCGTGGGCAGAATATGTGGAAATAATGAAGAAAGAAAATTATTGAAGACTGATTGTTAAGGTTTCTTCGAGACAACAAGCAAAATGAAATAAACAAATTTAACAAATCAAAAAAAAACATGGACAGGAAACAAAATAAATAAAGAAGATGGGAATTATGAGAGATTTAGATACGGTGCATGTATAAGACAAAAAACTGCTTTCGATTTGGGGATCGCGGCGTTATTTTCGTTTCCGTATGAATGTTGTATTACTATTTACTAACTACTACATTTTACTATTAAAAATACTAAACTAGATGGAAGTCAACGTCGTTCATTATAATGTAAGAAAATGGAAAATGGGGCGGCGGTTGTTCCTTTCTGTACGACATCGGACGATGAATGTCGGGCTCAAGATTCTATCCGCATGTCTCGGGATAACTCTAGGAACACGCCACCGTCCCATGTCCATCATAAAACTTAATAACGAATCCATGTATTTTGTGTGTACATTAGCGCGCTAATCTTACATTTCCTCGAACGTCATCGTATTTTTCCCTAAATATATTTTGTCACCCTCTTACAATATTAGAAACTAAAGCTCAATTATGGCCGCAATAAGTTTGCATTTATTATTTCGATTATCTTATGGATGGAGCAAACGGGGATTTCTAAAAAAATCGAGTGCTCAATCAGTGTACAATTAAACATTATAAAAGCCAAAAAATATCCTCGTGCGTTGTGAATATTAAGCACATTTACAATAAACTCATATAGGGAGATATCTATCGATATTAATTGTTAAACTTAAGACAAAGAGAGAGTGAATGAAGGAGATCATTTAAAAACAAAATAAACATGTAAAGTATGTACGCGAGTGAAAGAGGAACAAATTTCGAAAAAATTGTTTAACTCGAAGATGAAATATAGATTATATATATATATGAATGTGGCGCCAAAGATAACCAGCCTTTGACTTGGCGCCTACTTTAAATAAACAATGTATTTTAAATGTTTATCCATATTGACTTTTATTACTTTTGTGTTCATTCTCCCTTATTAACCCTTTGCGGTCCTATGTCGGGGCTACATTAAAATTGCTAAAATTAACCTTATTATTATTTACTGGTATGACATCATACCATACCGATAGTAGTCTGCATCGTCGCACTACTACTATATAATTGGACCTACTGAGCATTCTAGTGAAAATAAAATAGGACCGCAAAGGATTTCAAAACTTACATTTTCAGATACACAACGCAATTTGAATTAGGTATTAAAGGAACGTGGATCAAGATTTCAATAAATTTTCTTTTTATATTTTCAGAAATAAATATGTTTATTTTCTCTTGTTCGATTAAAATCTGTGTTGCACGGTATTACATTAATATCAATCGGGTTATTTGTTCATCTTAATTACATACATAGTAAGGTGTTTGATTTCTTTCAAAAACATAAAAGAATAAATAACAAAATTACAAAAAAGATATGTAGAAAATAATAAAAAGTATACAAAATAGATTTTGATAATATCACGCACCATGAAATATCGAATGTCAATCATATTTACTATTTCATTTTGTTTTTTTTTTTCTAAAAAATATATCACTGGAATTCTGCACTAATTGCATATTATTTTGTTTAGTATATTGCAGCACAGCGAACATTTTTAAAGAGGCGAATGGCACTTAAATAAGTATTATGTTGTATGTATTGATATAAGTAGCATTGTTGTGTTTTGTCAATGTTTAAAACTAATTAACTTACTCAAATCGTCGTTAATTGAAGCTCGGTGAAAATCTTTGGCAGAGGTTTGTATATTCCTGTATTTTCTTTGATGATTTTTTAATAATTTGGTCTCGAAGTTCTTTATGAGCGCTGCTCGATATTTAATTCTGGAAACGCCCTAATTGTGAACACCTCGAACAATTCCTGAAATATCAATCAACCGATTATATTTGATATTTCATTGATTGATTTGCTCCACGAATGTAAAACTTACGTAAAACAGCTGCTTGTTCATCTTTTTATTTTGCAAGGTGTCGAAGACTTTTCTGGCTCCGTTCCGAGCCGCACTTGCCCCGACCAATGTTACCAGCACTTCGGGGACGTTGCTGACAAACAGCTTTCGGGCTTCGTTCGCCGTCACTTTTCGCTCTAGTTCACCCCTTTCCGGTGATTTTGGTGCGAGCTCTCCCTGCGGCCAAAAGCTCTTCGTCATCAGCGTAATGTAATAGTGAAGCATCTTCTCCGAAAAGCACCAGGTGATCGAGTCGTAAATCTGTCGATTAATCGTCCTGCCGTATGTGATCTGAACAAACGCGATCAGCGTTTTCCGTAGATACTTAAATAGACCGCGCATATCGAATATCTCGCTCATCAGAGAGTACAGAGGTTCAGCTATGGTATCTTTGGAATCCTCTATACCCAATTTGGAATGGCCATTCATCTTATACCCATCCGACTGCTCGCTACTGCCAGGCGCATCTAAATACTGTGATATGTCTTCCTCCTCGCTATCCCGGATCAGATTCAACTCTTTGACGTTCGCATCATTGTTACTGAAAACGAAACTCAAATTAATTTTTGAACTCAATAACTAGGGAGCCACTACCTTTTGAATAAAGTCGAAAATGAGAATTTAGATTTCTTCGTGGACGGCGCTGTGTGCTTGAGATGTTCCGAGCTCGGACTGAGGAAAGAATATATGGCCTCGCTCTGATTCAATCTGTCATCTTCCAAAATGAACTGAAAATCCAATATTTAATTATGCTCGCAGTATAAAAATGTAGAATGAAAATCTGAAATACCTCCAGGTACTTTTGTATTTGCAACTTGGCCTTGTCCAGGCTGTTTCTATCAGATTTTCCAAAAAGAAACTTGAAAGTCTGCGATGGCAGTTCCAGACCCTTTACATCCGAGCAGAGTGGTCGTAACTTCCTGTGCAACTCTTGAAACTGTGTTAAAGTCCTCGACACGACCCATCCGCTACTCTTTTGCTCTTCGTTCCCCGTATCAGATTCCATCATATGGACTACAATCACAAATTGCGGGGGTTCCTTTTCATCGGGTACCTTCATAAATAATCATAACTAATAGCAATTCAATCTATAAATGGTCTTTATAAATACCTCGGCGCTTTGCACTATTGCCCTCCATTTTCCCAAATTCTCGCCCCAAATTTCGGTTCTAGTCAAATGCGCTTCCAACTGCCTCTTCTCCCCCTGCAACCACTCCACCTCCTTCTCCAACATTTTTAGCACCCGTGATTCTGGTTTCAGAGAAGACTGAAGAGCATGCAGCGCCTGAGTTTTGTTGTTTAGCTTCTCCTGCAATTGGTTCAGCTTTCGTCGCGCATAATTAGAATGCTCGCCCACGTGTAGATTGTTCTCCAAATCCGCCGAGTTCTGGCGATCCTCCGAGCTGCCCTTGGAGTCAACCTCGGTGACGCCTTCGTCGCAATCAATAGCCGCAATCATCTCATTGTAGTACCTGCTGTTTATGAACGGCTGATAATACTTGTCCTCCAATAGTTTGATAACCTGCTGCTGCACCTCGTAGAAAACCTCCGGACCTTTGTCGCCCAACAGAAACGCTTCCATTCGTTTCCTTGTCGTTTTATCCACCTTGATTTCCGCCTGCGGATTTCGTATGAACGTGTAGAAGATCTCGGCGCCGACCTGATGCCAATTCTTGCGATGCGCCACTCTCAGATCCTCCACCGCCGTCCAATATCCGACCAAACCCTGGCTGGCCATCGTCTCTAGGAAATTGGCCAAATATCTACGTCCCAATATGTGGTCTAAAATCGAGTTCAAAGGTAAAATGTGATGCTGCACGCCAGCGTCCCAACCCAGATCCATTAACCGCTTCTCGCATTCCTTCTTCGCGGACTGCAGTTGATCCAAGTATCTCTTCAACTTCTTCGCCTCGTTGATCTCAGATTTATTAATGCCGCTCTTGTCGTTATCGGGATCGATACCTTTAGCGCGCTTCATGTTTTGTAACGTCGTCGCCTGCATGATCTTCGTGACGATATCGTATCGGAATCTCTTTAAGATTTCCAAATCGTCAGTCTTTTGGATGATCTTCAGAAATTCCTCAAACGTATTGGCATACTCGAACGTCTTTCTGTGCATCAAATTGGCCACCTTCTGCGACTCTATGTACACGATCACGTACTGATTGAAGAAATCCGGATCGGTTATGTTGTTTACCAAAGTGTATAGCACTGAAATCAATTGATTTATATTAATTAAATCGTACATTTAAGTTATTACCTCGACAGGCTAAGATTTCTCTAAGGAAGTATTTGGCAGGTGGCAGGGAATAGCTTCTTGGCAGCAGAAACATTATGAATAGCTCAGAAATCTGACGCAAGTAGTTCAGTTCGTGATCCTGCGACATCAGGAACGGAGATACCTTAAATAATGGTTGATGGTTACTTTCAGCCCTGAAACACGACGACTGTTTTAGGGCCACTCGAAAAATATTTCAATGAGAAGCATTTACACTAGAGTCTTGGCCTCGCGAATCCTTTCAAAGTGCATCTCGATCTTTGTGATCATATCGCATGCGATCAAAGTTACGTGATCCATTCGGGAAAGACGATCATGAAGGTTCTGTATTGCACCCCACATATCCTCCCTAAATAAACATAATGTAAATTAAAAATTTCCGTTCAATTTAAAAAGCAGAAAACTAGACCAATAATATTAGCTACATCTAATTAATTACTGTCAACGCTTTACTCTAATCCACATTCATAAATTGATAAAACATTCATACTTGATGTTATCAGATAATTTGGATATTCCATAAGTGTATTGGTTCAAATAGAATGCAATGAAATCTCTGATAAAATTGTCAATCAGCTGTTGAAGGACATTGTCAATAGTTCTGCCCAAGATGACAGGCAGATGGTCCTGATTCGATTTGGTTGTAGACCCACCATCATACTGAAATCCAAATAAGGCTTTCAATATTACAGTTATCCAGTTTACACACATTCAAAAAGCCATACCATGAGTTTGCTGCGAAATAGATTCATCTCCTTCTGGACATGTTCAATATGTGAGCCAGTCTTATGATTCAAAGAGAGCAGGATGTGCACCCAAATTACAAACCAAATCCCAAGCACCACAGATATGGCAGTCAACAGGGTGGCCAGAATGATGGCCAGACATGTCTCGGATACAAGCATAAGGCCTAAACATGCTATAAGAAAGGAGAGCCCAATAAGCTGGGCCTTCTGCAGGTGCATCCTAAAAACTGAAGCAAATCCATTGTTTATTTATGTTTTTATTTAGTTTTCTTATGTTACCTGTTTGATTAAATCACCTGACATCAATTCATAATAAAATGGAGCTATTATCTTGCATTATCCACATTCCCTTATCGTTTAACACTCCACTTACACAGTTAACTATCGACAAACATATTTACAATGTATAGCACACTGCACACGCCACACACACATCGCTACAAACTCATTGACGAAGATCGGCCCTTCGTTACAATTTCTGTGTTTCCGCTACAGATGTCGCGTAGTGTTGCATCAAGTGAATCTAATCAAATCTAATTGCATTTATTTCTTTCACGGAACAGTTACAATTAATTCATTATTTTAAATAATCTATTTTAAATTCAATTTTAAATTATAACAAATTTAAAGCATAAATAGCAATTTGTTTGGTAAAACCAATTTAAATTTAGTTGATTGATTATTATTATTAAATTATTCATTATTATTATTCATTTTGCGTTTTATACTCAGTATTAATTATTAGATCGTGACGCTCCTATTGGTGAATTTCGAATTTTGCAATGGCGTCGAAACAATCAAATTGCAAACAGAAATTATTATGATTATTATTATTATTGAATTAATAATTTCAACTTACATAGGTTCAATATTATTTTACATGTTTATTATTAAGCTATTGTCTGTACATATACTTAAATGATATGGCGGTTGCCTAGTTGATATGTTATTATATTAATTAATTTAATAAGTTGTCGTATGTTATTGATACCTCGTTAATTAGGTATTCGAGATGCCGGGAATATTGGATGTGTAACTAAAGTAGATAGTTCTTTAATTTCCAAGATTATTATTATTATGTTGGCAGGTAAATATTGACTATAACTTGATTTGGAATAGCAAAAGGTACATACATACTTGGAGAATGCAATCAAGTATGTAACATATATATCTATTAGATTTTCAAATTGGTTAATCCGGATGGCGAGGGAAGTTCGAAGAGCGCCGAAGACATCCGAAGGATTCTCGAGGGTTGGCGTCGGTGCGCCGCTTATTATACCAAACCAGTCGGCTCTTAGGTATTGATGTGATAGTACGCGCGTTTTCGTCCTCAGTTTTTTTTGTGCCTTTTCGTTTTTCGGTTCTCTCACCCCCTGTTCCGATTTATTTTGATTCCATCTTTCGTATCGGTTTGTTACATATATTACCGTTCCAGTATGGGATTTCGTGTTAAAGTTTAAGTGATCGATTGTGTTTGTTGTTCTCAGTTTTGTTATTCTCGAAATGGCGATGTGGCGTACGTCGTCGCTACTTTTGTGCATTTTTTTCGTGTCCCATGTTTCATCGGATCATAATAGCATGATGATGTCCCGCATCTCCGAGTCAGATGATGACACCCTGCCGTCGCACAATAAGTGCCAGCCGATCACGGTGCCGGTCTGCCTTGACATCCAGTACAACACGACGATAATGCCGAATCTGCTGAACCACCAGAAGCAAGAAGATGCCGGTATGGAGGTGCACCAATACTTTCCGTTGGTGAAGATCCGTTGCAGTCCTTACGTGCAGCTATTCCTCTGTTCTGTGTATGTGCCTGTCTGCACCATTCTGGATAGGCCTTTGCCGCCGTGCAGATCACTATGTTTATCGGCAAAGAACGGCTGCGAAAACATCATGTCCAAGTTCGGAATCGAATGGCCGGAGAATCTGGACTGCGCCAAATTTCCGCAAGGTCAGGACATCGATGGCGAAATGTGTGTAGGTGAAAATAAGACGGCTGTGGCTGCCGCAGATGCCACGACGCCGAGCCCGAAGGGTCGATACCCTCTGGGTCCTATCAGCTTCCAGCCAAACAAGAAACAGCCCTTCAGGGAGTTCGGCGGACGGGACTTCGGATTCGTCTGTCCAGTTCAGTTCAAAGTACCTAAGATTCTGGAGTATTCCTTGAAGGTGGGCGACAAGGTGGAGAAGGACTGCGGAGCTCCGTGCCACATGATGTTCTTCAGCGAGAACGAGAGAAAATTCTCGCGCGTATGGATTGGTACCTGGGCCCTTCTGTGCTCCGCCAGCTGTCTCTTTACCGTCTGCACCTTCCTCATCGATACCGACCGCTTTCGGTACCCGGAACGACCGATCATCTTCCTATCCGTCTGCTATCTGATGGTCGCACTGGCCTACGTGTTCGGTTTCATTGCCGAGGACTCGGTGTCATGTCGGGAGGCGTTCTCCATGCCCAAATCCGGAGTACAGACGGTCAGCACGATTACGCAGGGCACCAAGTACGAGCTCTGCACTATCCTCTTCATGGTCCTGTACTTCTTCAGCATGGCCAGCAGCATCTGGTGGGTCGTCCTGACCCTCACGTGGTTCCTTGCTGCGGGCCTCAAGTGGGGTCACGAGGCCATCGAGGCCAATTCCCAGTACTTCCATTTGGCGGCGTGGGCCGTACCAGCTATAAAGACCATAACCATTCTCGCCATGGGCAAAGTTGAAGGTAAGCACGCAAAAGGCAAATTGCCACCGTCGACGCCACATTTTCTTTTGTTTCGCGTATCTTCTGTCTGTTAACCGCCGCCTATGATTGATGGTGAATTGGTGAACCGTCCAGTAATTGTGAAATCTCAATTACCATTACCTTAATTACTTTCCATCGAATTACGATACGAATAATAATTACCCGACGTCGGCAAACCAAACAAAAAAAATAACCACCGTCGGGTATTATCAATCAACCGTCGATAATTGAATTACTCAAACATGCATTGTTCCACTGACATCAGGTATATGACAAATTAAGACCCTAACCCTTGCGATAATCTTAAGAAATCAGTCGAGGTACAAAAAAATGAAATAACTAATGATAAAATATTGACACATCTGCGTAACGTATCGAAAAATAATCCAGGTGTTAATTTCGATTGATAATCATTGCAGAATATTTTAATTATTGTTAGATAAGTAGCAGAAACATCTAAAAACACTGGCTCTGAATCGATTCCGATAAAATCGGCCAGCCAAATTTAACGTGTCTGTGATTTACGAACTGCGGGCACGCAAAGTATACACGGTATTCTTAAAACTTTTAATTAATGTTACATAAATTACATAAATATTTGGTCATACACGGCCGCATGAGACGAAATAATAACGGTTTGCGATTTTAAAGGCGCGCCGAAACTGCACGATACAAAATTTAAAAAAAAGTAATAAAAAGACGCACAAAGCACACCATTTGCTGAACACCAGGTGAGACAAATTTCTACTCGCCCGGGAGATTAATTACATTTTAATCCATTGAATTGATTGAATTAGTTCGTATTTCCGAGTGTGCAATAAATAATATGCATTATTTACTAATTGCATTCCATTACCATATTGTACGTTTTCTATATTTATGATATAAATAATTTGCATTCGATCGCAAAACGAAGTCGCCATGGATTATGTCATTTCCTGCGATAATCATGGAATGGATAGTTTTATAACTTTTGTAATTGTACGTTATTATCACAAAGATTCGCAAGAGTATTCTTCGAAGTTGCGAATTGAGGAATGATTGTTTCCGATAAAATGACAAACATGTGTGTAGTACATATATGAGTAATGCTCGAATGTCGTCATGCATTCAATAGGGTTCTTTCCCCCCTCTGCATGATACAAATTATAAGTCGGTAAATTGATATTAATTATATGTTACTTTTAAACTCGTTCATTTTAACTAATTCATCTAGAATAATTAGCATTTTTATTGATCAGTAACTGTTGTTACGTTTTTGTCATGTCAATTTCTGTTATGCTGGAAACGTCAATAATGACAGCTGCAAATTATCACTGAACTTTAAAGTTATAAACCTATCACTTCTTAATTGTACATTTACAATTTTCGTGACCGAAGATTAAAATCAACTAAAAGTTCAGAATATGCAGGATAATACATCGATAATACAATTAATAACTATGTTGTTAAAATGTTGCCCAACGCAGAACATTTCTGACATTACTTAAATTTGAATACAAAAACCTCAAAATATCAAAGTATTGGAAGTTCTTTTTTACTTATCTGAGAGAGCGGTAATAATAGTTTGTAGTTGAACTTGAAAGGTGACGGCTACGGCACGCGAGATAATTTAGTTGTTTATATAAACCGACGTCGGTGGTCCATTAAAAAAATATAATAAAAAAAACGAGAATTAAGCGAAAGAAACGAAAACAGCACGTCGCATGAATCTATAAACTTACGTCCACTCGAATGTAGTAATATTTATATTTCTGATACTGCGGTCCGTAAAATCCTCTTTTTATTTCCATTCTCTTTCCACCTCTCGAAATAAGAGGGGAAAATGATGTCTCATAAATTCTCCGAAAATGGCTTTATTAAAAACCATAATCCGGAATTAAGTTCTACCAAAGTAATCCCAAAAAAAAGAGAGAGAAAGAATATTATGCATATCATGCATAAAGAATGGATTATTAATAAAGAACGTAACTATTTGACAGTTTTATGTGATGGCAGTTAAAAGTGTTTTATCTGTGGTTTATATTATATCCCTTAATACTTTATATACTAGACTGACGGTATTATAGATTCAGAAGAGTAAAAATCTTAACATTATAGTCGATAGATAATTGCGAGAAAACATACTAAAATATTGTGTGTACTATTTTATCATACTCCTATTATATTTGCGGCGGCGCTCATTTAAAGCGTAGCTCGTAATTGGCTTGTTGTAAATATTTAACCCTCACTTAACCTTTTAACCTTCTTCGCAACGCAAATCATTAGCATTAATTAACGTGATTGCGGCCGACTGTATAAACAAGTCTCGAGCACGACAGAAAGCCATATTCAAAAACACTGTTGATGTGTGTCAGTTTTAAATTCATGTAAGAATTTAAAAAAGAAATCAAAATGAAAACCAATTCTGAAGCGTAATCTGCATCATTTTCGTAGCATCATGAAATAGTGTAGAGGAAGTTATGTTATGAAGCAGGAGATATAGAGAAGTAGTAGGGGGATATTTAAATAATTGTCGTTTTAGTGATGTCACTAAATTTTCGTTCTTAAACGCTCGTTGTTGAGATGGTTATCACTTGAAGTATAACCCAGGAAATCTCGTGTGTAATGTCTCAGAACTAGTTTAATAACCTTGGAATGACGAAAATAGAAGAAGGAAAGAATGGGAGGGAGTCGAGGATATGAATCTCCTCTTCTCTGCTCCGCTCTTCTACGTTCAACTCTTTCTTTCTCTCTCCGCAACGGCATTTGTATTCAAACGTGTTGAAATTGAATAGAATATATTTGTAGTAAAAATTTACGCTCGCAGCATCGAAACTTATTATTACGGTTGCATATAAATTGCTTATTTAAGAGAAATCGGGGAGCGGAAAAAAAGAAGACAAAAATTAAAGCCCAAAAATGAAGACAAAATATCTAAATCTGTGTTATTCTTAAAGTTTAGATACTTTAATAACTTGTTTCATAATCTAAGGGCCGATCCTGTTCATACGGGTATACACCTGCACATCTTTTACACCTGCTTATTGTTGCTTGATTGTAAACACATGTTGATTTTTGTATAGTTTTCGTAGCTTTTTTCCTGTGTCTTGAGTTTGATTGTTATTAATTATTATTACTGTCGATTTACTATCAATTAGTGATACTATTTTTCATGTTATGGTAATTAGTGAGTTGTATATCAGATTTGGTAACACCAATTATGTAAATATTGCATATTAATTGATACATTTTGAAATGAACTGCCTCGGCCTGTCCATATTTTCACCATCAAAATTAAGTAATGTTTGTCCATCCATTTAGTTAAGACCGCTGTTACTTAAGCAACACTTGTTAATACAGTATAAATATTTGTATTTATCAGGTGTTTGTCTCTGTATAACTAATGTTTGATGTCGAGACTTTTTACTTTAGTAAATCGTCTTTTTTTTCTATTCTAATAAAAATAGATTACCATTATTTGTAAATTGTTTAAAACAATTGTTAAATTGGGATTGGGAATGTTTTAAGGAATTTTAATAAAACAAAGTGCATTCGCTATTATATTTTTGTATTGTTGTTCACGGCATGAGCACATGAGTGTAATTGGGTCGTCGCGTGTAACGTATAGTCAGAGTCCATTATGTACGCGTTTTATTACAATTATGTAATGATACATTAACTAATTAACGCAGAAGACGCAGCAGATCCCAAATCTAGAAATATGAATGTATTTAATTGCAACGTAACTTTGGGTGAATGTGCACGCTAATGGCGTATTGCAAGATGGCGTCGTCAAAGTTAGATTTTTGTAGTTGTTACCAACCCATGGAAAACAAACGTCGCGTCCGTGGAGAGTATAGTAAAACGGATGTTGTTGGATCTGTTGTTGTTGCCGCTGTTGCCTCTCGCGTTCGACCGTAATTAATGATTCCCGTCGGTGTGTGTGTGTGTGTGTTTGTTTGTTACCCGGTTTAATTTATGAGGCGTCCCGGTGATCCCGCGTGGGCGAATATACGAGAAAGCGCGGGCGGCGATGGAAAGTCGTGACTCGACTTCACGGATGACCCCCGAAACAAAACAGCCTTGTCTCCTTCCTCTTCATCCATTTGTATTTCTTCCATTCCGTTTCCATGGTACAAGCAAACAAAGAATGAAACAAGAAATCGAGACATAAAAATCGCCCTGTTGCAAGTTCGTTTGCGATGTAAATTCGCAAATGTTTCGTCTCGTAAAGGGAAAATGGAAATGTGCGCTTCGTGTGCCTCGCATCTTGCAGTACCACAACTACAACCAACAACAACGACGGCAGCAACAGAGAACAACAAAAAGGAAATCCCTGTGGTGGGTTCAAGAACTTCTTTGAACTCGACCCCGGCCTCGGCCCTCATAACTCCTGTCAATCCGTGAACGTGATTTACCTTTTACAGCATCGAATTCTTCCAGCCGCTCTCCAGTCTCTTTCTTTCTCCTCCGTCTACACCGCTTGCGCTAATTAATATCTCTAGTCCATAGAATGAAACGATCGTTCTAACAAAAGAAAAAACTTAAAATTTATACTTGCGAATAAATCTGGCGGTCCGTAACACCCTTTCCATCTCCTGAATCGCTTCGCAATTTTGGTCATGTTTCATGAGGTCGATAAATTTACTCTTGTGCAATCGGTAACCGCCTCTAAAAGTTTACCTGAGCGATAATTGGGTGTCTCTGAATGTGACACGGAAACGTAATTTTCTCGAAGAATGTTTTTAATTTAGAAATAAAAAGTATGTTTGTGTGTGCACAGGAGATTAAGAGCGAAGAAAATAGCATGTAGAAAAAAGTAACAGCCGTGTCCACGTGTGTGTAATATATTTTTAATGATACTCCAAGGAATTAGTGTCGAATTGCTGCGTCGACAGCGGAGTTACAAAAATGAACGCGAACAAACGAACCGAACCGTATATTTAATCCGCGGAAAATATGGAACAAACGAGACAAACTATTAATTCATTTAGTTC